CTTAAAAAAATTTTTTTTCCCCTTTTGGACAGCATGGGCTCTGGAGCCAGAGGCTCTTCTTAAACTTTAATCCCCACTTTCGCCTACTAGCTAACCTTGGACACCTTATGTCACTGTTGTTTCCTCATCTGTAACATGGAGACAATCTCAGTCCCGATCTCATAGTTCAGTGGTTCTCTAACGTGTAGCTTCTAGAGACTTCCCTGGTGGTCCAAGGGATAAAACTCCACACTCACAAGGCAGGGGTCCCAGGTTCAATCCCTGGTCAGGGAACTAGATCCCATATTCACAATTAAGAGTTCAGAGGCCACAACTATTAGTAAAAAGATCCCACATGCTGCAGCTAAGACCCAGGGCAGCCAAATAAATAAACTTTTTAAAAAAGTGTGCTTTCTGGACCAGCAGCATCTGCATGGCCCAGAAATGTGTTGCCAGTGCAGATTCTCAACGGGGCTTCACAAGTGGCTCAGTGGTCAATAACCCACCTGCCAACGCAGGAGATGCAGGACATGTGAGTTTGATTCCTTGGTTTGGGAAGATCCCCTGGAGGAGGACATGGCAACCCACTCTGAAGGAAAGCTACATGGCTCAAAATAGCCTGGAGTTAAAACTTCCCTCCAGGTCCTCCCCACCATTCTATACAGAATAAAGAACTTTCTCCCCCGAAGAAAGGAATGGACATTAAGATTGATTACATTCAGATCCCAGCCGATCCCAGTCTCCGGCCGATTTCAGGAATTCCTTACCCCAGCTGCTAAAAGATGACTAATCAAAAATAATCATGAGGAAAAACAGACCCCCTCAAAATGATGCATCTCCGCATATAAATGTTCTATATATACCTACTCTCTTTTCCACTTAGCCCAGCAGCCCACTAATCTGACTGCTGCCCCTTCTCACCTCATTAAAGGTGATCTGTTCCTATAAAGTGCCGGTTTCATGTTTGTTAGTTTTTTTCTCAAACCTCGCCTTTTCTAACTCCCTTTCCTTACACACTCCAGTATTCTTGCTTGGAGAATCCCATGGACAGAGAAACCTGGCCGGCTACAGTCCATGGGGTCGCAAGAGTCAGACACAGCTCAGCACGCACACACATACAGATTCTCAGATGCTCTGCAAATAGTGCCCAGCGATCTGTATTTTAACAAGACCTCCAGAGTCTGAGGCTTGCTCAGATTTTGAGAAGCATTATCATAGGTTATGGAGAGGATTACATTGATTAAACAATATCTGAACTATTTAGAGTGGTGCCTGGCCCCATAACCCACACAGTGTAAGCGCTCAGTATTATTATTACAGAAGAGGCCCAGGACCCTAGCAGTAGGGTGGTAATGAGGGGCTGGTTGCGCCCTCCCTCCTGGTCTGGTGGGGGTCTGGGTTCCTGGTGATAGCTTACAGTGAACGGTGTCAGATTCATGATCTCGAAAGAAGATTTAGCTTCGGGACCAGGCACCAGCTTGATCACTCAAGAGCTGTTGCATAGCAGAGTTTTACGAAAGTGAAAAAGAGACAGAGAAAGCTTCTGACATACACATCAGAAGGCGGACAGAGAGTGCTCCACTCTCTAGTCTTAGCAAGGGAGCTATAGACTTTTCAATTGGTTATTAACAATAAATCAAAAGAATGTCTCAAAGTTATAAAGGTCTTACCAGGCCCACTCCCACAATATACATTTTATAAGATGATAGGATTAGTCAGAAGGTTCTCAAGAAAGAGAAACATATCCTCAAGCAGGATACATTGCTGTTATATAGTCATTGGTACAGAGTTTAAGGAAAGACATCCTTGAGCAAGATGAGTTGTTTTGTTGTTCAATCATCAGCTCAGGAAATGGCAACCTACTCCAGTGTTCTTGCCTGGAGAACCCCAGGGACGGAGGAGCCTGGTGGGCTGCCTTCTATGGGGTCACACAGAGTTGGACACGACTCAAGCGACTTAGCAGTAGCAGCAGCAGCAAGCAACTCAGGGCTTAAAGAAAAAAACGTTTGTCTTTTTCTCATCCTTGAGAACTCCAGACCCCTTTCTCCTCCTAAGAAGTGACCTACCTAAGAATTGACTCTCACTGGTCTCTGCTGAGCGGAGACCTTCTCACCTCTCTCTGTTGAAGATGACAGCGGTGATGACAGCTGGGCCACGTCACCCTATACCTTCCAAAGGTTATCACTTGGTCCAGGAAATGGGAAAGGTCAGGGTTTGGTGGGGGGGGGCATGCCTGCCTCCCCTCTGCTGATGGAGATAAACGAGGTCATTCTGCTCCTACAGGACAGGAGGGGGAAGCGAAGATGTATAAATGAGGGGCCAGGAGGCGGTCGAGGCACCAGTCACCAGGAAGCTGCCTTGCTGTGCCCATTCTCGCATCTCAGGCAGCCCCGTCCAGCATGCTCAGACACCTGGTGCTGTTGCTGGCCGTGGGGCTGCTGGCTGGGGAGCTGTTGCCGAGGACCGAGGCCCGGGCAACACCCTACGGAGTGAAACTTTGCGGCCGTGAATTCATCCGAGCAGTCATCTTCACCTGTGGGGGCTCCCGGTGGAGACGTGCCCGTGACGCTGTGGGTAAGGCTGGGGAGGTAGTGTGTGTGGCCGCGGGACTGATGGGACATGAGGTGGGTCCCAGAAAGCAGAGACGGAGGTGAGATGCGGGGCTGGGGCAGGAAGGTCCCTCCAGCACCACATGCAGCTGGGGAGATGGGCCAGGCCCTTGAAGCTGTGCCAAGGCTGAGGGAGCCGGTTGGCAGAGCTGCAGAGCTGAGATGGGGGTTGGGGTGGGCGGCAAGCCATCTGAAGCAGCTAGAGGTCTGGGACACCTGCTTTGTGTGAGCCCTGTCTTACGCAAGGCTGCTGTTTGCCCAACCCTGGTCAGCGCCATTCAGAAGCCGAAACTGGAGTGTTTTCCGAGCCTTCAGGGAAGGGAGTAAGAGGAGTGTGGTGAGTACAAGGCTAGATTTACCACCTAATAGGTGACCCTCCTCCCAAGTTGCCTTTCTTCCCTGATCCCCTTTATCTGCAAATAGGGGGCACAGCTCCTGTATCTTGCACAGTTGTTAAGTGGCAAAATTGAGTCTAAACTGATTAAGACAGAACTGAGTGCTTACCATATATCAGATGCTATTTTAAGTTTGTTTTCTTTAATGCATTTTTTTTTTTTTTTGATGTGGACCATTTTTAAAGTCTTTGTTGAATTTGTTACAATACTGCTTCTGTTTCAAGAGGCATGGGGAATCTTAGCTCCCTGACCAGGGATCAAACCTGCATTCCCTGCATTGGAAGGCAAAGTCTTAATCACTGGACCATCAGGGACGTCCCAGGAGTTATTATTATCCCCACTTTGCAGACAAGGAAGCTGAAGCACAAGGGTGATAACTGGACTAGGGCTCAGTCAGTTCAGCCCCCAGACATGTGTTTTTCACCATCAGGTCCTCAATAACTAAGTAGGAGGGGAAAAGCTGGGCTTCCCAGGTGGCACTAAAGGTACCCAAACCTTCCTGACAAGATGCGGGTTTGATCCCTGGGTTCGATCCCTGGGTTGTGAATGTCCTCTGGAGGAGGGCATGGTAACCCACTCCAGTATTCTTGCCTGGGGAATGCCATGGACTGAGGAACCTGGCGGGCTATGGTTTATAAGGTTGAAAAGAGTCGGACCCAACTGAAGTGACTTAGCACGCAGGGGAAAAGCTGTGGCAGAGGAGGAAAGTCAAGTTCAGTGGGGTTAAACTGCTCATCAAAGAAGGAACCCACATCTGAGCAGAATCAAAGTCTATACTCACGAGGCTTAGTCACACTCCAGAACAGAGAAGTAGTCGGGCCAGCCCCGAGCTGGGACTCTGGGTGTGACACAATCCCGAGCACTAACTCTTCTCATCTTTTGCAGAAGATGCCTTCCCAGAGGTGGACACTGACTCGGAGAGTGAGCTGGATGAGGCAGTGGCCTCCAGCGAGTGGCTGGCCCTGACCAAGTCCCCTCAGGCCTTCTACGGGGCCGGACAGGGCTGGCAGGGAACCCCAGGGTCTTTGCGGAGCAGACGCGACGTCCTGGCTGGCCTGTCGAGCAACTGCTGCAAGCGGGGGTGCAGCAAGAGTGAAATCGGCAGACTCTGCTAGAAGCGGAACTGGGCAGCAGCGGGGCACCGGGGTGAATGCCCCAGCCCTGCCATCCACCTGGCTGGTATCTGGCTGGGCACTTGTTTCTGGTCCCTCACGCATTCATTCATCAGCAAGTCACGGAGGTCCGGCACTGTGGGCTCAGAGTCCCCCCCTCCCAACCCTGATCTTTGAGCAGTCCATCCCACCCATGAGCAAGCTGTGCCCCAACCTGGCCAAATGGGGACCCTGACGTCTGAGCAGCCCATATGATGCCTTTCCTGGCCTATTCTGTCTCCTACTGTCCCTACTTACCCAAACTGGCCACACTCAGACCCTTGCCCAAGCTGTGACTCTCTCCTGTCCCACCTGTGGCCACTCACCAGCCCAAATTACACCCCCACTCCATTTCAGCCTTCCTGCCTGCCAGCACTTCTGCCTGCTAGCCCTTCTCCCTCCAACCCCGCCCGTTGCGGGGAGGGGGTTGGTTCTAAAGCTGAGGACCCCAGGGTTGGTGGAGGGACTCCTGGGTTTTCTTCATATCCTGGGGTGGGAAGCTCAATGTGTGTGTGGTGGGAACGGATCAGAATCTTCTCCAGCCCCTCAAAATAAAAAGTTGCAAAAGACTTGGCAGTATGTGATGTTTGGGGAGGGAAGGGGCAGGTATCAAGGGAGCTTCGGCCACGCCCTCAGCGCAGCCCCCTCCCCCGCCCAGACTCCCTCCCCAGTCCCTGCGAGTTCTGCCGGGAACTTTCCGGTGCAGAGAAGGGGCGGGGACCCGGAGCGCAAGGTGCGGAGGCGGCCGGGAGGGGTGGCTCTGCTTCCCGTCGCCGCTCAGGCGTTGGTTCCCGAGAGCGAGGCGGGCGGCGCGGCAGCGCTGGGCCCGGCAAGGCCGGGCCGGACTAGGGGGGCGCGGGAGTGCCATGCGGGGGGCCCCGGCCGCCCCCATCCCACCGCGGCCGAAGCCGATGCTGCTGCTGTTGCTTCTGTTGTTGCTGTTCTGCCGGACTCGGCCCCAGGGTGAGTTCTGGAGCGAGCTCGTGTCTCATGCTCGCGAAAGCGCCCATCCTCCAGAGTGACCCTCAAGTGTGCGGAATGAATGGCCGAGGTCCAGAAGCCGCTTTGCTCTCCCCGGCCCCGGGCTAGGGGCCGGGTGAGGCGAGGGGTTGGGGAATGGGCGGTAGCGAGGTGGGAACTTGAGGCCGGGGTTTGAGGCGGGGGTTGAGTAAGGGCCTTTGTCGGGGAGTTGGGGGGGGGGGTAGTTAACAGGATGTGGCTGGTGGGAGGGGAGGAGTCATGCCCAAAGCCTGGGGAGCGGTGCCCAGCGCCCCCTTCCTGCTGCTCGCTTCAGTAAGGGACCCTGGATCGCCCTCCACAGTTGTCAGCAGTTCTGGGGTGTGCCCGAGGCTGAGGGAACTGACCCCCTTTCTTGAGACCCTCCTGCCTCCCTCTCCAGGCAGCCCGGGGCCCCTGCAGTGCTATGGAGTTGGACCCTTGGGCAACCTGAACTGCTCCTGGGAGCCTCCTGGGGACCTGGGAGCCCCCTCCATGCTGTATGTCCAGAGCCAGAAGTAGTGAGTACAATGGGGTAATTGGGGGGCACTGAAGCCACTCAGGTTCTAGCCTTCTCAGAGGACCCATTCGTCCTGCCCACCCTCACCTCCCAGCCCTGCCCCACTCTCAAGCCCTTCAGTTCCAGATTCCCTCGTTCCCTTGCTGTGTTACCATGAACCAGTCACTTTCCCTCTCTGAGCGCCTATTTCTTCCTCTCTCAAATGCTGATAATAATGGAACCTGGTTCCCAGCGTTGGTTCTGAGAATTCAGTGAGTTTAGGCACTTGGGAAAGAGAAAATGCTTAATGACCAGGAGTTGTTTTTTATTGCTGTGTGACCTTAGGCAAGTAGCTTAACCTCTCTGAGAATCTGGAAAGATCATTTGGTCTGGTACTGGGGGTGCAACAGTGAAAGAGACAGAGAAAGCCTCATGGAGCCCACAGTCTGAGGGGGTGACTGATATTGTCTCACGATGAATCACACTTGGAAACTCAAATTCATCTCAAATTTGGCTGTGAGAGGAGAGGAAAAGGAGCATTTGAAGATGGGAACTGGCATGGGAGGTTGGTTTGTTGTTTTTTTTTTAATGGTGGTAAAGTGCACATAAAATTTACCCCCTTTTTCCTCAATCTTTTTCTTTTGGCTGTGCTGGATCTTCTTTGCAGCTCGGACTCTAATTGTGGCTTGAAGGCTTCTCACTATTTGTGGTGGAGGAGCTTAGTTGCCTCTAGGGCATGTGGGATCCCAGTTCCTTGACCAATAATCCATCCCGCATCCCCTGCTCTGACAGGCAGATTCTTAACCACTGGACAACCAGGGAAGTCCCCTCAATCTTTTTAAAGTGTCCAGTTCAGTGGCATTAAGTTCAGTCATGCTGCTGTGCAGCCATCACCACCATCCATGTCCAGAGGGGTTTTAATTTGTAGAGTTTAATTTGTAGAGAAAGGAAGAGGGCTTCCCAGGTGGCGCTGATGGTAAAGAACCCACGTGCCAATGCAGGAGATGTAAGAGACATGGGTTCGATCCCTGGGTTGGGGAGATCCCATGGAGGAGGGCATAGGAACCCACTCCACTATTCTTTCACGCCAGTATTCTTGCCTGGAGGGTCCCAGGAACAGAAGAACCTGGCGGACTGCAGTACATAGGACTGCAAATCAACTTAGCATGCATGCTTGCACGAGGGAATAAGAAAAAGTCTCCTCTCTTTTTTTCTTTTTGAAGAATAAACAGTCAATTTTATTGGGCTCAGACTAGGAATCCATGAGTCTTGAGGACCTCTGTGAATTTGTCAGTTTTCTTCTTGATGTTCTTTTCTGCCTGCTTCGGTAGCCTCGTGAGCTGCTGCTTTTTCCGATAGTGGATCTTGGCTTTCTCCTTTCTCTTCTCGTCCAGGGTGGCCGTTACTGCCTGGTCCTTCCAGCCAACCTCATGAGCCAGGTGCGCTAGGTAGGCAAACTTCCGAGTAGGCTTCAGACGCACAACTTTGAGGGCAGCAGGAAGCACCATAGGCTTTTTCTTGTTACAGGGTGGTGGGATCCCATCAAACAACTCGAGGCGCTCCAGAGCAGCCTGGCCTCAGTTGGTGTGGGGCAGCATGTCTCACACTGGCCGCCAGAAGATGCGGCTGGGGCCTCGGAAGTAGCAGGGGTCGCGGGAGGGGTTGGTGCTCGTCCGCTTGCGGAGAAAGACCAGGTACTTCAACTTATTTCTGTAGAAATTGCCAGAAATGTTGATGTCCTCACAGCGCATGACCGCACACAACCTTCCGGCCCAGAAGTAGCTGTTTGGCCACGGTGGCCGCCAGGCGGCCCAGGAGATGGCCTCGGCCGTCGAACACCAGGACCTGCCCCTCCGCCATCTTCGGCAGCCGTCTGGGCAAGCTTTTTTTTAAAATTTTAATGAGGTGAAATTTGCATAATGTGAAATTAACCATTTGTAAGTGAACAGTTCAGTTGCTATTAGTACTTCACATTGTTGTTTCATTCCAGAACATGTCCATTACCCCCAAAATGAAGTTTCACCCCTAACAACAGTTAATCCCTGTCCCCTGACAACTACTGATCTACTTTCCATCCCTTTGATTTGCCTGTCCTGGATATTTCTCCTAAGTGGAATCATACCTTATGTGGTCTTTTATATCTATATACATTCACTTAGCATGTTTTTCAGGTTCATTATGTTGTAGCATGGACCAGAACTTCATTCCTTTTTTTGTAGCTGAACAATATTCTACTGTAATGGATACACTGCGTTCGTCTACTCATCTGTTAATGGACACTTGGGATGTTTCCACCATTGAACAATTGCAGTGGGTAATTGTGACTAGCACTACTGAGAATGTATGTGTGCAAGTTTTTGAGTCCTTCTTTTCAGTTCTTTGGGGGTATATGCCTAGGAGTAAAATTGCTGGGTCAGTTGGCAATTCTGTTTAACTTTTTGAGGAACCAACTGATTTCTGCAACAGCTGCACCGTTTTATGTTCCTACCAGCAATGTAAGAGGGTCCCAATTTCTCCACATCTTTGCCAGCATATGTGTTTTTTGGTTTTGGTTTTGTTTTTAAATGACGGCCTTGATTTGAACCTTTGAAATCCAATCCTTTGGGACATCCTCAATCCTCTCTCTCTAACCCACATTTGATCCATCAGCAGGCCTTGCTAACATTATCTAGAATCTGGCACACCTTACTTCCTGAGCACCCACCATGGTCCTGTCCCCATCATCGCTGGCCTGGACCCCACAGTCACCTCCCCTCAGGACTCAGGCTTCCATCCTCACCCCCACAGTCTCTTCTCCAGTGGGCGCCTGTGAACTTCTGCATCAAAACACTTCCCTTCCCTGCTCACAGCACCCCAGGGCTCCCTGCTCACTCAGGGTAAAAGCCAGAATCCTTCCTGCTGTCATCTGAACAATCTACTGTCACCACCCTGCCTCGCCTCCTCCCACTTCCGCCTTACTCACTCTGTTCCAGGATGCAAGCCTCCTCCTCACTGTTGCTCAGAAAATACCAGGCACAGGGGCTTCCCTGGGGTCGTTGTTGTTCAGTTGCTAAGTCATGTCCAACTCTTTTCGATCCCATGGACTGCAGCATGCCAGGCTTCCCTGTCCTTCACTATATCCAGAGTTTGCTCAAACTCATGTCCATTGAGTCAGGAGTCGGTGATGTTATCTAACCATGTCTTTCCTGGTAGCTCAGTGCTAAAGAATCCACTTGCCAGTGCAGGAGACTTGGCTTCGATCCCTGGTCTGGGAAGATCCCACATGCCACAAAGCTACTAGTCCCGTGTGCCACAACTGTTCAGCCTGTGCTTGCATGTGCTAAGTCACTTCAGTCGTGTCCGACTCTTTGCGACCCCATGGATCGTAGCCCACCAGGCTCCTCCATCCTTGGGATTCTCCAGGCAAGAATACTGAAGTGGGTTGCCATGCCCTCCTCCAGAGGATCTGCTCAACCCAGGGATCAAACCTGCATCTCTTATGTCTCCTGCATTGGCAGGCAGGTTCTTTACCACTTTACCACCTGGGGAACCCCACTGAGCATGTGCTCTGGAGAAACTACTGAGCCCACACACCACAGCTACTGAAGCCGGCGCCCCAGAGCCCGTGCTCCACAAGAGGGGCCACGACAATGAGAAGCCTGCACACCGCAACTGGAGAGTAGCCCCCACTCGCTGCAACTGAAGAAAAGCCCGTGTGCAGCAGCAAAGACCCAGCACAGCCAAAAACAAATAAATACAATTATGAAAGAAAAAAAAGAAAAAGCACCAGGAACAGTTTGGCCTCAGGACCCTTGCCTTGGCTGCTGTTCCTTCTTAAAATGCTCTTCACTTAGGAAGGTCCTTCACAAACTGTGCACCCACCTCCTTTAAGCCTTTATGCTCATGTCTCACCAGAGAGCTTTCCTGACCACTTGTACTAAAATAGCACTGTCATTCTTCATCTCAGCACACCTCATCTTCCTCACCCCACTTGATTTTTTTATTTCATTAATTATTTCTGTATGTTTGGCCTCACTGGGAGGCTTGTGGGATCTTAGTTCCCCTATCAGGGATTGAACCCCGGGCCGCCTGCAATGGATATGTGGAGTCCTAACCACTGGACAGCCAGGGAGCTCCCTTGATTGTTCTTTACCTTGCTTATACCACCATCAATTATATATTTATATGTGTTTCATCTGCCTGCTCCATTGAAATACCAGCTCTGGAGAGTGGATCCTTGTCTGCTTTGGTCATAGTCCTATTCTCAGCTTCTGCAGCAGGGCCTGGCACAAGATATGTATTTGCTGACTTAGCAGTTGTTTTTGTTGTTGTTCAGTCACCAAGATGTGTTCGAATTTTGTTGACCCCATGGACGCCAGGCTCCGCTGTCTTCCACTACCTCCTGGAGTTTGCTCAGATTCATGTCCATTGAGTAGGTGATGCTGTCTAACCACCTCATCCTCTGCTGCCCTCTTCTTCTCTTGCCCTCAGTCTTTCCCAGCATCAGGGTCTTTTCCAATGAGTTGGCTCTTTGCATCAGGTGGCCAGAATATTGTGGCTTCAGCTTCAGCACCAGTCCTTCCAATGGGTATTGGATTTCCCATTGGGTTGATTTCTTTTAGGATTGACTGGTTTGATCTCCTTGCTGTCCAGAGGACTCTGAAGAGTCTTCTTCACCACCACAATATGAAAGGATCAATTCTTTGGCACTCCGTCTGCTTTATGGTCCAACACTCACAGCTGCACATGTTAATACTGGAAAAACCATAGCTTTGACTGTAGGGACCTTTGTCAGCAAAGTGATGTCTGCTTTTTAAACACTGTCTAGGTTTGTCTTAGCTGTCATTCTTGCCTTCCAAAAAGCAAGCATCTTTTAATTTCATAGCTGCAGTCACTGCAGTGATTTTGGAGCCCAAGAAAATATAGAAGTAAATGTGGATATATAAAATAGGTGCTCAATAAATAAAATAACCAATGCCTATATAACATGTGTTGTGCCCCTGATACTTGCTGTTCTTTTCTTTAATGTTTTAATTTGGTTGCCTGGGGTCTTAGTTGTGGCATAAGAGCTCAGTAGTTGCTGTGCTCGGGCTTAGTTGCTCCACAGCACTTGGAATCTTAGTTCCCCAACCAGGGATGGAACCTACATCCCCTGCATTGCAAGGTGGATTTTTAATCATTGGACCAGAGGAAGGGCTTCCCAGGTGGCTCAGTGATAAAGAATCCACCTGCTAGTGCAAAAGACACAGGAGACTCAGGTTTGATCCCTGGGTTGGGAAGTTCCTCTGGAGGAGGAAATGGCAACCAACTCTTGTCTTCTCGCTCGAAAAATCCCATGGACAGAGCAGCCTGGCGGACTACAGCCCATGGGGTCACAAAGAGTCCGACAGGATTGAGCGACTGAGCGCACATGCGTGGACCGTCAGGGAAGTCCTGCTTGCTGTTCTAAGTGCATTTCATATCTCATCTCATCTCATCTCATCTCATCTCATCTCATCTCCCCTATTCAGCCCTTTTCGCAGGCACTTTTATCACTCTCATTTTGTAGGTCGAGAAACTGAGGCACAGAGAAGTTCAGTTGCTTGCTCAAGGTCACACAGTTCTTACGCAGAACTAGGACTTGAATACAGGCAGAGCCAATGTTATCATTACGACTCGGGGCCCAGCCTCTCGTCTACCGCCCCTATTTCCCCATCTCTCCTCGCAGCCATTCCAACAAGACCTGGACCGTGGCGGTGCCCACCGGCCAGAACTGGGTGACCATCCCACGGGAACAGCTCACCACGTCTGACAAGCTCCTTGTCTGGGTGGCCAAGGCCGGCCAGCCTCTCTGGCCCCCCGTCTTCGTGAACCTCGAAACCCGAAGTAATGGGCGGGAGTGTGGGGATGCGCTGTGTGTGGGGTGGGTGGTCCTGGAGGCCCCTGCTGAATGCATTTCCTCTTCCTCAGTGAAGCCAGATGCCCCCCACCTGTACCCTGACGTGGACTTCTCAGAAGATGACCCCCTGGAGGCTGTTGTCCAGTGGGCCCCTCCTACGTGGCCACCCCATAAGGTCTTGGTCTGCCAGTTTTACTACCGAAGGTGCCAGATGCCCTGGGTGCTGGTGAGTGTTAGGGACCCTTTTCCCCCACCCTAATCTGGTGGGGCCTGGGACATCATTCCCAAATCAGAGACCTAGCCCAGAACTCATTCCTCACCTGCCCCTGGAGTCTGTCCACCTCCCTCACAAAAGGTCTGTACGTGCATCTTGTTCAGCTAAAAAATGTACCCCCACCAAGATAAATTCCATGCAGTCCCACTTGGAATTTTTTTTTTCTTTTTTGGCCATGCCATGCATGTTGCAGGATCTTAGTCCCCTGACCAGGGATTGAATCCCGGTCCTCAGCATTGAAGGCATGGAGTCCTAACCACTGGACAGCCAGGGAATTAATTCCCTTCACTTGGAATTCTTGAAAAACTCAGTAAACTTCCTCAGACACTTTCATTTAATGAATTGTTGTTGTTCAATCACTAAGTTGTATCCAGCTCTTTTCGACTCCATGGATTGCAGCACCCCAGATTTCCCTGTCCTTCACTATCTCCCAGAGTTTGCTCAAACTCATGTCCATTGAATCAAAAATGCCATCCAACAATCTCATCCTCTGTCATTCCCTTCTCCTCCTGCCTTCAATCTTCCCAACATCAGGGTCTTTTCCAGTGAGTTAGCTCTTCACATCAGGTGGCCCAAGTATTGGAGCTTCAGCTTCAGCATCAGTCCTTCCAGTGGGTATTCAGGGTTGATTTCCTTTAGGATTGACAGGTTTGATCTCCTTGCTGTTTCCTCAGATAGCTTACGTGAACCTTAAAGTAAGAGGTTAACAGCAGGGGACTTCCCTGGTGGTCCAGTGGCTAAGATTCCATGCTCCTAATGCAGGGTTCAATCTCTGGGCAGGGAATTAGATCCCACATGTTGCAACTAAGACACGGTGCAGCCAAATAAATAAATGAACACTAAAAAAAAAAAAAGGGTTTATAACAGATACTACTTAGCTCCTACTGTGTGCCACACACTATTAGAGGGTCTTTGTCAAATCCTTACAAGAACTCTTTGAGGTAGACGTGTTTTGTGCCTACCCATTTTACAGATGAGGAACAGAGCCTGGTTTTCAATAAACATTTGAAAGTGTTAATAATAAAAGTAGCTCATATTTGCAAGCACCAGCCACGCATCAGGTCCCAAGCTAAGCAATCTGCTTGGATGATCTTAATGAGGACTGTACTCCGACTTCCCTATATATAGATTATTTTATGATCATCTCTGTTTCATAGTTGGGGAAACTGAATCTCAGAGAGGTTAAGCAACTTTCCCAAGCTCACACACAGCAAAAAAAAAGAACAACAAAATGATGAAAGCTCCAGAGCAATGGGACCTCAGGAGTTGAGGAACCTGCCCAAACACTTTAAGAGCACAACCCCAAAGTTGCATGTATCTGTCATCTCATATCTCATATCTCATTGGTCAAAACGTAGTCATATGGTCTCACCTGATTGCAAGGGAGACTGGGAAATGTGGTCTTTATTCTTGACACACATGGTCCTGACAGATACTCAGGGTTTCCAAAAGAAGAAGCCAAGAATGGGTAGTGGGGGTACCCAACTATCTCAGTCACGGCTTGGGATGCAAAATACCACAATGTATAGACTTGTTTTCTTTGTGAATAGTCATGCAATTCAGAACAGTGCTAAGATACAGACGTTGAAATCCTACTGCCTGGGTGTGAATCTCAGCTGTAGTACTTACCAGCTCTGTGATCTTGGGTACGTCACTTTCCCTCTCTTGACCTTAGTTTTCCTCATCTGTAAAATGAGAACAATAATAGAATTTCCCACCTACTGCTATACCTGGCACAAAGGATAATCAAATTGTCTCCTTTTGCCAGGGATTGTCCCAATTTTAAAACTGAAAGCCCACTCTGTCTCCCAGGCAAAGCAAGACAGTACAGGTCATCCTATTGACCTCTAAGGGCTTCCCAGCTGGCTCAGTGGTAAAGAATGTGCATGTAATGCAGGAGATGCAGAAGACACGGGTTTTATCCCTAGGTCAGGAAGATTCCCTGGAGAAGGGCATGGCAACCCACTCCCAATATTCTTGCCAGAAAAATCACATGGACAGAGAAACCTGGTGGGCTGCAGTCCAGGGGATCCCAAAGAGTCGGACAGGACTGAAGTGCCTGAGCACACACATTGACATATAAAAGGTCAACTTTCAATTCAGCCTTCAGCCTCATCACTCACATGTCACTCCCCCAGCTGGAACCGGAAGTGAAGTCCATACCTCTGACCCCTATTGAGATCCAGGACCTGGAACTGGCCACTGGCTACGAGATGTTCGGCCGCTGCCAAGTGGACAAAGAGGAGGATCTGTGGGGCGAGTGGAGCCCCATTCTGTCCTTCCAGACACCACCCTCTGGTGAGGATCTCTGGGCTTCCCATCTTCTCCTCTCCTGGAAGTCTGGCCATCATGCCATTCCCATTTGTCTCTCCTTTTTCCATCCTCACCAGCTCCAAAAGATGTGTGGATCACGGGGAACATCTGTGGGGCACCGGATGAACAGGAACTCCTGCTTCTGTGGAAGGTGAGTTGTGAAGACCCATTTCTCTGCTCATGTCAGGAAACCCTGGATAACAATGATGCAGGGACTTACTTGGTGGTCCAGTGGTTACAACTCCAAGCTTTCACTCCCAAGGTCGTGGGTTCAATCCCTGGTCGGGGAACTGAGATCCCACAAGCTGCCCGCTGCTGCAAAATCAAAAATACCCCCAAAACCAAAAAAACAATGATGTAAACAAAACAGAGGCTACTATGCTGCCCTCTTGAGGCTGCTTCAGGGCTTCAAGGAGGGGATCGTCAGGGATGTCCTGGCATGGCGCTGGGCTCAGAGCAAGACTCCACCAATGTTGACTGAAAGTAGGGGATCTGAGCTGAGACTTCAAGATGGATACGAGTGTTCCAGGCATGGGGGGACGTTGGGTGCAAAGATTTAGAAGCAATACAAGGCTCAGCTCCACAAAGTATAACCAGGTATGCTAAGGGCTTTGATGTTAGTATCAAAAGGGCATTCATTGTAGGGACTTCTCTCTTGGTCCAGTGGCTAAGAATCTGCCTGTCAATGCAAGGGACATGAACAAGTTCAGTCCCTGGGCTGGGAAGGTTCCACATGCCCTGGGGCAACTAAGCCCACGTGCCACAACTACTGAAGCCCTCGCGCCCTTGATCCCATGCTCTGCAATAAGAGAAACCACCACAGTGAGGAACCCGAGCACTGCAACTAGAGAGTAGTCCCCCCTCGCAGCAACTAGAAAAAGCCAGAGTCCAGGAGCAAAGATCCAGAACAGCCAAAAATAAAATAAATAAATAATTTTTAAAAGGTGGGGGGCGGGGGCATGGTAGGGATTTCCTAGTGGTCCAGTGGCTAAGACTCTGAGCTCCCAATGCAAGGCACCTGGGTTCGATCCCTGGTCAGGGAACTAGATCCTGTATGCTAAAAGACCCCACTTCCTGCAATGAAAATTGAAGACTCCGTGTGCCTCAACTAAGACCTGGTGCAGCCAAATAAATAAATATAAAAAACAAAACAAAACAAAAACAGGGCTTGTGAGACGACAGACAAGAATGAAACAGTCCTCACTGACCCAAGTCTGTTGAGCACCTAGTCGGTTCCATGCATCACAAGGCCCTGACTCACAGTAAACATGGCAAGAAACCAGTAACAGGGCTCTTACTTTCTTGGGCCACACGATCTAATAATATCACTCACTTTAACCATGCATAATGTTTCCAGAGCTCTTACTGTGTGCCAGGTCCTCGCCTACACACTTATTATGTTGACAAACTTTACAGATGGGAAAACGAGACAGAGAGAGGTTGCCCCAAACCACACAACTGGTACATGGCAGAGCTGATGTTTATTGGCTTTCAAAGCATAATTCACAGTTTCAGTACCTTTATTTTATTTATTTAAATTTTTTTTCCCTTTTTTTGGCCATGCTCCAGGGCCTGTGGGATCTTAATTCCCTGACCAAGGATCAATCCTGTGCTCCTTGCATTGGAAACATGGAGTTGTAATCACTGGACCACCAGCAAAGTCCCTCAGTGCCTCTGTTTTATGACACATACCTTGTAATGCCCCTTACTATGCTGAAATCAAATACATAGCTCAGGGCTTCCCTGGTGGCTCAGTGGTAAAGAATCTGCCTGCCAATGCAGGAGAAACGGATTCAGTCCCCCATCCGGGAAGAGCCCACATGCAACTGAGCAACTCAGCCTGTGTGCCACAACTATTTAGCCTGTACTCTAGAGCCTGGGAACCACAGCTGAACCCGTGTGCCGCAGCTACTGAAGCCTGTGTGCCTAGAGCCCGTGCTCCACGGCAAGAGAAGCCGCCGCAATGTGAAGCCCAAGTACCACAACCAGTAGCCCCCACCCTCTGCAACTAGAGAAAAGCCCATCAAGCAACGAAGCTCCATACAGCCCCAAGTAAATAATACATGATAAAATTATAAAATAGAAATATAGTTCTTATAACCCATATATATATATATATATATATATATATATATACACATTTAAAAGTGTATAAATACAGTGTATTGTGTTGTAACATACAGTGTACAGTGTATTGTAACATTCAGTAGAAAATAAAGGAGAAATAAGGCTGCCACATAATGCCAGAGTATTCAGTTCACCAGTATGGCATGAGGACTACCTCTGTACCTACCTGATAGGGTTGTGTTATTCTCTTAGTGGTCCGACTCTTTGCGGGCCCACGGACTGTAGCCTGCCAGGCTTCTCTGTCCATGGGATTCTCCAGGCAAGAATACCGGAATGGATTACTGTGCTCTCCTCTGGGGAATCTTCCCGCCCAAGGATCGAACCCGGGTCTCCTGCACTGCAGGCAGTTTCTCTACTGTCTGAGCCACCAGAAAGCTCCGTGTACCTCATAACATAGCTTTAAAATACATAAAGTGAAAATTGACAGAACTACAAGGGGAACTCTATGAATTCACATCCATTGTGGGAGATTTTCACATACTCCTCTAAGTAATTCCATAACAAGCAGCTGGAAAACAAGTCAAGATCTAGAAGATCTGAGCATGTGAGTAGCTGACAACCAAGTGGACTCACATAGGGACCATCTGAACATGCATTCTTTCCATACCAAACAGGACATTTACCAGAGTCGTCCACATACCAGGCTATTGAGCCAGTTTCCAAGGACTTCAAAGGGATGAGACGATGCAAGAGAAATGCTCTGATCAAAACACAGATCATACTGGAAATTGATAATCACAACTGCCTGAAAAGTCCCTATATGTTCGGAATATTTTAACATTCAGTGAATATTAAAACCCATTCCCCAAAGCTTTTGTATTTATACATCAAATGGTGTTTGGTCTTAGGATCAGCTAAAATTGCTAGATTTTTCTATCTTCAGAAATTTCCATTTGGGATGACATTCTAAAGTCACAAGGGAGGTGGGACAACTTTTTGTTTCTAGGAGAGGGTAGTGTCCCTGGCTCTTGCTCATCAAATACCAATCGTTGAGGTAACCAGATAGTCTCACAAGTTTCCCCAAAGGACTCTGGAGGGTACCATCCTCTTTGCTACACATAACCACTCCTCTGTACAACAGTGGGAATTTTGCAGTCCCTAAGAACCACATAGGACAGAATGGGGTAAGGTGAGCAAGGCAGGGTTATACAAGTGCATGGCCAGATTTTGTCTTTGAGCACCGAAGAACTGATGCTTTTGAACTGTGGTGTTGGAGAATACTCTTGAGAGTCCCTTGGACTGCAAGGAGATCCAACCCGTCCGTCCTAAAGGAGATCAGTCCTGGGTGTTCATTGGAAGGACTGATGCTGAAGCTGAAACTCTAATACTTTGGTCACCTGATGAGAAGAGCTGACTCATTTGAAAAGACCCTGATGCTGGGAAAGATGGAAGGCAACAGGAGAAGGGGACAACAGAGGATAAGACAGTTGGATGGCATCACTGACTCAATGGACATGGGTTTGGATGGACTCTGGGAGTTGGTGATGGATAGGGAGGCCTGGCGTGCTGTGGTTCATGAGGTCTCAGGGAGTCGGACACGACTGAGCGACTGAACTGAACGGAAAGTATTTTTTTTAGAAATCATTTTATTTTCTCTTGTTTTTTAAACATTTATTTTTGGCTGCACCGGGTCTTCGGTGCTGCATGTGGGCTTTGTCTAGTTGCAGAGGGCAGGGGCTACTCTCTAGTTGTGGTGCATGAGCTTCTCACTGCAGTGGCTTCTCTCTACCCTGGTGGTTCACAGGCTATAGACATTCCAGCTCGAGTAGTTGCAGCTCGTGAGCTCAGTAGTTGGCAGCTTGCTGGCTCTAGGGTGAGCAGGCTTCAGTAGTTTTGGCCCATGGGTTAGTTGCTTTGCAGCATGTGGAATTATCCCGGACTAGGAATCGAATCCATGTTCCCCCTATTGGCAGGAGGATTCTTATTCTCTGCACCACCAGGGAAGTCCCTTACTTAAAATCTTGATAATTTGTTTGTCATGGTTTTTTTTGCATTAATTTTGATGGATTAAAATACTGTGTTACAACAAGGTCCTACTGTAGAACGGAGAACTGTATTCAATATCCGGTGATAAACCATAATGGAAAAGAGTATGAAAAAGAATGTATATGTGTGTGTGTGTGTCTGTCACTGCTTACAGCGCAATGAACACAGCTTCATAAATCAACTATACTTCAGTAAAAAGAAATTTTAAAAATATTGCATTAAAATATAATTTATCTTGATTGGATTTTTGGTATCCTTTCTTGTTTTGCACCCTAGTTCTGGCTCACGCGCTGTATTCTAATCTCACTTCTGCTGTTGAGCCCCTCTGAGACTTGGCTTCCTCCCCTGTACCGTGAAACCAGGGCTTCCTTGGTGACTCAGCGGTAAAGAATCCACCTGCCAGTGCGGGAGATGCAGGCTCAATCCCTGGGTCAGGAGGATCGGCCTGGAGAAGGAAATGGCAACCCACTCCAGTATTCTTGCCTGGAAAAATCCCACGGACAGAGGAACCTGGTGGGCTACACTCCATGGGGTCACAAAAGAATCAGACATGACTTTGTAATCAAACAACGGTGAAACCAACAAAAATGTTTCACTGATGGGTTTATCCAGTGACCTCACTGAGATGCACAGTATGTGCCTGATAAGGAGAGATTCACCGCTCCTTCCGCTCATCCTTTAGGCTTCGGGGCTCTGCGTGCAGGTGACCTACAGAGTCTGGATCCAGGTTAAAGATCAGGACGTGATCCAAGAGGAGACTCCCTGCTGCAACTTCTCCATCCCCACCCAAGCGGAGTGGGTGGGGGTGTCTGCCCTGAATGACACAAGCTGGGAGCCTCCTACCGACCTCTTTTTGACCTGTTTGGGTAAGAGGCTGTGAATTCCCTTTGTGAGATGCCCGGGAGGCGCAAGTGGAGACTTCCCACGTAGACAGCTGAGGTTTCTCCTCCTCATCCTCTAGGTCCAGACTTTGCCCCGCATGGCGTGGTGGTCAGGAGCATCTCTGGAAACAAAGAGCTGCTGGTGACTTGGCAACAGGAGCCTGGGGAGCTGCAGGAGCATGTGGTGGACTGGATTCGAGACGGCGACCCCTTGGAGAACCTCAACTGGGTTTGGCTTCCTCCTGGGAACCTCAGTGCAGTGTTGCCAGGTGAGGCCGAAGGGCACCTGGGTTCCCATTTCAGCTGTTGGAGAACAGAGGAGAGGCTGGATTTGCAGAAGAGTGTTCAAGTATTATTAATTCGTGCAAGAAATATTCATTGACTACCCACTGTGTGCCAAGCCCTATTCTAGACACCGGTACACAATGATGGGCTTCCCCGGTGGCTCAGCAGTAAATAATCCACCTGCAATGCAGGAGATGCAGGGTCAATCCCCAGGTTGGGATGATCCTCTGGAGAAGGAAATGGCTACCCACTCCAGTGTTCTTGCCTGGGAAATCCCCTGGACAGAGGAGCCTGGAGGGCTACAGTCCGTGGGGTCACAAGAGTTGGACACGACTTAGCAAATTAATGACAACACACACAGTGATGGCAGCTGATGTGTATTGGCCTTTCCATCAGCGTGAAGTCATTCAATCTTCCTTATAAAGCAGGTTTCTGCTATTATCATGAAGATAAAGAAAAAGGCTCAGAGAAGTTAAGCAACTCCCCTGAGGCCATACAACAAGTATATGGTAGAACCAGGATTTGAACCACATAGTCAGGTTCCTAAAGCCAAACCCTGAACTATCACTGTAGTCTCCTCTCAACAGCATCCCTACCCTCATCCCCCCCAACTTCTCCATCCTCATCTTGTAGGGCAGGCAACCAGTGGAACAAAAAACAAATACCTCTGTAATGCAATTTGCTGTTTGGTTGCTAAGTCGTGTCCAACTCTGTGACCCCATGGACTGTAGCCTGCCATGCTCCTCTGTCCACGGGATTTTCCAGGCCAGAATACTGGAGTGGGTTGCCATTTCCTTCTCTAGGGGATCTTCCTGATACAGGGATGGAACTTGCATCTCCTGCATTGCAGGAGGGTTCTTTACCACTGAGCCACCAGGGAAACCCCTGTAAAGTAATTGGAGCAAAGTAAATCAGGGTAAGGGGAAGGAGGGAAGATATTTATTTTAGGGGGAAAAAAAAAAAGAAAAAGTCTCTCTGGGAAAGTGGCATTTAAACTAAGACCTGAAGGATCCATGAGGATGTCTATGGGAAAAAACAAGAGGGGACAAACAGTGCAAAGTCTGAGGCAGAAATGTGCCTTAGGTGTTAGAGTGCAGTGGGGAGGCCAGTGTGGCTGGAGTGGAATGAGCAAAGGGGAAAGTGGGAGGAGGTGAGGGCAGGGAGGGGACAGGGCAGAATGTGCAAAGCCTTGTGGCTCATGGAGAAGACTTTGATTTTTTCTGCCAGTGAGGCGGGAGCCACGCAGGGCTCTAAGCGAGGAAGGGTGTGTCCTGACTCAGTTGCTCACAGGTGCCCCCTGGCGGCTCTGGGAGGAACGGACTGGGAGGGCGAGGGCTGGAATTGAGAAACCCAGGAGGGACTGGGGGCTTCCCTGGTGGCTTAGACGTGAAGAATCTGCCTGCAGTGCAGGAGACCTGGGTTTAGTCCTGGGTCTGGAAGATTCCCTGGAGAAGGGAGTGCCTCCCCACTCCAGTATTCTACCCTGGAGAATTCCGTGGACAGAGAAGCCTGGCGGGTTACAGTCCATGGGGTCACAAAGAGTCGGGCACCAATGAGGGAGTGACACTTGCCCTTTCAGAAAGGACTGTATTTGCTCCTTCTGAGAGGGAACGAAGGAAGGGAGAAAAGCAGGCAGGTTCTTGTTGGGGAGTCTTACGCAGAATTTGGGGGACCCATTTGGATTTGTTGCACCTGACTTGCTCCTCCAAGTGGGATTGTCCATGGGACTGTCAGATACTCAAGTCTCAAATCTAGCAATAAGTTCTAGGCTGAGATTTAACACTGGGGAGTCTGTCCTTGGTGTAAAGAACTTGGGATAGCCTGAGAAGGTGTCAAGTGAGAGATTTAGGATAAAGTCCCAAGACTATAAGTATAAATGGACAGAAGAAGAGGAGCCCCAGTTTTGGAAAATTCCCAGTTGGGGAAGGCTATATGGCACCACAGATTTTGAGAAGGGATTTCAGGAGCCTTATTTACTGTGATGGATGATGTCAGGGCCCCACTCAGAGCCCAGAGTTTATCTCCCAGTCTCTGGCACCTGCATTCCTGGCCCGAGGGCTTTTTCTGGTCTGAAACATCTTGCCTGCCTAGATAGCTGAAGTGCCTGGGAATCAAGGCCCCTCATATGCAGCCTTTCACCAATAATGGTCGATGGATAAATACCCCACCTCCCTCCCTGCTTGGGTGGGATGGAGCTCAGGATTGTCAGCTCTTCTGCCACCCAGAGGGCACCAGTGGGACTGAGTCTTGGTTGGTCATATTGGGAACTTGTTCTCTAACACACAGTTTCCTGGGTGTCTTTCCTTCCCTGCTTCGTTTCCCCACTGCCCTATTGGTGTTTTCTATGGTTACCTTCCAGATAAATTACTTTTCCTCAAAACCCTTATAGCAGAGCGTCCCTCTGGAGACACCAATGAAGATTCCTTACAGAATAAGAAACGAGTTGGGGGGGCGGGGCGGGCAGCCAACTCTAACTGGTCTTTGCTCCTGTCCTCCTCAGTGGATTTCAAGGAAGGGGTCCCTTACCGAATCACGGTGACCACGGTCTCTCCTTGGGGCTTGGCCCCTGCCCCCTCCGTCTGGAAGTTCAGAGAGGAACTAGGTAGGTGGTGGGCCTGGAGGATGGAGGGTTCTGAAATCCTGGCAGAACCTGACCCACTGACTTTGTCTCGCCAGTACCGTTATCGGGGCCAGTGGTTTGGCGAATCCAGGATGCCCCCTCAGGGACCCCTGCCGTAGCGTGGGGAGAGGTCCCACGGCACCAACTTCGGGGCCATCTCACCCACTACACCCTGTGCACTCAGAGTGGAACCAGGCCTCCTGTCTGCAAGAATGGTGAGCTCCTCCGCCTCTGCTCCCAGCCCCCGTGAGACCCACACATCAGTCTAACCCCCCTTTGCCCCGACATGGGACCTTTTGGCTTCCTCTCAGCCCCTCCAAGAACCCCTGATATCATGGGTTCCCCAGTGGATAATAACCCTGGTGGCTATCAGTATAATAGACTGTCTTGTGGCCGTTTAAAATGAAGAGTCCGATCTATATTTATTGCCATTGAAAGATGCCTGTCATAGTTTATTAAGCGAAAAAAGATAAAAGGGTTATAAAACTTTGTGGGATGGTTCCACTTGTATACAGTAAGAAACCCAGCACCGAGCAAAGCAGAGACACAACTATGGAAAGAAATTCCTCCACAGCATCAATAGGGATTTTAGAATTACATATGATTTTTATTTCTTTTTTATACCTTTGGATGTAGGCTAAATTTTTACGGTGAGTCCAGATTCCTTTTAAAAATGCCTTTCTTATTTTTGGCCGCTCTGGGTCTTCGTTGCTGCTCGCTAGCTTTCTCTAGTTGCGGCGGTTCCCGGGCTTCTCATTGCAATGGCTTCTGTTGCAGAGCACAGGCTCTCAGGGGCTCTGGCTTCAGTCCTTGTGGCGCGTGGACTTCGCTGCTCTGCAGTATGTGGGATCTTCCTGGACCAGGGATCAAATCTGTGTCCCCTGCATTGGCGGGCAGATTCTTAACCACTGGACCACCAGGGAAGTCCCTAAATTCTCTTTATCACCCTTTCCCCCACTGTCACCTTGAGATATAATTGACAAACACACTATGGATGTTTAAGGTGTACATCGTAATGGTTTGACTTACAAATACTGTGAAATGATTCCCAATATAAATTTCGTTCACATCCATCATCTCACACAGATACCATAAAAAGTAAAAAAAAGTAATAAAACTTGAAAATATTCTTTTCTCCTGATCACAAAAGTTAGCTGTTCTTTGTTTTTAAAACGGACACGCTGGGGCTTCCCTAGTTGCTCAGTGGTGAAGAATCCACCCGCCAATGCAGGAGACGAGGGCTCGATCTCTGACCCGGGAAGACCCCACATGCCTCGGAGCAACTCAGTCTGTGTGCCACAACTATGAGCCTGTCCTCTAGAACCAGAGAGCCTCCACTACTGAGCCCACGGGCTGCACCTCCTGAAGCCCGGGCACCTAGAGCCCATGCTCCACAATGAGAGAAGCCGCCACAATGTCTGTGCTCCATGACTAAGTAGCCCCTGCTCTCCACAGCTAGGGAAAACCCGCTCAGCAATGAAGACCCAGCACAGCCAAAAATAAAGAAATAAAAGTATTTAAAAAACAGACACATTAAAAAAGTATATATACTCAAATACATCAGCATTCTCATCACTTCAGTGATACTGATCATGCAGCTTCCATATTTTGCCCTGTGTACGTTAACACAAAGATGGGAGTGGTGTTTTTTTGTGTTGTTTTTGAGTTCTGTTGTTTGAAAATTTTAAACTGCTTTACTGTAGAAAATTTCAAGCAAAAGTAGGAAAAATAGTATAGCAAACCCTTGTGTACCCACCATCCAGTTTCAGTAGTTAACTGCATTTAATCATTCTTGTTTCAGTGTATCCCCCACACTTTTTACCTCATGTGTCTTTGGTTTCATTTCACCCTTAAATAATTCGGTACTTCTGCTTTTGTCTCTAACTGATAAAACCTATTTTTTTAAAAACATAGTTACTTTGCCATGACTGCACTTTGCACAAGTACATAGATATCACTGGGTTAAAAATCATATATATTTATGTGTTGCTCAGTTGCTAAATTATGTCTGATTCTTTGCAACCCCATGGACTGCAGCATGCCAGGCTCCCCTGTCCTTCACATCTCCTGGAGTTTGCTCAGATTCATGTCTGTTGAGTGGATGATGCCATATAACCGTCTCATCCTCTGCTCCCCTTTCTCCTTTTATGAGTACATGTACCTACTATTATTAAAAGAGAATCATGTTATAGGCCCCTAAAGCTTGTGACTGACGTTTTGCAGCTTTCTTTTTCTACTTGATGTTTTAGCTTGGATCTTTATATGGCATATCCAGTTAAAAAGCACACAAAAGCAGGGAATTCCCTGGCGGTCCAGTGGTAAGGACTTTCGAGAAGAATTTGGGGGACCCATTTGGATTTGTTGTACCTGACATGCTCCTCCAACTGGGATTGTCCATGAGATGGTCAGATACTCAGGTTTCAGATCTAGCAGTAAGTTCTAGGCTGAGATTTAACACTGCAGTCTCTCCTTGGTGTAAAGAACTTGGGACAGCCTGAGAAGGGCATCAAGTGAGAGATTAAGGATGGAGTCCCAAGACCATAAGTATATATAGACAAAAGAAGAGGAGCCCCAATTCTGGAAAATTCCCAGTTGGGGAAGGCTATATGGCACCACAGGTTCTGAGAAGGGATTTCAGGAGCCTTATTTACTGTGATGGGTGGCATCAGGGCCCTACTCAGAGCCCAGAGTTTATCTCCCAGTCTCTGGCACCTGCATACCTAGCCTGAGGGCTTTTTCTGGTCTCTGGCATTTTGCCTGCCTCAACAGCTGGAAGTGCTGGGGAATCAAGGCCCTTCAGTTGCAGCCCTTTATCAATGCCTGATAATAGTTGATGGACAGGTAGTTAGGACTCTTACAGCTGAAGGTCTAGGTTCAGTTCCTGGTCTGGGTTCAATCCCTGGTAGGGGAACAAAAATCCCACAACTGTAAGGCACAGTCAAAGAAGTAAACAAAAACAGTTGTGGGAGGTGCAGATGTCTTTCCCTGGTCTGAAGCAAATTTCCCTTCACTGGATCCTCTGCATTCTGAGGGATATGATATTCATGCATTCTTTTATTTATTCCAATATACACTTGACCCTTGAACAACACAGGTTTGAACTGTGCAGGTCCAGTTATACATGACCTTTTTCCATAGTATATTTAACAGTACTATCCATGGTTGGTTGAATCTGCTGATGTGGAACTAGGAATTACAGAGTGTGTGTTAGTTGCTCAGTTATGTCTGACTCTTTGCGACCCCAGGGACGGTAGCCCACCAGGCTTCTCTGTCCATGGAATTCTCCAGGGAAGAATTCTGGAGTGGGTAGCTATTCCCTTCTCCAGGGGATCTTCCCCACCCAGAGATCAAACCCAGGTCTCCTGCATTGCAGGCAGATTCTTTACCAGCTGAGCCACCGGGGAAGCCCCTATTGAGGAACCACAGATAAGGGGGGGCAGAGAGTGAGTTGGTGACTGGGAGAGAGTGTTGGTGACTCAGTGGTAAAGAACCCGCCTGCCAGTGCAAGGGATGCAGGAGGTTCGAGTTCAATCCGTGGGTGGGGAAGACCCCCTGGAGGAGGAAATGGCTACCCACTCCAGTATTCTTGCCTGGAGATTTCCATGGACAGAGGAACCAGCTGGGCTACAGTCCATGGGGTCGCAAAGATTCATACTTGACAGCAGCAGCACAGATAAGGAGGGCAGACTATAAATTATACTGTACTTGGATTTTTAACAGTTAAGAGTTGACACCCCTAACCCCTGCCTTGTTCAAAGGTCAACTGTGTATCACTATTTAGTGGTTTCCATGTGCCAGGCACTGACTAGAGCTGGACACGACTCTGGGAATATGGCCCTCGTGGCCCTAACTTTCTCATGGGGGACATGCAGGCATAGATAAAGTAAATACTATCTATGCAGTGTATCAGATGATGCTAAGTGCTGAGTAGAGGAATAAAGCAAGAAAGATGAATGGAGAAGCAAGTGCTGTTTTAACTGGTTGGGGTGGAGGGGCAGTCAGGAAAGTTCTCACTGAATAGGTGACCTGTGGGCAAAGAGCTGAAGGAGGTGAGGCGGGAACCATGTGGATATCTGGGAGAGAGTGTTGCAGACAGCATGGCACATGCAAAGGTCCTGAGGCAGGACTTGACTGCCTCCCTCACCTCTCTGGGTATGTCCTTCAGTGACTGGCAGCACCCGAACCATGACCCTGCCCGACCTTCACTGGGGTCCCTGCAAGCTGTGGGTGACTGCGTCCACCATCGCAGGACAGGGCCCACCTGGTCCAAGCCTCCAGTTCCACCTACCAGGTAGGGGTCTGGGGTGGGACTGCTTTGGGAGGGGGCCCTGTTCCACTGGAGGGCGGTTACACAATCCTTACTGAACTTCATTGGGTAGACAACCTTTTGACTTGGGGATGTTGATGATGCATTTTGATGCTGCTAAATACTGCTGTGGATTAACAGGCAATGTGTGTCTTTGACCCTTTCACCCATCCCTGACCTTGACCTTCTCACAAGTCCCACTCCCACTCTGAGACTCCCCCTACTGATTCGTGCCTGCATGCTGTCCTGAGTCATGTCTGACTGTTAGTGACCCCATGGACTATAGCCCACCAGGCTCCTCTGTCCGTGGGTTTCTCTAGCAAGAATACTGGAGTGGGTTGTCATTTCCTTCTCCAGGGGATCTGCCAACCCAGGGACCAAAACCTAATCTTCTGCATCTCCTGCTTTGGCAGGCAGATTCTTTACCACTGGGCCACCTGAGAAGCCTTCACCCATTCATGAGCCCTGCCCATTTATCCACTTCCTTACCTGTCCCCTGCCCCACCCATGAGCCTTCCCTGAGCCCTCCCGGCCTTCTTGATGTCCAAATGTTCTGCCCCTCCCCCTTGCCCTCCAGATAACACCCTGAATTGGAAAGTTCTGTCAGTTGTCTTTTTCCTGTGGGGTGTGCTCCTGACCGGCTGTGGTATGAGCCTGGCCACCTGTGGAAGGTGAGGCCGTCAGACACATGGGTCTCTGCCCAGGTGGGGAGGGCAGCTGGGCATCGCTGAGCTTGGCTTGGCAGGGGTGGTGGGGGGAGTGGGGGCTGCGGGGATGAGGGGATGATGCTTCAGAGCTCTGTGACGCGCCTGGACCTTGCCATCTGGGCATGGGTATCTGGCCACCTGGATTCCCTGCCCTGACTCTTCACCTGCTTGCCAGGTGTGTCCACCTGCAGCACAAGATACTGCCCCATTGGATCTGGGAGAAGATTCCTGACCCTGCCAATAGCAATTTCAGCCTGCCGCACATGAAGGTGAGTGAAAAGCCTGGCTTCTTGGGGCCCTCTAGGGGATTGGGGAAAGCTGGGACAGTGGGAAATAGTTGGGAACTAGGGTGGGGGGGTTACGAGGGGAAGGGGCTTCCCAGGATTTAATGGTAAAGAGTTCAGCTGCCAATGCAGGAGACATGGGTTTGATCCCTGGGTCGGGAAGATCCCTGGAGGAGGGCGTGGCAACCCACTCCAGTATTCTTGCCTGGAGAATCCCAGGGACACAGGAGCCTGGTAGTCCATAGGGTCGCAGAGTTGGACACAACTGAAGCAACTTAGCACGCACACTCACATGTACAAGGGAAACAATCTCGGCCTCTTCTTTCCCCAGGAGGTGCCCCAGGCCCAGCCCCCTGGCGACTCACCCATCCTGGAAGTGGAGGAAATAGAGCAGGTTCCAGTTAAGGAGCCCCCCCAGCCCTTGGCGCCACTGGACTCTGGGTATGAAAAACACTTCCTGCCCACACCTGAGGAGCTGGGCCTTCTGGACCCCACTGCAGGCTCCAGGTTACGGCCTGAACTGACCTCAGGAGGGGAGAGGGGAGCTCCTTTGACAGATGAAGACACACAGGCTCAGAGCTGAGTCACTTGCCTGAGGACACCCAGCCAAGGAAGAGCTGAGACTAAAGGACCCCTACAGAGAAGGGCCTGGCCCTACAGGGAAAATGTGGATGGATGAGGGAGCAAAGGAAAAATACATGATATCCAGAGTGGCAGCTACTCCCCAGATCTGTCCTGCTGCTATCACAGAACTGTAGTCAGACGCACTGCCAGCCTCCCTTGCAGCTCGGTGTAACCAAGGACTGAGTTTTCACTGGTGAAACCTAAGCAGAGGTGACGAGCATCAACGCTGGGTCTGGGTGGGGGCTCTTCCACATTCCCTTCCCTTTCCCATGAGCTGGAGCCCTGATGTGCCTGTGATACAGCTTTGGCCACACCCAAGGTGAAGGCAGCGCAAGAAACAGAAAACAGGATTTCCAAGTGATCCCATAGACGTGTCCAAAGAAATAAATTTTTTTCTCTTTTGATAGCTACTATAGCTTGAGATCTTTTTGTCACAGCAGCCACATCTATTTAACTCACTGACTCAATCTTTGCTTCTAGCAGAGTCCAGCCCTCCACTTCCCACCACGAGACGGTGAGGTGGTTCTGGGCCAACAACACACACACACACTCTGTCCGAATGCTTAGCGTTTTATTTTCAAGTATAAAAAGCTTTGTCACAGAAGAGGGCCAGGTCACAGGCAGCGGGTGAGGGGTCCGGAAGCCCGGGTGGAGGTGGAGCGTGTACACCAATGGGCTCCCAGGTGCCATGGTGAGTCCAGTGCCCCGTCTGCGCCCGGGACTGCCTGCTGGATGCCAAGAGGCCGAGGTAGCTGTGAGAGGAGCTGAGAGAAGGGTGGAGGGCATGGGCTCACATAACCGTGCAACACTGGCATGTCTTCTGCTTAGGGCCGCTTGCCTCTTCACCTTCCGGAGGGGCAGAGGGCTCCGGCTGCCGGGCAGGTGCATAGGTGGGCACGGGGCGGGCACTGGGGTTGGCCCTGGGCCCCTCCATCTGCAGCAGTGGCTGGCACTCAGCAGGCTGATCCTGAGCTGACATCTCTGCCAGGAGTGGGGTGGCATCTCCAGTGGGGTCCCGGCCCTCAGCAGGAGTTTGGGGCTTTGCTGCTTCCACTTCTGCTTCTGGGGAGCCTTCCTGCTTCTCCTGGGGCTGCTGTCCTTCATCCTCAGGCCTTGGCACCTCCTTGGCTTCTGGGGGAGCCCCTGCCTCACTCACTTTCTCTGCCTGACATCCCTTTTCTTCTGACTCTCTCTGCTCCTCCCCGACCCCCTGAGTCTTCTCTGTCGGCAACGGCTCCTCACCCCCGGTTCTCTCTGCCTTCAGCCAGTCCTCATCTCCATTTTTCTCCACCTCTGATGGCTCCTCACCTCCGGTTCTCTCTGCTGTCTGTGATTTCTCATCTCTTGTCTTCGCTGCCTCCAGTGGCTCTTGACCTCCCGGTCCTGCTACCTTCTGTGATTTCTCATCTCCTGTTTTCTCTGCCTCCAAGGGCTCTTCGTCTCCCATTCTCTCTGCCCTCTCATCTCCTTTTTCCTTTTCCTCCAATGGCTTCTCACCTCCTATTCTCTCTGCCATCAGTGACTCCTCCCCTTTTCTCTCTGCTGTCTCTGGTTCTTGGCTTGCCTCTAGCTTTTCCTCACCTCCTTTCTGCTCTACTCCCAACGGCTTCTCATCTCTTCCCCTCTCTGCCCCCCGAGGTCCCTCAGCTTCTTTCCTTTCTGCCAACAATGGTTCGTCACCTCCTCCCATCTCTGTTTCCACGTGTTCCTCACCTCTTCTGTCTGGCTCCAAGGATTCCTGGCTCCCTTTCCCCTCCACCACCAGTGACATCTCCGCCCCTTCTGGCTCCGTGCCTGCCTTTCCCTCACTGCCTCTCTCCTCTGCACCTTCAGGTCCTTCTGCCCGCCTCCTCTCCGTCTCCCACGTTTCCTCCTCGCCTCTGCCCTCCACCCGCCCTGGACTCTCATCCTCTTCTTCCCTTCCCAGTGCCTTTGGCCCTTCCAACCCCTCCACCTCCAGCTCCTCCCATTCCTCACTGAGGGTCACTCTCTCCACCCAAATGAAGGACCCCTCCTCTCCTCCAAAGACCCCCTGCCCATCACCATCAGGGCTGCTTCTGGGGGCACCTGCTCCAGGACCTGCTCCCCCCGCTCCCTCCCGGAGCCCCAGGGAGCCGGTCTGCACGGCCTCTGGGCCCCTGCCTGCCTCCGCCATGGCCTCCAAATCACTGCCCTCTGTACCCCCCACCCCCTCCCAGACCACCTCCACAATGGCCCTGTCCTCCTTGACCCACGAGGGGAGCTCTGGACGGCTGGCTTCCTGTCTGTCCCCGATGGCCTCCAATACCATCTCCTCCACCTTAGCCTCCAGCTCCAAGCCTGTGGCCCCGACGGCACAGTCCTCCGTGGCCCTCAGCCCCTCCCACACCACCTTCACCATGCCTCCCGCTTTGGCCTCATTCACTGCCCCCTCAGGTGCTACCACCCGCTGACTTGACTCCTGCTCCAGAGGGAGGCTGGATCCAGGGCAGGGGCCATTGGCTTCTGAGGAGGTCCCTGCTGCCCCAGGGACCTGCCTTGGGGCTGCTGGAACCCCGGCAGCCTCAGTTCTGGGCTCGGAGGGGGACTCCGGGTATGTGCCCACTGGTCCGGCTGGCAAGGAGGCTCTCTTGTTTAGATCAGTCTGGCCTGGGGAAGTCAGGGAAGAGGAGAGATGGGGCAACAGTGTGAGATTCAGGCCCTTCCTCTTGAGACCCCCAGACCTCAAAACACCCACCTGCAGGACCTGACTCCACGCTGGGCTGGGAGAGAGGACGGTGACCCTGCAGGGATGGCAGAAACAAGGTCAGGGCAGCCCACATCTCACTTCCAGCCTCCAGCATGCCAGCACCCCTCCCCTGTTCAAACACCCTGGATGGCTCCCCATTACTTCAGGACCAAACCATGAGTCTTCCTCACCTCTCTAATCTCCCTCTACTGCACTGCCCTGCACTTGGTATGCACCCAGTCAATCCGGTGTCCATGCAGCCACGCCCTCTATTGGGGACCTACTCTGCCAGCTACTGAGGTTACTTAAGGGACATGCATGCGTGCTCCGTCGTGTCTGACTCTGTGACCCCATGAACTGTAGCCTGCCAGGCTCCTCTGCCCATGGAATTTTCCAGACAAGAATATGAGATCGGGTTGCCATTTCCTACTCCAGGGGATCTTCCTGACCCAGGGATCAAACTCACATCTCCTGCACCAGCAGGCGGATTTTTTACAACTGAGTCGCCTGGGAAATCCCACTTAAGGGATACTTAAGACTTTTGCTGTTAAAACTTAAATTCCAGTGGGAGGAAGCAGGTAATAAACATAAAATACAAATCTATACTTCAGGAAGCGAGAAGGGCTATGATGGGGGGCAGGAATAGGATAAGGGGCTAGGAAATGCCTGGGAGGTGATGGGGTGCCTCCTGTAGGTATAAAATGCAGGAGGGGGACTTCCCTGGTGGTCCAGTGGCTAAGACTCTATGCTCCCAACGCAGGGTCATGGGTTTGACCCCTGGTCAGGGAATTAGACCCCACATGCTGCAACTAAGATCTGATGCAGCCAAATATATATTAAAAAAAAAAAAAAAAAAGATGCAGGAGGGCCTCTTGGAGGTGGTGACATTGAACAAATGGCTGAAAGGTGAGAAGAGCCAGCCTTGAGTCAAGAGGTGGGAAAGGGCATTCTAGGAAGAGGGGAAAGGCAAGTGCAAAGCCCTGGGGCTATAATGAATTAAGCAAGTTCAAGGGACAGAAAACGGTCAGGGTGGCTGGAGTGGAGTGAGGAAGGGATGGAGGGAAAGATGAACTCAGGGAGGGGAGCTGGGGACCTGGCCACGCAGGCCACCTCCACCAAACCCCACAGATCGCTCATAGCTCTCAATCCTACCTTCCTCTGTCTAAAGGTCTCCTCTCCCCTTCTGTCCTGATACAGGCACCTGGGAGCCAAAGTAAGGCATCAAGGAGAGGTGGGGGCTGTGGAAAACCCACAGCTTACTGTGGCCAGGTGCATCAGTTACTGGATCTATGGATACTGGATAGTGTTACTGGATCTATGGACTTCAAGGATAACCCAGAAAGCCAGATTTTAATGTAAAGTCGTCTTGGTTTTCAAAGACCCATATGTTGTACGGCATGTGGATTTTATCTTAATAGAGGCATTACCAAAACAAAATCCCAAATCCCTCAAATCATGGAGATGCCTCAAATCATTAGAGCATTTCATGGGGACCCTTTTCCCATTTGGGAGGCTGAATTCTGAGAACACATCCCCACAATTTCTTTTGTTTTTTTTTTTTTTTTGGCCAAACTGTGCGGCTTGTGGGATCATTTTAGTAATCCCAACCAGGGATTGAACCCAGGCCACTATAGTGAAAGCACCGAGTCCTAACCGCCGAACTGCCAGGGAATTCCCAGCCCCAGCCCCCCAGCCCCAACCCTGCCCCACAACATTTTCTGACTACTTTCTTCATTCAGGTCATATTGGCAATCATATATCAAAATAGGGCTTCCCTGGTGGCTCAGATGATAAAGAATCTGCCTGCAATGCAGGAGATCCCGGTTCAATCCCTAGATCAGGAAGATCCCCCGAAGAAGGAAATAGCAACTCTAGTATTCTTGCCTGGAGAATTCCATGAACAGAGGAGCCTGGCGGGCTATAGTCCATGGGGTCACAAGGTCAGACACGACTGAGCGATTAACACAACTCGACAACATATCAAAAAAACATTCCGTTGTGCCTGCTTCCGGTACCAAGCTATGATCTCACTGACCTTCTTCCACACCTCTTCCAGCTGTGTGCTATTGTTATATATACCCATTTTAGAGATGGGGAAACTGAGACTTAGACATGGAAAGCAACTTGCCCAAGACCACAAGACCAGAGGACCCAGCATCTAAACTGTGATTGGGTACTTCCCTGGCAGTCCAATGGTTAAGTAACTGTGCTTCCATTGCAGGGAGCACAGGTTCGATCCCTGGTCAGGGAATTAAGCCACATAGTAGGGTCAAAAAAAATACAACTGTGCTTGCAGACTACTGCTTTGAGCTCTACTGGTCACATCCCCTAGTTCCTCACCTGTCGTCGCCAGGTGGGCCTGCCTGAGGGCTTGTGCTGGGCACCTGTGGACGCACTCTGCAGCAGCTGCAGCTGGGATTGGAGTCTGGGGAAGAGAAGGGGCTGCTGGGAGCCTGGACCCCAGGCTCAATGGGCCACCCCCACCGGAAGTCTCAGCGGAGTGGGCGGAGGGCCCTGGCCTAGACAGAGGGGAGAAGCTATCAGGCAGGGGGCCCTACTCACGTGAACAAGCTGTCTTCCAGGTTCTGGATGCGGGCCTGAGCTTGGTCTTCAGGTGACTGGGGGTCCTGTGAGGTGGGGTCCTGGGGCCGCTCTGGCTCCTGAGCTGCCCCGTCCATTAGCCAGCGTTCCCGGAGAGACTTCCTCTGGCCATGGGAAGGGGCATGTGGACGGACAGACATTTCTGCCTCAGGCTGGGATACGTGCCCCAACAATGCCAGGTGGGAAGCCACCCCGTTCCCAACCGACAGCTTTCCCACGCTGGAAGAAACACCCATCAATCTCCCCAACTTTTCCAGAATGGGACAGACACCCCAAAAGGGGAAATTAACGTCCCTCTTAGCCCCTCTCTACCCCAAATCGGAACAAACACGTTCCCATGATCTTCCCAAAGGTAGAACAAACGTCCCCCATCACCACCAACCACTCTTCCCAAGCTGGGGAAGACGCCCGTCCCCGAAGCTGGAACCAACTCCCCCAACCCCATGTCTCAAGAGAGGCTCCTTTGGCTTCCAGAACTGACTCTCATAGACACCCCCACTTCATTGCCCGGGCTAAGCAGGCGCCCCCGGCCGCCCCCAACCTTGAGCCGCTCCACGCGGAGTTTCTCTTCCTCCAGCTCGCGGCGCGCCGCGCGTATCTCCTCTTGTAGCCTCCGCTTCTCCTGCGCACAGAGGACCCCAAGCTGCCCGCTGGCCGGGTGGGGCCGGCCGGGGCCGCCGCCTCCCCTTCCCCCCTCCCTCTTCTGCCGGGCTCGCCGGGGCTCCCGGGACTCCCGGGACTCCCGGGGCTGCAAGCCGCACCGGGTAGCGGAACACACGTCGGGGCCCCGGGCGGGGAAGAGGTTGGGGGGCGGAGGCGCTGAGTCAGCAGAGGGTAGGGGCGGGGCCGGCGGGGGCGGGGCCGGCCGCGCCCCAGATGCTGCGGAGGCCTCGCCCAGGCGGAAGCGGGGCGGGGTCTGTGGATGGGGAGGGCCCCGGAATGGGAATCCAGAGGGGGAGGGGTCTGAGATATGGGATTAAGAGGAATGCGATTCAGAGAGATGGGGGTCCAGATATGAGGAGCCAATGGAGGGGGCCAGTGAGGTGGGAAGTCGGAAATGGAGGTGCAGTCGTGAGGATCCAGCGAGACTAGGATGTAGAGATGTAGAGATGGTCCAGAGAGATGCGAGTGCAGCAGTGGAGGACCAGAGAGGTGGGGTTGGTGAGATGGGGATTCAGAGATGGAGGTCCGGAGAGATGAGGTCCAGATATAGGGGTCTGAGAGAGGGGGCTTCAGACGTGGTGTATTTGGGAGACGGGGTTCAAGAATGGAACAGATGCTGCAGATTTGAGAGTGCGGAGTCCGCAGAACTCCATTCTGGGGGTGTTGATGATCATACAGAAGAACTGAGGAGCAGAGGGGCCTGAGGATTTTGGGGGGGGGCGCGCCAGGCACGGCTGGAGCTGAGGGTGCTCCCCGCATGTTCAGAGCGCTAGGCCTGCTCCCTGAGATAAGAAAGAGGTGTGGAAGAGGCCTGGGTGTGGCGAACGGTGCCCAGGGCTCAGGGCGAAGCGCGCTGGTAGGGCGTCCCTTACCGCGATGACCTCTAGTCGCTGCCGGTAGAGGGAGCTCTCCGCCATGGGCCTGCAGGGAGACGGCGGGGGTTGAGGGGGAGCGGGGTTGAGGGGCGACAGGCTTGAGCTGCGAAAGGAGCCTCCTGGGGGCCCAACCCTCGCAGACCCATCTCTTGAACACCCCTCTTTGAGCCAAGATCCCTGAGCTGCTTGGAAATCAACTAAACCCAGTACTTTCCTCTATTTCCCCTTTGCACCTGGGAGGAGTCGGGGCAGAAGGCAGGGGTCCTGTGAGGGGGAGAGAGAATCCTGGCCGGGACAGGCTGAGCTAAATCGCTTCTGAGGCTAGACATCACCCCTCTGAGCCTCAGTTTCCCCATCTGTAAAATGGACCAGAATAACTTGACCTTTCCTCACCTTGCAGAGAGACATTCCCTTTCAGGGAAGTATCTATCCATGCAGGAAAAAACTTAGAACTGTGTGCCCCCAAAACAGTAGCATAGTTTATTATTAATAGTAATTTTAGGCAATTCCCTGGTGGTCCAGTGGTTAGGACTGGACGCTTACTGCTGAGGGCAGGGATTCAATCCCTGGTCTTGGAACTAAGATCCCACAAGTCAAAAAGAAAAATAATAATAATTTAAATAATTCCCATGACTAATAATGTTTTTAATTAATTATAATAACCATTCCCAGAAGCTTGAATCCCACCAGGCCAGAACGTGCTCTGTATTTTTTCCCAAACCCACACCCTCTCTGGACCTAGGCTGTTACCGAGCATCCCTTACGTGCAGGTTGAGGGTGGGGGTGAGAGTCTGGGAGAGAAGTGTCCATCTCGCTGTGGACACATGCCATTGCCATGGTAACTCCAGAGCTGCCTCTTCCACTTGCAAGCCACCCTCCCAGGGGGCAAGGATCACCAGGTCACACTGCCTAGTGCTGGACTCCGAACTGGGGGGAGGGAGACTTGCTGTTTAAGGTTTAACCTGCAATTCCCCCATCATTGTCCACCTCAAAGCACCCCGGGGTGCCCAATTCTCAGCCTCCAAGGCACCCCTAGTCCATTTGGGCTCCCCCTGGAAGCTGGAGACTGGTTGGTACTGCAGTGCACGTCGGGGACAGTCATCGCCACAACAACTTCCCATCACAGAGATGCACTGGGTGCCAGCTATATGGAGGTGCTTCCAATATCTAGAAGGATATATCTATCTGCCTGTTGTTGGCCCTGACACGTCACCCAGGGTGGGCACAGAGCAAGCCCTCAGACATTTATTAATTTGAGCACTAACCTATTGGATGAGTTTAAACCTCATTGCCCAAACTCTGGTGGGGCCTCCCGGATCTTCTCTGGCTTCACCATGAAGGCATAATAGTGAGCTCGCATTTAGCACTTACTATATATAGCTCTCTAAGTGCTCTATGGGGCTTCCGCTAGGCTCCCGCAGCCATCTCCACCTCCTCCTCCCTGCCCTGATCTTGAGACACTGTAGTCAACTTCTTGCTGAGTTGACATTCCAACTGAGAAGAAAATCAGCCAACCATTAGCCAGTGCACACCATGTGCTGGGCACCGTTAAATGCTTTACTCCTAGTAACTCATTTGGGGCTTCCCTGATGGCTCAGATGGTAAAGAACCCACCTGCAGTGCGGGAGATCTAGGTTCCATACCTAGTTTGGGAAGATCTGCAGGAGAAGGCAACAGCTACCCACTCCAGGATTCTTGCCTGGAAAATTCCATGGAGAGAGGAGCCTTGCAGGGTACAGTCCACGGGGTTGCAAAGAGTCAGACAGGACTGAGCGCCTTTCAAAAGACTTTAATAACTCATGTAACCCTCTCGACCATCCTAAAAGCTAAGTAGTACTACTGTCCCCATTTTACAGAAAAGGAAACTGAGGCTCTGAGAAGTGGCAGAAGACTTGTCTAATGTCATTGAGTCAGGATTGGAACGCAAGGCTCTTAGAGCCCAAATACTGGGAACACTGTGGAGAAATGAAAGTTCATGCATCTTTATCTTGACAGCCAGGGGACCAGAGGTCAGCCTGGGGAGGTGGGTCTTCAATTCCAGTTAGGGCAGGATGCTGAAGTTCATGCTTTACAGGGTGTCTCAAAGGAAGCTCAGACCCCCTGCTAATAGTTTTGCCCTGGGGGAGGCTAAAGTCTCCCCTCTGTTCTCCCAAGATGTAATCACCTGCCTCCTCCTTGCTGGGGGGTGGGGGGAGATCAGATTCCCATTGCTAGGTAACCAGGTTTGTAGTTGGTGAATAATGCAACGGGGAACCCAAAAGAGTGAGGGACCCAATTGGGGTCCCTGGAGGGAGCCCCTTTTCCAGAAGTCTCTACAAACCTCTGGAGCCCCCTCCATCTTCTGACTTTCAAAGGCCTTCACATCTCAAATATTAAAACAATCTGCACACTTTATTCAATGTTGCTTGTCTCTAAATCTTCAGCTTTTTGCCTTGCCAGGGACAGTTGGTGGTCATTTCATTAAGCAGGTAATCATTTCCCTGTTGAAATTCTCTTTTCCAGTTTGGGAGCTGTTAACTTTTTTTCCTGTTGGATTTCAAGCATTTCTTAGCACCCCAGACACCAAAGGATGAATTTAGAGGCAAAATATGAGGGACCCTGACATTCCCCATCCCCCACTCAAGTAATAGTCCCGCCTCTGGCTGGACTTTGGGCTTGAAGCCTGCCGGTGGAAAAATCCAAAAAAAACAGGGGGGTAAGAATTCACATCTCCTACCCGACTTTCTGGGGAGGGGGCATTGAAGAGACTCCAGGGTTGGCTGCCAGCCGCCCTTCACTCTTCCTGACCCCCTTAGGAGAGGCTAGCTGGAGCTCTAAGCAGCAACAACCCTCACCCTGCCGTCCCCCCATAGGAAGGCCAGCGTCTCCCATGAGCCCCTCCCAGGCCCTGCCCACTGTCCCCCCTGACCCCGGACACTTACATGGGTGTGGCCAGAGACCACACATGGCTCTGCAGGGCCATCTCTGCCCAGAAGCCCACGTTCTGATTTCAGAATTCCAGATCCACCACCCCGGGTGCTTGCTGAAAGGTGCCCCGGAGGCTGTGACTTGGCTGTCGGGAGTTGGGGGGGGGGGGGGACAGCAGGCGGGCACCGGGAGAGCTGGTCCAGCTGGTTTGGGCCAGGAGGCGGGAGACGCCTGGGCCGGGCTGAGGGGGGCTGGGGGCTGGCGGGCAGTTCTGGGGAGGTACTATCAGCTGTCCTGATCAATTATTTACCAGCCACTGGCCTCCTTGCTGCACTCGGCTGCCTCCTGGCAAACACACTGTCACATGCCTGGTCAAGCCTGTGGACTAGGGCTGGGACTCCCTGACCCCCTCAGACAAGGGCAGCTTTGCTTAGCACCCTAGACATTTCAAGTCTGGTTGCCCACCAAGGGTAACCTGCCTTCGAATACTGTTGCTTTTACATACTACTGCCCTCCCTTCTTGGACCCTGATCTCTGGGGTGAGGATGGAGGGCTGATCCCACCAGAAGATTCTGGAGACCAGAGCCTGTGCCTCATGAGAACCAGAAGGCTTGAAGCTCTGGACAACTCAGGGCAACTTCCTTTCTGGACCTCAGTTTCCTCTTTCGGAAAATGAGAGAATTCAATCAAATAACCTCCAGGACTCTGGATGCCCCTTAGGTTTGATAACTATTGGAGGAGTGTAGTGATGAGAAATGTCTAGAGAACTTCTTACCCAAGTCTTGAAGGTCCCTATTCAATCCTCCCACCATTCCTTTCTTAAAGGAGCAGCGCCCCTTTTCTCAGCTGATCATGTGTTTTATCCAACCATCCTCTTAGGGAAATCATCTCCTGCTCTCCAGGCTGGTCTGCTGCAGTCCCCAGCACTCTTGTGGTCAAGCTGTATAGCATGCAGGGTCTTAGTTCACCCCAGCCGACCTGGGATCGCACCTATGGCCCCTGCAGTCTTAACCACTGGACCGCCAGGGAAGTCCCCTAGGCCCCTTCCTTGCTTCAGAGGGTCTGCTCCCCATTGAACAAAGGGAATGTGCCCAACTTAAACCTTCCTCCCTGCTCTAGATCCTACTCAGGATGGCCAAAAATTGGCAGAGGAGCGAGGAAAGAGCTTGGGTACATGGGACAGGGTCCCTAAGTACATGGCCCCTCATTGTGCAGGACAGACTTGGGGGTGGAAAACAAATGGGGCCAGACTGAGGCCTGGGGTTTTCCTATGCCAAGGACAAAACTCCTAGGGATTCAAAATATTTTCAGTTGAACCTGGTCTTCTATTGGGCTGGTCAAAATGTTCCTTTGGGTTTTTTTTTTTTTCTTTTTTTCTTTTTTCATAACAACAACCCGAAGATGGTATGGCAAAACCCAAGTGAACTTTCTGGCCAACCCAATAGATCCTCCTAAAAGCATATTTGGGGGACTTCCATGGTGGTTCAGTGGTTAAGAACCCCCAACCTTGCCATGACGGGGACATAAATTTGATTCCTGGTCTGGAAACTAAGATTTCACATGCAGTGGGGTAACCAAGCCCACATGCCACAATGAAAGATCCCAATGAGGCATGAAGATCTCTTGTGCCACAACTAAGACCCAAGTCAGCCAAGTTTTTTTTTTAAATAAAAGTTTAAAAAAATAAAATGAAAGTTTATTTGCCCTGATAGAAATAGAGAACACATTTTTTAAAATCAGTTTTTAATTGTGGTAAAATACACAAAACAAAATTTACCATTGGTAGCATTTAGTACATTTGTAATGTTGTGCAACTTGCTACTATCTAGGTCCAGAACCTTTTCATTACCCCAAAAGGAAATTCTGTACCCATTAAACAGGCACTCCCCTCCCAAGCCCCTGGCAACCACTGATCTGCATCTGTCTCTGTAGATTTACCTATTCTGGACATTTTTTTTAAATCAGTGGACTCATACAATATGTGGCCTGTTCTGTTTGGTTTCTTTCACTGAGCATCATTTTTTCAAAAGAGAAAAGTGTTAGTTGCTGAGTAGTGTCTGACTCTTCGTAACCCTATGAACTGTAGCCCACTAGGCTCCTCTGGCCGTGGGGTTTCCCAGGCAAGAATACTGGAGTGGGTTGCCGTTCCCTTCTCCATGTTTTAAAGGTTCATCTGCATTTTAGCTTGAATCAGTGTTTTGTTCCTTTTCATGGCTGAATAATATTCCATTGTATGAATGGATCACATTTTGCTTATCCATTCATTCATTGATGGACATTTGGGTTGTTCCCACCTTTTGGAGGAGAGTGTATATTTTACTTCAAAGCTTGTAGCTTGATTTTATAACTGTTAGCTATTTAGATCAACACTTATATAGGGTTCCCTCTATACTCTCATCCTGGGTTCCACCTTGAGGCAAGATTGTTCTGTTTATAATTGTGTCTGTCTCCTAAACTCAACAGCAACTTCCAAGTCTAGTTTATTTCTTTGTTCCCAATTTTGGGAACATTCTTTAATAAGTGTTATGTGTCAGGCACTGTTCTAGGCATGAGAGAGTTAGGTGAACCTGACAAACAGAAAATGCTGTAATAGCACTCACTTTCCAGCTGAGGTGGGGGGCAGGCAGAGATAGATAATATACAAATAAAGAAACAAGGTAATTGATGATAACTATAGTATTGTGAAAGTGTTAGTAGCTCAGTTGTGTCTAACTCTTTGTGATTCCATGGACTGTAGCACACCAGGCTCCTCTGTCCATGGCACTCTCCAGGCAAGAATACTACAGTAGGTAGCCATTCCCTTCTCCTGGGGATCCTCCCAACTCAGGGATCAAACCTGGTTCTCCTGCATTGTAGGCAGAGTCTTTACCATCTGAGCCACAAGGGAAGCCCAACTGTAGTATTGGGTGAATTACAAAAAAAAAAAAAGAAAAAAAAAAAGGCAGGGATAGATTTATGGAAAAGAGCTGTGTTTGAGGTAGGCTGGGTGATCAGAGACCACTTCTCTGAAGCAGTGACATCTGAATCAAGATCTGAATAGCAGAAACCAGCCATGTACTGAGTCATTCCAAGCAGAGAGAAAGGCCAGTACAAAGGCCCTGGGGGTGGGAATGCAATTGCAGAGTTTGAGGAAAGCATAAAGGTTCAGATGGAGGAGGGATCAAGGGAGACGGTGTCAGGAGATGAGATCTGAGAAGTGGGAAGGGGTGTTGAGCCAGGGTAGGAAATTTGGACTTTTCTCCTAAGTTTGTTGGAGAGACAGAGGGCAATGAATGGCTGGAAAAAGGGGTGGAGAGAAGTGGACGAATTTAGAATATGTATTGGAGGCAGAGCAAACAGCAATCCAATATATGAATGGACTGGGGTGGGTAGGGAAAAAAGAGAAACTGAAGCTGAGTTCTACATTTGGGACATGAAAAACAGAATGAGCGAGTTGCTATATGTAGTAAAGAGAAGCAGAGTTGGGGGGAGACCAAGAATTCAATTTTGAAAGTGTTCAGTTTGACCTATCTATTAGACTGGGGACTTGGATATGAGTTAAAACTCAGAGGAGAAATTAGAGCTAGAGATATAAATTTGGGAGACATCTGCATAGAGATGGTGTTTAAAGTGTGAAATTGGAGTTTGTCAAGGTCTGAGTGTTGGCAGGAAAGAGATTGTATACTTAAACTGAGTAATTGATCAGAACTCAATAGAAGGAAATAAAGACGGCATAGTGCACTCGCTGGATTAGCAACAGCTGGGAGCTCTTACCACCCCATAGCCCTGGAGGGAGAGAGCTGTTTGGAGCTGCTGCCGGCAGTGGAGGGACACAGCCAACAAAGCCTGGAGGAAGAACACATGATCTCTCATTCACCTCTCTCCCATCAGTCAAACCCAATGGAAGCCAGAGGGGAAAGCACCCCACTGATGCAGGTGAACCAGAAGTCTGAAAAGGGGCACCTCGGAGGTCAGAGGAAAACCATAAATGGGTAGCGTTCTCCAAGACTAAGGAGCTAGTGGAAAGGAACTCAGGGAAAAGCCAGTGACCAGGTCTGGTAAATGTCACGGAGGTCCTCGGACAGAGAGGGTCTGTGGTGTGGCGGAACCGAGAGCACAGTATGCATGGCTAGAAGAGAGATGCACATACTCATGTGAAGTCGTTTTTGACTCTGCGACTCTTTGGACAGTATCCCACCAGGCTCCTCTGTCCATGGGGATTTTTCAGGCAAGAATACTGGAGTGGGTTGCTATTTGCTCCTCCAGGAGATCTTCCTGATTCAGGGGTTGAACCCGTGTCTCCTGCACTGCAGGTGGATTCTTTACCACTGAGCCATCAGGGAAGAAGAGGAATAGGAGATGATAAAGTGGAGAGTCCACTGTAGAGACAACTCATTCCAGAAGTAGAGTCTTCATTGTCAACACCTCCCAAAGGGGTAAGTACTACCATCCCCATTTTACAGATAAAGAAACTGAGTCTTGGAGAAGGCTAACAACTTAGCTCAGGTTCTCAGTGGGATGAAACCCAGGTGGGCCCAATTCCAATTGGGCCAATAGAGTCAGAGGGAGGAGGGTAGCAGTTTGAGATTGGGATCCAGGAGAGTGGAATGAGAGGGTGGATGGATGGGGAGTTACCAGGATAGGCAGGGTGTTGGGGGATTATTGGTGATCCTGAGACTGTGTAGCCGCCCCCCCCCCCGCCCCCCCGCTTTCTTTAGGGAACTATCTTTTTCACTGGTCATCCCAAAATGGAGGGGGAGGGGTGGAGGAAGGTTTTGGCGAAAGCACAGTGGAAGAGAGTGGAAAATGTCCCTAGGAGTAGTTCGCCTGTTCCTGGCATCAATCCTGGCCAAGAACACCACAATCTGGCCCCAGCTGCAGGGAGCTACTTCCCCCACAAGCCTGGATACTTCTCTGGGTCTCCCAGTCGCCTGGGCCCAAGGTGACCGCCTTTCCAATCTCAGCCGCTCTTCTGGGCCTTGGGTGCGCTGTGTGTGCATGCCTGCTTCGGCCCTCGGTCTGGAAGTACGCTGGGCAGTGGCCGGCTCGCGGACTTTTCCGGGTGGGGTGAGGGGAAGTGCCCTATGGGCCTGGCGCGTGCGCTGGCGCTCGGCTCGGGGAGGGAGACTGGGGCGGTCGGAGAGGCGGTTCCTGGCGCCCCCTCCAGCCTAAACTGTGCGCTGCAGGGGTGGAACTTGAAAGGACAGCCCGGAGACCGTTGGTGTCGCTGCCAGCCTGCTGACACAGGATTGGCGGGCCAGGCCAGGCCCCGGAAAGATGGTTTCGGAGGACACCCCCCAGAAGACAGTGGTTCAGAGGTTCAGCCAGGCGTGCAGCTGGGTGGGACCAAAACCCCTGGTAATGCCGGGGACGTGAGCCCGAAAAGGTGCCAAGGTGGCGCCCACTGAGTGAACACTGCACCTAGACTGGCGCCCCCAGGTAGCAGGCTAGGTCTAGGGAAGCTCTCTTCTAAAACATCCAATGTCCCGAGCTGACAGGCGGGTCAGTGGACCAAACCCAGTGCCCAGCTGAAGCGCCCCCCCCCGGGGGCGGGGCCGGGGCGGGGCTCCGAGTCTGGCCGGCAGGTGCAGGGGGCGGTGCCCGGCCCTGCCCCTGAGGGCAGTTCTTGGACGCCAGGGGCGGGTCAGATAAGTGGCTCGTGCGGGCGACGCCTTGGAACCCGCGGACGGCAATTGCAACCACAGGTACTGCGCAGAGCAGGGTGTCCCAGCTCTGGGCATCAAAACTCTAGCGCTGGGAGCTAAGGCTTCCGAGCTGCTCCCAACCCTGGACACCTAAGCCCCTGGGCCGCAGAACGGAGCCCTGGGGTCTTCCGAAGCGCGTGGGCCTGAACCCCCCGGCTTAGATATTGAAATTCCCAAGCCTGCCGCAGAGCTGAATACCGACGTCCGTGTGCCCTCCCCAGACCAGGGCGCGGAGACTCCCGAGCAAGAGAGGGAAGTCCTCGGACCATAAGCGAGGCAGGACGCAGAGCGTCTTGGGCCGACCGCAGCTGGGGGCTTTGAGAGTCCTGGGCAAGGAAGCGACGACCCTGAACCGCCTGAAGCGCCAGGCGCGGGGCTCCTGGAGCAGTCTCTCTCTCAACGTCCGGAAACCTCCTCTGAGTCGAACTCGGAAGCCCTCCAGTTGCGTTCGGAGACCCCACAACATCCCCTAGAGGAGCCACTCATGGAGACGCCCATTGAGCGCGAAATCCGCCGCAGCTGCGAACGCGAGGAAAGCTTGCGCCGGAGCCGGGGCCTGAGCCCAGGTCGCGCGGGCAGTGAACTCGTCGAACTGCGCGTGCGGCCGGTGCTCAGCCTGCCGGGCCCCAGCCCCGCGCTCCCGCGCGCTTTGGAGCGCGCTCGAGCGGGCGCGCAGATGCAGCGAGACATCGAGCGGGAGGCCTATCGGCAGGCGGCGCTGGCGCGCCCCCAGGTCCCGAAGCAGAGCGCCCGGCCGCCGCCGCAGCCGCTGGGCGAGCTCAAGCGCTTCTTCGAAGCTGGGTGCTACTCCTCACCCGCGGTGGAGGGCAGCGCAGACACGCAGCGGCTGCCCGAGGCCGGAGGCCGGCCGCATTCAGTCGTACAGGGCCGGTGTCCGGTGCTGGCTCTCGCCCCGCCGCCTATCGCACCGTCGCTGCTGGAGCAAGAGGTGCGCGAGGTGAATGAGCGCGAGCGGGAGCTGCAGCGCCAGCGGCTGAGCCTCTACGGCACCGCCGAGTTCAAGGAGCCCGCGCCCAGCCTAACGGGTAAGCCACCGGCGCCCCAGCTGGGGATTCCCAGGGCTCCAGCGGCTTTCACCGACTCCCCAACTCCAATGGGCCTCTAATCCTCAGGGTCCCCCTTCCTGGCTCCCAAACTCCCCGGACACCCCTCTCGACTCTCCCCTCTCTGCCCACCCTTCCTGGACTGACCGTCCCTATGCTCCACCCCCACCCCCGTCGGACTCCCAGACCCACCCCACCTAGGCTTGTGGTGGGAGAAGGGAGGAGGATCCCAGATGTCTTTGTCGGATTCCCAGGGACCCTCCCTGCGTTCTGGCACACCTGGATCTCCCGCTCTGAATTTTCTGGTTCCTGCCTCCTCACTGTGGGTTTGTTCGCCTTCCCCCTCCCTGGGGTTCCTCCCTCCTCCCTCGGGACGGAGGCCTCCGTGGGGAGGAGGGGGGTGAACGCCTGTGTGTGTTTAAGGGGCGCGGCCGCTCTGCTTCGTCCTGGCCGCCTCCTGCCGGTAAGGCGTAGGGTGGGGCAATCCCAGCTGAGCGCCCCTTCCTCCGCAGTGAGCAGGGGCGACGGAAAGCTGGCGGTGATCTGGCCTCCTCGCAGAAAGGCTTCGGAGAACGGTCTGGAACAGGTGGGAACCCCTTTCCCCTCCTGCCCCTACCCCAACCCTCTGCGTGGGAGAAAACTGGGCTAGTGAAAGGGCTCCCTGGGAAGTCACTGCGGTAGGACCCAAAGTCCGGGGCGTGGCCCGCGGGTGAGGAGGAGGCGGTGGTCGTGAGGCCCACACTGCCCCATCCGGCGCCTGGGTGTTCCCACTCGCGGTGCGCGCGCCGCTAAGACTTGCCTTTGGTCTGGCCCCTCCCCCTGGCAGGAGGAGCCTTGAGGTTCCGGCCCTCTGGGGTCCCAGGAGGAAAGTAACATGCCCCGCAGACCCTCGGGCCCGGGCGCTCAGGAGTGCCCTCCGGATCCGCGGAAGGCCTGGAGAAGGGCCACAGGTCTGCGCCGGGGAAGACGCAATCGATCAGCATCCTTGAACCTGACTTTGTGAAACTGACCAGAATCTTCTATAAAACTGTTAGTCCCCATTGGGAAACACCGCCACTACCACCCCGCCAGTAAAACTGCCCAGCCCTTCGCCGCCTAACTGCAAACGGCACTTAGCCTCTCCTTCTGGCCTTGTCTGTTAGAAGACCGGGGTCCTCGGCTGCCCCTACTCCCCAATAAAGCCCTTTCTTTCTGGACAGTGTAGGCTGTTTTCTTCTGGGTTTTCTTCTCCTGGGGTGGGGCAGGAGCGCGGCGAGACGAGGAAGGCCTGACACACACGGGAGGCGCCAGCCGGAATGCAGAATGTCCCCTTGTCGCCCGGTTCCGTGGCCGCTGGTCTCCCCCGGCCCTGCCGGGGTCCTAGTGCCCCCTAGCGATGCGGGAGCGAACTGCGGCTTTGGGACAAACGAACTCATGCCCTCCCTTTCCAGATTTCGTCAACTTTTATTGGTGCCAAACGACGTGCCCCGCGCATGGTGCTGGCTAGACAGAAGTGATAAGAGGTTGTTCCCACTCTGGGGATATAAACAATAGCTACAAAAAAAAAAAAGTGGTGTTGGTAGTTCAAGCTCCTTAGCAGGGCATGTAAGGCCATTTATAATCTGCCGAGCAAGTGTAAACCTCAGATGCTTACAGACCCCAGTGTGTGTATGTTACCTGCTCAGTCATTTCCAACTCTTTGATGAGATCCCATGGACTGTAGCTCACCAGGCTCCTCAGTACATGGAATTCTCCAGGCAAGAATACTGAGTGGGTTGCCTCCCAACCCAGGGATGGAACCCGGGTCTCCAAAATTGCACGCAGATTCTTTACCATCTTAGCCACCAGGGAATCCCTTACAGACCCCAGACAGATATTAAAAGAGCGAGAGAGTGTGCTGTAAAACAAAGACCTGGTTTCAACAGGGAGGAGGCAGGGGTTACTTCGTATCACCAGTGCTTTGAGTGAGTGAGCTCAGTGGTGTTAAGTCTCTGTTTTCCAAAAGCAACTGGAGGGAATTCCCTGGCTGTCCAGTGGTTAGGACTTCATGATTTCACTGCCGAAGGAAGACCCTTGTTCAGTCCCAGGTTTGGAAACTAAAATCCCACAACCCCTCTGGTGCAGCCAAAAAAATCTAAAACAAAAAACCCAAAAGTAACTGGAAATCATCTTTAAAAGAGAAATCTACTGAACTTTAAAGAATTGTGACTATTTAGAAAACTTTAACTGGTGGGAGGTAAGAGCAGACAGCAAACAATACCTGTTTGCAATAGGGCTTGTGGCTCAGTTGGCAAGCCCTCCTTAACTTCCCTTGGTCCCAAGACTAGGGGTCCAAGGCCTCTGATGGGGTTCAAGATAAGCTGTAAAGCTGCATCAGTGCAGTATATTCTGCAGTTTTAATGTATCAAATTCCTGGAGATGCGCTGAGACCCAGAAAACACTATTTTAGAATCACTGTTTAAACTCCTGGATTTATGCCTGGGTCTAGCTCACACAGCACTGCACCCCAACAGTAGCTCAGCCCAAGGACCCACCCCTGACCCCATCATCAGCACACTGACCACATGCTTGCCTGTGACTCTGGGAGGAATGGAGAGAAAGGCAGGAAAGAGCCAGCATTTGTTGTTCAGTCACTCAGTCATCTCTGACTCTTTGCAACCCCATGGACTGCAGCACACCAGGCTTCCCTGTCCTTCACCATCTCTTTGAGCTTGCTGAAACTCATGTCCATTGAGTTGGTGATGCATCCAATCATCTCATCCTCTGTTGTCCCCTTCTCCTGCCTTCAATCTTTCCCAGCATCAGGGTCTTTTCTAATGAGTCAGCTGTTTGCATCAGGGGGCCTAAGTATTGGAGCATCAGTCCTTCCAATGAATATTCAGGATTGATTCCCTTTAGGATTGACTGGTTTTATCTCCTTGCAGTTCGAGGAACTCTCAAGTCTTAAACACCAGAGTTCAGAGCCAGCACTGCCAAGGTGGAAAATGGAAACACCAAGAACCTGTTTTTAATCCCCTGCAGAGGAGCTAAGAGCTAAGTATGTCGAGTTGACAGAGCTTAAGTATAGACCTGGGTTCATGAACTTTCTTGCATATTAAAGTTACCTGAGGCATGCTTATGTCAAATAAATCAGATTCTGATAGAAGCTTTGGCCTCAATAAAGCTCCTCAGGTGTTTCTAACATGGAGCCAAGTTTGAGAGCCACGAAGTTGATGTAGGCTCGATATAGGTTGATACAGGCTTAAAGTGTGGTGTCTGGATGAGCAACATCAGCATCACTTGGGATCTTGTAAGAAAAAAGTTCCATCCCAGACTTAGTGATCAAACCCTCCAGTGATTCTAAAGTTAGAGAATCATGGGTGTAGACAGTTCCTGAGCAACTACTGGTTGCTTACTGTCTAAGTTGTGCCTGACTCTTTTATGACCCTGTGGACTATACATTACACCAGGCTCATCTGTTCATGGGATTTTCCCAGGCAAGAATACTGGAGTGGGTTGCCATTTCCTTCTCCAGGAGATCTTCCCCGCTCGGGGACGGGAAACCCTCCCACCATCTCCCCCATTGCATTGGCAGGCAGATTCTTTATCACTGAGCCACCAGGGCTTCCCTCCTGACCAACAGGACCCAGGAAATCAAACCTGTTTCCTTCTCCCGGGACTGCCACACCCACCAGAAATCTAGTTTTAAGTGGCTTGTGGATTTGTCTTAAGGGAAGATAAATTAAAGCTGCATGTGGCTAGTCCAAATTGAGATGTGCTATAAGTGCAAAATACAGATTTCAAAAACCTAGTACAAAAAAAGGGGGATACCTCAATAATTTTTTAAAATAATTTCATATATGTTGCAAAAATATTTTGGATATCTGGGGTTAAATAAAAATATCACTAAAAGTCTGGTCTCTTTATTCTTTTAGTATAGCTCTTAAAAATTTGCAATTACATAGGTGACTCGCATTTGTGGCTCAAATTTCTATTGGACTGGACTAGTCTAAACAGTTTTCCAGTAGTCATGTATGGATGTGAAAGTTGGACTATAAAGAAAGCTGAGCGCCAAAGAATTGATGCTTTTGAATTGTGGTGTTGGAGAAGACTCTTGAGAGTCCCTTGGACTGCAAGGAGATCCAGCCAGTCCATCCTAAAGGAGATCAGTCCTGGGTGTTCATTGGAAGGTCTAATGTTAAAGCTGAAACTCCAATACCTTGGCCACCTGATGCAAAGAACTGACTCATTTGAAAGGGCCCTGAGGCTGGGAAAGACTGAGGGCAGGAGGAGAAGGGGACGACAGAGGATGAGATAGTTGGATGGCATCACCGACTCAATGGACATGAGTTTGGGTAGGCTATGTGAGTTGGTGATGGACAGGGAGGCCTGGTGTGCTGCAGTCCATGGGGTTGCCAAGAGTCGGACACGACTGAGCGACTGAACTAAGTCTAAACAGTGGTGGTGGTGAACTCAGAGGGGCCTTGACTCAGTATTAGGGAACTTCAGAACCCGTTTGGACTCATTCAAACTCCCGGGTTGTGGATTAAAAAATCCTTGGTGCAGTCAGAAATTGTCACCAGAAGGCTCTACTCCCACTCCAAAAAGACAAGGGTTTTGGTTAATCATGATTCACTTCACGTTTCTATTTTTATAATTTGTAAACTGGGATAATCATACCACATGATAATACTATGTGTCAGGGACTATTAGGTAAGCAGGGCTCCAAGTCTCTCCTCTAACTCTGAAAATGCAAGGGAGACTCAAAAGGTGTCCATTAGTTTAAGGGGAGAAGGGTGGGTAACTTGCAGCTGACTGACAGCCGGATGAGAAGGACACTCCTCCCCTGGCAAGTGACCAGTTGCTATCAGGTGCAGGCTCCACCACCTGGTCTCTGAAGCTCTAGGTAGGCAGGTTCACCTCTCAACCCGGTCTCCTTTTCAGTCCAAGGAGGGCCTCACCGCTCTCCCACCCAGCCCGCGCCCCGGACACCTCAGGAGGGTACAGCGACCTGCCCAAGCCATGACCCAAAAGCTGGAAGAGAAAGCTCTAACCTCTGCGCTTAGGAAACTGATCGCTGGCCCTTTCCTGGGGCACGTCGGGAAATAGAGTCTTTTTCGACAGGGAAATAATTTCCGGGTCAAAACATGAGAGTGGGCGTAGCCCTGCGTTCCTTCTCACAGTGGGCGTTGAATTTCCTCGCTACCCGAAACTTGCGGTTATCTGGGTTCCGGTTGTTGACAGGAGCCGCTACTTCCCTTTTTGCTTGGTACCGGCCCCTACGCATGCTCTTAGCTCCCGTCGGCCAGGCAGCGGACCACGGTTTTGTTTCCATAAGACTACATTACCCAGAAGGCCATAGCGAGTGGGCGGGGCCTCCCCTCCCCAAGGGGAGGGGAGCGGCGCTCTGAGCGGACGCTGAGCCTGTGACCTCTTTCTTTCTTTTATTTAACACAAAACTGGTGTGTTCACAAGCAGGGCTCCGCGGCCGGGCCGGATCCAGTGCGGACGGGCCAGATCGGCCTGGCCCTTGGAAGGCAGGCCGAGCCGCACTAGGAGAACGAGTGAGCCCCTCCCCTACCCCCTCTCCTGGAGTTTGGAACTGTCAAGCTCCAGCTCCCACCCTCTCTCCAGGTTCAAGACTCCTGAGCGGCCCACGCCGCGGGCCCCGCGGCACTCGGGGGCCGAGCCGGGCCTTCCTGGCCCGTGAGGATCTGCACCAGCAGGTCGGTGGCCAGCATGTGCGACGGCTCCTCGAAGCCGATGGTCAGCAGCTGCTGGTAGTCCCCAGGCGGCTGCGGGCACAAAATCCTGGGCGCCAGGGACAGACAGGCCAGGACGTGAGCGTCCCCTGCTACTCGGGAGCCCCTCCCCTTGAGCGAGAGGCTGTGGCTGAAAGAGGCTTTGTTTCAGCTGGGGGTGGGAAAAACCCTGGGGGAAAGTGGTTTCCTTGTTGATGAGAAACCTAGAGGGTAAGGCTCTGGGAGGCTGAGCAGTTTTATCCCTGACCTGGCTGATTACTCAACGAGCTGTGTGTCCTTTGGCAGGTAACTTAACCTCTCTGAACACCTGTTTCGTTTGTAAAATGGGGCTAGTAGTATAGACCTCAGTGGATTGTTACATGAGTCTGCATAAAGGCTTTTCAGGGCACAATAAAATTCATTATTATCAATGGTAACAGTGTTGAGGGAGGCAGATGGTCTCTGGTTGGCTTCTGTCCCTCCCTCCAGACCCCACCCACCTTACCATTGCCCTGGCTCCTACCATGAATAAAGGTCATCCTCGGCTGGTCCTAGGGGCACCCATCGGCCGATGGACCACAGCTTCTGAATCTGGGGGCAGGAATTGGCCGGACTCTTGCCTGTGTCTTCCCATGTATCTCGATAGCATAGGAAGTAGCTGGGAAGGGAAGGGGCAGCAATTAAAAGTGAGCAGTGAGCAGTCTCTTAGTTCTTCTGTTTGAGGGCTTTAATTTTGGAGGTAAAGTGGAAACTCATCAAAAGTTACCTTCAGGTTCTCAGGTAGGCATGTGACACTACTAAGGCCTTTTCTCCCTGTCAGCCTACTTTTTTAAGATAACGACTTCTATTTTGATGGGGGCATCTATGTATGTATGTATGTATGTATATTTAAGGTGAGGATGACCGTGCAAAGGTTCTTGAATTCCTGCTTGACTTTTCACTTTGGTGGTGGTTCAGTGGCCCAAACTGGCATTCTCCCATAGCGAGGGGGAGGACTTGGATTCTGATAAGGGGACTCACTAATCCACGTGGGAATCTTGCTCCCGGCTGCTGGCCTCTGGGGTGGTTTCCAGGTTCCAGCGCATCTTCTTATAGAGGTATCGGGGGAAGCGGCTGGCGGTGTAGGCGGCAGGCGCACAGTATCTGAAGATGGACACCTCATAGGAGGGACTGATGGAGAACCTCCCGCAGAAGAAGCAGGAGATGCTGGCAGGAGATTCAAGAGTAGGGAATGAGGCTATGCCCTGGGCTCCTCCACCCCTGACCCCAAGCCAAGTCTCTTAGGCTTTTACCTTAGGGGGTCAGTCTCCTCCAAGTTCACGAACCCAAAAGAGGCATACATTAGGACCAGCTGTTCCAGGCGAAGAGTGAGTTGTTGGGAGATCTCCAGCAGCTGTATGGAAGAGGGGGCATAACGAGATTAGTTGGCCTTCCAGGAGCATCCTCCCCATCCCCCAGGCCTGAGGGATGCAGAAAGGGGCATCAGGGTCTAGGAAACCTGCTCCACACACACCCCCTTTCGGATCAGCTCCTGCAGGGCTCCATAGACGGGGGGCACACTCCGAGCAGCTGCCTCCAGGTACAGGAAGTAAGGCTCACACATCTGCAAAAAGGTGGGCATGGCCTTTGCCAACTGTTCCTTCTGCACTCGGTCTCTGCTGAAGGGAGAAGCAGGCCTTTGCCTGAGTCCTTGGCTCCCCCACCAATTTCTCCCATTCTATGCACCCCTCCCACCTGTATCCCTGGCCTGGACTCCCACTACGAACAAACCCCTAGAGGACCTTTCAGGACCACCATCATCAAAGACATGTGAAACACTTGTTAAAATGCAGACACCTGAGTCCCACGTCTGACTTTGACCTACTACTATTCCCTGGGTGAAGCTCAGAAATCTAGGATTTAAACAACCTCCCAGGGGATTCCAATGGACATTGATCTGTGAGCATCACAGTCTCCCTTCCCTTGGTCTGGGAATCATATTATCCTCTGAGGTCTCAAACTGGTAGTCAGCAGGCCAAATCTGGCCCAGATAGGTTTTGTTTAGCCTTCCCAAGGTTTGAAACTTAAGCCAACAGTTAAAAAGTGGGAGAAAAGTTCTAGCAGTTTGGCAACCCCAAAATCCCAGATAGTAGTCCGCCCTCCCTAACCCCAAGTTTCTACACAGTTCTCATAACTCTGAAATTGGGTTGCTAATCAGCCAGCGTCCTTTACTTCGTCTAGCTCCCAATGCTTTTGAGTTTGCAAACCTAGTGTATTTCGCCTATTTTGTTAAACCCTCCTCTGCCCCTTTATCCATGGTAGAATCTAGGACCCCGTCAAGCATCACCTGTAGAGCAAGTAGCTCTGGAAATCATCTGCCTTCTTAAGCAGGTAGCAGAGCTGTTCGGTGATGGGGCTGAACATGGTGTCCCATGGCAGGCGAGGAGGGGTGGGCCGGGGGCCTGGGGCCGGACGCTCCGGGGAAGGCGTAGAGGTGGGGGCCTGGGGCAGCTGTCCTTGAACATCCTTCTCAGGCTCCGCCTCAGGTGGGTTCCCAGGTCCGCCAGGGGGAGGCGACCACGAGGGGTCTTCGCAGGGCTGTGCCCCAGATTCCAAGTCGTCCAGGGGCGGCGTTTCCCCAGAGCCCGCGGCGAGCGGCCCCACGAACCACTGTTCGGTTGCCATCGTGCGGCAAGAGGCGGGGACCACCGGAGCTCTTTAAGCCTCCGCTGCTCACATTGGCCGTGGGTTCGACCCCGCCCAGGGTATCTCGGACCTGCCTGGCCTGGTTCACCCCAGTCTCTACCTCCCTGCCGGCGCCGCGTGGAGGGAGTTCGCCTCATTTGAATTTCAACACGCCGGAGGGGCGCGCCGCTCTTGTCCGCGCTGCGCGGCAGCGGCGCCCCGCGCACACGCGCGCTCCCGGAACCTGACCGTGGGGTGCGCCTCCGGGGGAGGTGACCTGGGCTGCAGCTGGCGCGGCGGTGTCCTGGGGGCGCAGCCTGGGGCCAGCGCATCTAACTCTGGGAGGTGGTTTCCTAGGGAGGAGGGATCTTCTCCGCGCGTCAAACCCCTGGGGTTGCAAGCATAGAAATCAAGGAAGGCCCCGCCCCGCTCGCTGACTCTGACCCCCAGGCCCTGGAATCTGTATTAAAAAAAAAAAAAAAACAAAAACCTAATGGAAATGAGAAACTGCACTAGAACTTACTAGGCTCTTGTGATGTAGTAGTTGTCACTATTACTAACAATAAAAATCTTCACTTGGAAAAGATTTCCCCATCTCATGATCTCATCTGATGGCCCAGTCCCTCCTTTCCCTTTTATGAAAAAGACCTTGAGGATTGGGGACCCTACCATGGGCCCAAGAGACTTCGGCCCTCCCCACCCCCTCAAGTTGTAGACTGGATTCTTTGTTAACATGCAAAGGTTGTCAGATACAGAGGACTGAAGCCAAATACATTAATTATACTTAAAGATGCTGGGTAAAGAAAGACAGGTGTCCGACCCCACCCTGTGTGACACGGAGCCAGCATCTTTGCAGTGATGAGCCAGTTGCCAGGTCTATAAAGTGTTTTTTTTTTTTTTTTTTTTAATGAGCTCTGTCTGCCTCATGGGGCTCTGGTGAGAACCCAGAGAATGCTCATAAAACCTAGAGTTAACTGCTAGTCACTTAACAAATATTTGAGCACCTACTGTGTGCCCAGGGACTATTCTGGGAAAGGAGAGATGGCAGAAGAAACAAATAATCCTGTTCTCCTGTAACAGTTACTGTCAAAATTACAGCCAGCTCTGAGGCAGCACACTCACTACCTAGTCTTCCACCGCACTCAGCTATGTCCTAAACCCAAGGCTCCCAGGGGGCTGATGTGGCTCTTCTCCTCCCCAGATTACTTTCATGAAATGGACTCCATGCCATTTTTTCCTTCTCTCTTTTTTTAAAATTTTATTTAAAAAACCTTCGGTGCAATATTAAAAAGCAATACGGCCAGCTGGAGCGACAACGAACAGAAAGAAAAGGAGAGGATGGGTAGGGAAGATCCCCGGACCCCCTTCCCAGCTGCTCCCAGGGGCTGGAGGCCAGGGCCAGACTGGGGAGGGGCCTGGGTGGTGGGGGAAAGAGGAAAGGCCACCCACCAAAATGAACAGGCAGAATAAAACATTGATATAGGAAATATCTTGCTGAACTGAAGAGGATCTAGGGGAGATGGGAAGCCCCCATTTTCTTCCCCCAAAATGTCCTAGACTGGGGGCAGGGGGTGGGGGAAAGGGTTGGCCTCCTGGGGTGAAAGGAATAGGCCCTGTCCCACCCCACACTCCTTTGTCAGGGAGTACAGGATGTGCTGGAGGGCCAGAGCCGTGTATGTTGGGGGAAAGGTGAGTAGGAATGCCCCCTCACTAGAATCTGTTACAAGGGCTGAGGGTGTTCCCGGTCCAGCTCCCAGACTCTTGGGGGTCTTGGGTGAAATGGAGACTGGAGTGGGTTGGGGCAGGGGTGTGAGGCTGGGCGTTCAGCCTAGAAAGCCGTCGGGGTCGTCCTCCTCAAAGTGGCCTTGCTGCAGCACCTTGATGTGGTGCTCGTAGATTTTCAGGGCTGGGCCGAGGCGGATGGACAGGCCGGTCAGCACATCTGTGCGTTGCATGAGCAGCAAAGACTTGCCATCGATTTCCTGGGTGGGACAGAGGAGAAAGAGAGAGAGAGAGCAGGGTCAGAATACACCCCCACTGAGACCCTGAAACCCTGGGGCTAAGCTGAGGGGCCGAACCCACCTGCTCTTGGAAAGCTGTCGCCTGTTCCGGGAAGCCAGCCTCAGTGAAGTATTCGACCACATCTGTCACCGTCCACTCCACAGGATCAGCCGGCTTCTCCTTGCGCCCCGAACTGTGTTGGAACAGAGGGAACCAGTGAGCAGTGACACTCCCGTGGTTCGGTCACGCACACCTGGGCAGCGGCCCCCACCCCACCCCGTGTCTCAAACACTGCAACTTACGGACAGCCAAAGGGGGTCCCATCGGCCCCAGGGAGGGCTGGTTTTCCTGGGGGCAAAGGCACGGGGGATGGGGAGTCTGGCCCAGTGGCAGCAGAGGCTAGGAAATAAAAAGCAGATGCCTGTGGTTTTGTCTTGGGGCTCGGTTCCGCCCCACCAGCCACCCTCCCCCACCCGGAGGAGCCCTTACCTGATCCCCCTTCCTTATTCATGGCGGCCATCGAGAACACTTGACGGGTGCCACTGCCTGGCGCTGGCCCGCGTCCTTCATCCTGGCTCTGGTGGGGCCCACAGGGCGTCCACTCCTTGACCCTCTCCTTGGCACTCTGAGGGCCCCGCTCGCCATTAAGCTGGTGGTGTTGGGCACCTGCAGGACGGTCTCCCTCGGGCACCTCGGAGCCCTCAGACACTTCATCTTCATCATCTTCATCTTCGTCATCTTCATCCTCCTCTTCCTTCTCAAGCACTCGCTCTTCTCCACCTCTCTGGAGTAAGAGAGGGAAGCCCGTAAGGGCAGTAGCTGCTCTAGCCCTGGGCCCGACCCGGGGATCCAGGACCAGGCGGACTGCCTCACCACCACCTTTAATACCAGCACGGACTAACTTTTACACATCCACTCCGTGCCAGACTCTGTGTTAATAAAGCTCTCAGTAGCCAAATCTCACTAAACTCGCTCAACAACCCCAAGAGGTCGCTACTGTTATTAAGTCGCGTTTTACAGCGGAGGAAACTGAGGCTGGCGAAGATCAAGTCACTTGCCAAGGTCACCACCCGCCGAGCCCGCAGGGAAGAAGCGCAAAGCCCCGGCCGCCTGCGGCCCGCTTCCTCCTGGGACTCTCGCCCCGCCACCAACTTCGCCAGCACCTGCCCACCGCACGGCGCCCCCCTCCGCGGCGCGCTCACCTTGCTCCGCGACGCGCGGGCGCTGGCGGCCGGGGGCGCCCGCCCGGGCCTGTCCCCGCGGGGCAGCGCGAGCGCTCCGAGACGAGTGCGCTCCAGGCGGCCCCGAGCCGCCGCCTCCTCCTCTAGCAAACCCTGCACGCGGCCGCGGGTCAGGCGGCCGCCGGCGCCGCCGCTACCCCCGAGGTAGCGCACGACTTCCCGCAGGCTCACGGGCCGAGCCGGGCCGCCGGCCCGCGCCGCGCCCCCCTCCGGCGGCTGCTGTGGCTGCTGCGGCGGCGGCGGCGGCGGCTGCTGCTGTGGCTGTGGCGCCGGCGGCAGCGGCGGCTCCCGGGCGGCGACGGCGGGCGGGGGGGCGCGGCGCGGGCCGGCCGGGGGCGCCACTGCCGGAGGAGCGGCGGGCGCGGGCGGCGGCGCGGCCAGGGGCGCGGCCCGCTGCGCGCGGGGGCCCGGTTGCGCGGGGCCGGGCGAGGGGGGCGCTGTGGCGGCAGCAGCGGCGGCCGCGCGGGGCGCCCGGGCCGGGGCGGCGGCGGCGGCGACGGGCGCGGGCGGTGGCGGCGGGGCGGGCGTGGGCGGCGGCGCGGCGGCGGCAGCGGGGCCCCCGCGGGGGGCGCGCGGCGGGGCCGGCGGGGTGGCTCCGCGCCGGGGCGGCTGGACGCGCGCCGCGTTGCGGTACGAGATGCTCCCCTTGTAGCTGACCCGGAGCACGGCGCGTTGCTGGATCAGTTTCTCTAGCTCGGCGCGCGTGCGCTCCGGCTCCGGGCCGTGCCGCCGCCGCACCATCCGGCAGATGCGCTCCAGGTCCGGCCGCGCCTTGCGCGAGCGCAGCGAGTCGATGGTGTCCAGGATCCACTCTTGGTAGTGCGGGGAAGCGGCGGACGACGAGGCAGCGGCCGCCGTGGTGGCGGCCGCCGCCGTCTCCGGCGGGGGTAGGGCCGGGGGCCCCGCCATGCCTCCCGCCCGGCCCGGCTGCACCGTGCGCGCTGCCTCCCTCCCAGCGCGGCGCCCCCCTCCCCGGCACCCCTCCCTCCGCCGCTGCCCGCCTCCTCCGCCTCCCCCCCCGGGGGGCGCAGCGCCTCGGCGGAGCGGCGGCGGCGCTGCTGTTTCTTTGCAAAAAAAAAAAAAAAAGAACGAGAGAGAGAGGGAGCGAGAGAGAGAGAGAGAAAAAAAACAGTGAGAGAGAAAGAAAAGAGAGAAAAAAATATGCACACACTCACTCACTCGCACGCACGCACACACAGACCCGCTTCTGCTGGGCGCGCGCGGGGCCGGGGATGCGAGGAGGGAGGAGGGGAGCGCGGCGCGGCCGGCCCCTCCCCGCCGCCGCCGCCGCCGCACGCGCGCCCTGCGCCCGGGACACTCCGGCCCCCCTTCCTTCCCTCCCTCCCTCCTCCCCGCCGCCCGCCTTCCTCCCTCCCACCCCCACGCGCCCGCTTTTAAGGTGGAGCCCGGGCCCCCCGCCCGCCCCCTTTACCCTGCGCTCTCGCTCACTCCGGCTCGCCCCGGCCCCCCCTTACAACTCCCGCGCGCTTTTTAAGGAGGCGCCGCGGAGTTGGCGCCGGGGCGGGGGCGGGGGAAAGCGGCGGGCGGGGGAGGGGGAGGGGAGCGCCGGGGGGAGGGGAGAGGGGGCGGGCGGGGCGGGCGGGCGGTGCTCGGCCGCCCTCCAGCCATTGGGCGCGGGACCCAGACGTCCCCGGCGCCCAGCCCCCCTCTCCACGCCTCCCCGGCGCGCTCCGCTCTCGGGACCGCACTTACCGGGAACTCGCCGCCCGCGGGCCGGGCCACTGCGCTCACCCGGCGCCGCGGGGACCTTCGGACCACCGCCGCCCCCGTGCCCCTTGGGCGTGCTTGGCCCTGCGCGGGGAGGGGGGCGCGCACGGTCTCCACCACCCCATACCCCCCCTGCCAGGGCCGCCCCCGCCGCCGCTCGGCTTCCCGGCGCGCCGGCCCCAGCGTCTCCCTAGAGCTCCCGCCCTTTCGGCCTCTCGTTGGACGCAGAGGGGGTGCGCCTCAGAATGTGGGGACCCCTAATCTGGGGTCAGAGGGCAGTTTGGCGCCCCCTTCTCCGGCAGGGCGGAGGGGAGTGGCGGAATTCCAGCTAAACCCGGCTTTATAAGGACTCCAGGCCAGGTGCTGATCAGCTTGGACGCTGGGGTCCAAAATTCTCTTTCCAACCCCCTGGGGGTGCGTGGGTGGGTGACCGAAGTCAGGAACACTAGCGACACTTTTTTTAAACAAAACTTTATTGATAATAGTTTTCAAATATGTTTACAACAGCACACTGTTCAAGAGGAAGTTGCGTCCTTCGCAGCACACAGGTTGAATCACCCCCGCGCCCACCCGGGCCCCACCCCAGGCCTGAGAGCTCCTCCTGGGATGGGGAGAAATGATGAGAGGGACAAATATGGGGATGAATGGGGTGACTCCCGACTTTTCTATTAAGAGAGAAAAAACCACAAATGGGTGGTGGCGGTGGGGTGGGGGGAGAACCGGTGATTGACAGCTGACAGCTAAGCAGAGGAGGAGCGCCCAAGATGGGGGGGGTGGAGGGCGGAGGCTGCTGGGTGAATAAAACAAGCAGCCCCTCACCAGCAACCCTGGCCTTGAACCCGGGGGAGGGGGCGCTCTACCTCCTTTTGCGGTGATTGCCTTCCCAATTGACAGGAGGCTGGACATTAAAATCTAGCTGAGAATAAAATCAAGGAGTTTGGGGAGAGTGTTACTGGGAGGGACGACCTGGGCTCGGGGCTCCCCCTCTGTCTTTTCAGGGGACGACTCCTCTTTGGCAGGGAGAGGGGCAGCTGCTTTGTCTGGGTCCCGAAGCCCAAGGGTGAAGACAGGTCTGTTGGGGGCAGAACAGAGTAGGGGCTTCCTAGAGGGGCTGAGACCCTTCCAGGCTTGGCAGGGGATCATGGGGAAAGAGGTGGGGGGAGGAGGCAGGAGAGATTAGCAGCTTGGGGGAGAGGTTCGAACCCAGCTCCTTCCTTTACAGTCAGTCTGCTTCCCAGTTTTTGTAAAAAAAAAAAAAAAAAAAAAAAAAAAACCGATTTGGAGAGGAGGGGCATGGGAAAGGGTGGGAGAGGAAGGAGGGAGGGAGGCATTGGTGGAACTTAAATAAGACTGTAAATTGTATTTAAAAAAAAATAGCAAGTGGCCCACTGAACGTGACACTAAAATCACTCCTTCCCTGGCAGGATTATTCTGAAGGCAAGGTTGGCTTTTCATTCATTCGCCCTTAGAGAGTGGTGCCTGTCGGTTTTTTTTTGGGGGGGGGGAAGGGGTGGCTGTAGTTAAGTTTGGGCCCCTCTTGCCACACCCTGTCCCTGAAACCAGGGAGACCTGGTCTGACCTGAAGAAGGGAAGAACTGAGAAACTCGTTTAAAACAGGCAGAAATGGGCTGGGGTGGGGGGCTGTGGAAGGAAGGCAAAAGCAGCGGGGGGGGGGGGGCAGGAGGGCAAAGGGAGTGAGGGGGAGCAGCTGGTGTTTTGCCCCAAATACCTGGACTTCCTGCTCCCCCTACCCTGGAAGGTGGGGCGAGGGGGGTTAAATTAGAGGCAAGGAACTCTGGGGCCCTCTGGCTGTTCAATCCAACCCTCCCACCCCCCCACCAAAAAAAAAAAAAAAAAGGAAAGAAAGAAAACCCATGGGCGCACAGGCACACCCCTAGAACTCAGAAAACTCCTTGCCACACTTCTCATTGATGGAGACTCGGATCTCTTCCTCCTCATAGTCGTCAAAGTTACTTGTGTCCCCAGGGCCTTTAAACTTTGGTATGAAGGGAGCTTCCACCTGGAGAGGGGTCAAGAACAACTCAGATCTCAGCAGTCAACATAATCATCATTACAACAATAAATGCGAATGGGCTAACATTCATAAGATAACTTACTCTGACCCAGGCCTGAGCTTAGCATTAGAGTGTGGACTCTTAAGAATCTTATAGAAGTCTTCTCTAGTGGTCCAGTGGCTACAACTCTGTGCTTCCAAGGCAAGGGGTCCAGGTTTGATCCCTAGTCGAGGAACTAGATCCTACATGCTGCAACTAAAGACCCTATATGCTGCAACTAAGACCTGGTGCAGATAAATAAATTAAAAAAAAAAAAAAAGAATTTTACAGCCAACACATTGATGGGCAAATTATTAATACTTTCCAGAGAGAGCAGTCTCCTGCCCAAGGTCACAGAGTGGCCAAATGATTCTGCAATTCTGTTTCTAGACCCCCACTGCTCTAAGTTGCCACATCTACATTCACCCAGAGCTTGAAGGCTATTTTTAGATTCCCCTTCCCTTTTCATCTCTCCATTGGTAATACTCTCCCCCTTCTCTCCAAACCCCCAGAGCACCTGAGGAAGGTAGGGGGTGCCCTACCTTCCTCTGGTAGATGGCAATCCAGTCAGTTGTGGCAAACCACTTGTGGTTCTTGATATCATTGACCCCATTCTTGAGGTTCCCAAAGCGCTTGGTGAGGTCCACTTGTAGGAGGTTGCGCAGCAGATCCTTCAAGTCAGAGCTGAAGTGGGACGGAAACCGCACCTGGACAGCAGATAACACAGGAAGACTGGGAAACCCCTCTGGAGCTTGGGGAGCCCAAAACACTGGCTTTCTCACCCAACAGTCTTATTGGGTGGAGGAGCCCAAACTGAAGTGTGTGTTGGAATCCCATTTAAAACAGCTTGTTGGGCCCACTGGAGTTTCCAATTGAGAAGATCTGGATAGGGCCTGAGAGCTTATATTTCTAGCCAGTGCCTGGGCCATGCTGATGCTGCTGGAGGAGGGGCCACTTTGAGAACCGCTGGAGCAAGGTAAGATGCTATGAGGTTCCCATTTGATTTTTTATTTTTCTGGCCTCCCCGTGAGGCTTGTGGCATCTTAGTTCCCCGACCAGGGACTGAACCTGGGTCCCTGGCAGTGAAAGCAGAGACTCCTAACTACTGGTCTGCTGGGGAGTTCCCGAGATTCCCATTTTAGAGAAGAGGAAACTGAGGCTTGCCCAAGGTCACACTGAGGAGCAGGACAGACTGGTTCCATATGTGGGGTCTGATGGACTCCAAAACTTGCATCGTTTGCCACTGCTTCTTAAGGCAGCTCTGCTGGGGCTGGGGGACTTCAGAAATATTCATGTTTCTGAGAGAAATGATTGTTTTTCTATTTCTCTCTCTCTGCATAGCTAAGATTCTTCCATTCTTTAAGGCTCGGTGTTACTCTTCCAGAAACTTCCCCCAAATGCTTTGAGGCCGCAGCCTTGTATACAAGTAGTCAGTGGATTTACAGCTGCAAGAACTGACTTCCAGCACCGCTCTGCTTCTTACATGCTGTGTGACCTTGGCCACCGCCTTAACCTCTCTGGGCCTGTGCCTGCCTCTCTGGCACGGGGCAGATATCCCAAGGCTGCATGAGGGAGATAATCCTGTTGAGGGTGCGTGGGAACTATGAAATGCTACAAAGAAGGGAGTCAAGCTCATCTCCTCTCCCCCTCAGAAACTTCTATGACTTTTTTTCCCTCCCCACTCTGGGCCATTTTCTTTGCAACCTCTATTCTGCCTTGTGGCAGACACCTCATCTTTCCCTTTTTTAACGACTCCACTTGGTAGTTGGTGACTCTCTTAAACCTCCCTGAGAGGCAAGTGGCTTGTTCCCCAGTGCTGAGATGGATGAGACTCAAGAGAAGCAAAGATATTGGCTTGAGGTTTCAAAGTTGATGGATGGCAGAGCCGGGACTTAGAACCAGGTCAGTCCACCGAGGCTGAGCTGGGAGCCACTTCCACCACTTTCTGAGCCAGATGGAGGGGTGGCTGGTCCTCCAGGGGAGGTGGATGAGCAGACATGGGGCTCCCAACCTTTCTCGGAACAACAGTGCTATGTGATCTTGAACCAGACATGCCCAATCTCTGGGCCTCAGCTTCCTCCTCCCTCACAGTGCTGTGTGACCCAGGGGGCGCATGGGGCAGTAGGCACTTCATGCTCTCCAGGGCTCTAAGAGCTCAGCCTCCCCTTACCCACATCCTCCAAGTTAGAAAGTCTGCATTTGGGGAAGGAGGTGGGGCCATGTGTCCTCAGTGACTCCCTGCAGGGCTCTAGGGTAGTGCCTGGGAACGGAACACACTTGCTTTTCTGCTGTCAAACTTATGGAGACTGATGCTAAGGGGGTCACGTGGAGGAGAGACGAGCCTCATGTCAGGCAGGGCAGGAATTTGAGTGAAGCCTGGGGGTTTGGAAACCCGTGGGGTTTCGGCACTGAAAGTCCAGAGATGAGTGAGGCTGTGTGAAGTGGTGGCCTCAGTGTGGTGGGTGTGTCTGGCTTCACCACCTGGCCTGGCTTCATGAACTTCTAGATTTGTTCTTTTGGTTTTTCTTTGGTTGCCCCGTGAGGCATGTGGGACTTAGTTCCCCAATCCAGGGATCAAACCCGAGCCCCCTACAGTGGAAGCAAGCGCGGAGTCTTAACCGCTGGGCCATCAGGGAATTCCCTAGATTGTTCTGACAGTGAAGAGCAGGGCTCCAAGGTGGGCAGGATGGGCGGGAAGGGTTGGTCTTAGGGCTGAGCCCCCAACATCCGGGCCTCACCTTCCCAGAGACAATCTTCTCGTAGATCTGGATGGGCTGGTCGGCGAAGAAGGGCGGGTAGCCTGCGGCCATTTCGTAGATAAGGACCCCCAGGGCCCACCAGTCCACAGCTTTGTTGTAGCCCTGGAGGGAGAAGGGTGAGGTGCAGGTGTGGGGAGAAGAGTGAGGAGGGGGTGCGGGCAGAATAGGCCTCCGGGTGGTGGGAGGGGTCGGGAAGCGCCTACTTTACTCAGGATGATCTCAGGGGCCAAGTACTCGGGGGTCCCACACAAGGTCCAGGTGCGGCCTTTCACACGCTTGGCGAAACCGAAGTCTGTCACCTGTGGGCACAAGGATGGGCAGTTGGCTGGGAGGGCGGAAGGGTTCAGGCCAGGCCGCCTGGGGCTGCCCCCTCGCCCAGCCCAGTGGGCACCTGAATGTAGCCCTGCTGGTCGATGAGGAGGTTCTCCGGCTTCAGGTCCCGGTAGATGAGATCAAGCGAGTGCAGGTACTCAAAGGTCAGGACAATTTGGGCGGCGTAGAAGCGCGCATGGGGCTCACTGATGGAGATAAGAGAGGAGGGGATGGGTGAGTGGGATGGGTGAGATGGATGCGGGTATGGCCATACCCGCAGCACCCACCCGCCCCGGAACAGTCCAGCAGGTGGGCCTGTGGAGCTGTCTCCAGCCTAGGCGATCATGATGCATCAGCAGATGGAGAAGGGGAATGTCAACACACTCCAGTATTCATGCCTGGGAGATCCCATGGACAGAAGAGCCTGGCAGGGTTACAGTCCATGGGGTTGCAAAAAAGTCAGACACGACTGAAGTGACTAAATAGCGAGGTGGATTTGTCAGTTTCTCTTGTGTGAGTATTCTAAGAGACTAAATAATTAAAAGCCTTATTTTGTGATTTAAAAAAAAAAAGCACCCACAGAGCAACCTTCTTCATCTACAGCCACAGACTGGAGACAGCCCTTGTGTCCATCAGCAGAGGAATGGAATCACAGGTTGCAACAGATTCACACAATGGGATCGGACCCAACACCACCACCAGGACGAATGAGGAATACACCCAACAATGTGCTGGGTCTCAAAATGATTATGTGAAGCAAGAGAAGAAAAGGGACAAAAGAATATGAACTGTGTGAGTCCATTTATATCAAGTCCAGACCCAGACCAAACGCACTTATGGTGTTTGAAAGCCAGAAAGGACATTTGCCTTTGTTGGGCCGGTGATTTGCCAAGAAAGGCATTCGAGGGAATTTTCCAGGATGGCGGCTACACACACGTATGCAGCTGTCAAAACTCATGGGACCGGGTATTGAAAACCTGTGCATTTTATTGTACATAAAATGTATCGCTGTATAAATAAGTAAAATAAAACAGCATAAATTTAAATGACATAAAATCACTCACGGGGTGACACATAAGTCACTGTGTTTCTTTTGTTTCATGGTAGTTGAGACATTGTAGATTCAGATTCCTCAGCTCAGGGGGAACGAGAACTCACTGGGACCCCAAGAGACCACTTCCACGGATGATGCCCATGGACAGCCCCAAGGTGGCGGGGTGGAGTGTCGGGCTCACCTGAACCTCCCGATCCGTCGCAGGTGTGAGAACATCTCCCCACCGGGCACGTACTCCATGACCATGTATAAATTTGAGTTGTCCTGTGGGAAGCAGCAAGTGATCAGGGTTCTGCTCCCCAAGCCCCGGGCCCCATCTGCAGGCCTAGTGCCCTTACCTGGCAGGTTTTCAGAAAGTGACAACCACCATCTTGGCTCCCAAGTGGAGCACGTTAATAGTGCCAGGCTCTGTGCTCACCAGTTACCTGTCTCATTTCCTTCTGCCTGCCAGCAACTAGGGGCAGCTGTCATCCTGCTTACGGGGGCCCAAAACAAGGGCCGGTGAGGGGTACATGAGGGACCTGGCCGGTGGGTCTGGGCTGCAGTCAGAACTCCATGGTGGCTCATGTCTTGAGCAAGGCTCTTGGGGCCACGGTTTTATCATCTGTCAACTGGGCCCAGGATGGGGTACAGAATTTGTGGGGCCCCCACAATAAAAATGTGAGGCCCCTTGTTAAAAACATGATTATCAATTTCAAGACCAAGTGCAGGACCCTTGTGACCACAGGGGTCACAGACCCTGAATGGCCTTTCCCAGTTCTCAAAGTCAAGGCTTAGGATGATGCCCAAAACAGCTCACACAGGGTGCGCATGCTGTGCTTTGAACTGTCATGGCAGCCCCAGGTGAGGATTGCCACGATACCCCTCTTACAGATGAAGAAACCAAGGCTCAGGGGAGTAAAGTCCCTGGCCAGGGTCACACGGCCAGGAAGTGCAGGGCTGGGATTGGAACCCAGGCTGAGTGGCATGGCTTGTGGCTGTGTGTCAGCTTCTTGCTATAAATGAGTGATGATTTTGAGGGACGTTATCCAGATTGAGGGACTAGCCCCAGGTTATCAAGCTAGAGGCTGGCAGGCCCAGCTGAACTTGGGGCGATCAGAGCCCCAGGCTGATTTGCACGCCCCTGCCCCATCAGTGGACAGCCACCGGTGGTGATCGGCCCGGCCCCAGCTCTGGGAATCCAGAGGCTGCATTGCCTGGCCGTGGCCTCGGTCTGCCACCACTGGAACCCCACCTTGAAGGAGAACTCGAGTTTGACAAGGAACGGAAAGTTGACCGCCTGCAGGATGCGCTTCTCGTTCAGGGTGTGCTCAATCTGTTTCAGCTTCACCACCTGCAGGAGTGGGAGGGGAGAAGGAGAGGACGGGGTGTGAGTGAGTCCTTTTCCTCCTGACCACCCCAAAAAAAGGAGAGGTGCCAGGGCCAGGCCAGGTCCTTCATCTAGAATTGTATGAGTGGGGACTTCCCTGGTGGTCCAGTGGTGAAGAATCCGCCTGCCAATGCAGGGGACACGGGTTCGATCCCTGGTCTGGGACAATGCCACATGCCATGGTGCAATTAAACCCGTGCATCACAACTAGTGAGCCTGCAAGTCCCAACTACTGAAGCCCGCATGCCCTAGAGCCCATGCTCCACAAGAGAAGCCACAGCAATGAGAAGCCCGTACACCACATGGCAACTAGAGAGTAGGCCCCACTCGCTGCAGCTGGAGAAAGGTTGTGCACACTGCACAACAAAGACCCAGTGCAGTCATAAGTAAATAAACAAGTTTTGACCTAAAAAAAAACCCACACTGTTTGAGTGCCTGGGGACTGTCAAGCCCTGGGCCAGGTGCCTGTCCCCACACGGCATGCAGTCATGCAATTCAGGGCAAGAACACATGAGTCACCAGGCCACAGGGGTCAGAGCCCTGGTGGGGGAAGCTGGGGGCCTTATCTGGATGCCCAGATAAGGCACCCAGTGAAGTCTGAGGAGTCAGAGAAGGCTTCCTGGAGGAAGGGGCAGCTGAGCTGAAACAGAACATACAGGCAGAAGGGGCAACCAAGGGGTGGGGGGGTTTAGAAATACCTTCCTTGCAACTAGAGCACGCCCCTCCCCACAATCCACCTGAACCCAGGGCTAATTCCTCCTTGGCCCTCAGCCATCCCCAGCAGCCACCTCACACACTGACAGGAGTCCTGAGGAGGATGCACTGGGAACATGCCTGTCTGGAAGCCCAGATGCAAAGAGGAGATGTGTGGTGCCCAAGGTCACATGCAGCTAGTCAACCTCAGACCAGCTTGTCACACATATGCAGTCTGGCCCCTCGGTCAGCTCTGAGCCCCACTGCAATGGGGCGTCTTCTGCTTTGCCCACAACTACATCCTCTGGGTCTATACCTGCACTGTCCAGGACAGTCCACACTAGCTATGTACAGCTGCTGAGTACTTAAAACATGGCTGGTTGACTGACAGATTGAGTTTAAGACTGAAAGTATCTTGGGGCTTACCTGGTGGCTCAGTGGTAAAGAATATGCCTGCCAGTGTAGGAGATGTGGGTTCGATCCCTGATCTGGGAAGATCTCACCCGCCTTGGAGCAACTAAGCTCATGGGCCACAACTACTGAGCCTGTGCTCCACAAGAGAAGCCACTGCAATGAGAAGCCTGTGCACCACAGCTGGAGAGTAGCCCCCACTTGCGACAACTAGAGAAAAGCCTGAGCAGCAACAAAGACCCAGCACAGCCGAAAAAAAGATTAAAAAAAAAAAAACAACTTAAAGTACTTAAAATGAATATTTAAAAACTGATACTCAATGCAGTTACTGGGCAACTTTCAAGCCTGTTTGGAACAACTTGGGCTATGTGAATATGCTTTTTCAACTTGTCTTTTTCTTTTCTTTCTAGTGAAAATGAACATCCAAACGAAGATATGTTCTAAGTGTAAAGTACACTCTGGATTTCTAAGACTTAGTACGGAAAAAAAGGAATGTAAAGTGTCTCATTAATGATATTTCTACACTGGATACATATGTTGATAATATTGGAGATATACTGGCTTAATTACAACACACTGTTAAAATGAATTCCACCTGTTTTTTTTAACTCTTAAAATGAGGGTTCTAGGGAATTCCCCGGTGGTCCAGTGGTTAGTACTCCATGCTCTCATGGCTGAGGACCCAGGTTCAATCCCTGGTCAGGGAACTAAAATCCCACAAGCTGTTCGGCCAAATAAATAAAGATAAAATGAGGAGTCTAGAAAATATAAAACCATATGTGATATTTCTCCTGGACAGTGCTGCTCTAGAACATTTTGCCTGGCAAAAATATTTGCAGAAAGGAGGTCTGCGTAGACATCACTCCCCTCAGGAAAATGCCTGGCTTCCTCGAGACAGGCTAGGTGTCTGATGCCACCTCCATGCTGGGATTGGCGCGGGTGGCTCCTGGGGAGGGGAAGCTTTCTGAAGGCAGCACGGTACCCTTTCTGCCCTCGGGTCTGGCACGTTATGGAGGTGCTCCAGGAGGTGACCACTGTGCGGGCGGAGCCCTGGTAGCTGGGCCCTGGGCCATGTGGCAGGGCCGGACTCACCTTTTGTTTGTCAAGGATCTTCATGGCATAGTGGTTCCCGGTCTCTTTGTGCTTCACCAGCATCACCCGCCCGAAGGAGCCCGTGCCGAGAGTCTTGATTCGTTCAAATTGATCCAAGTGGGCTGTGTTCTGCAGGCAGAGGGCTCTGGAGGGTCAGGGACCACCCCAACCCCTGTGCGGCCCAGGTTTGGGGCGTCCCCTCTGCCACCAGCAGAGGGGGCCGTGGGCACCGGGTGGAGCGAAGCCGGTGAGGCCGGGGGGGTGGGGGGGCGGAAAAACAAGATGGCGGAGAGCGCATTCCTCAAGGCTGGTGGCAGGGTCCGGATCCAGCCCTGGCCAGGGGCCCAGGAGCTGCTGGCAGCTGCCTGGGGGAGGGCAGGGGCCGCCCATTGGAAGGGGGTGGTGGGGTGGAGGAGCCTGGCAATGTGTGATCAGGTGCCCCCATGAGCATCAATGGGGTGAATGAGGCCAGGTGAGGTGCCTCCACAGGGCCCCCAAATCCTAGCCATGTCACCTGGATGTGGTTGGGGTGAGGGGGCTGTCAGTCACCCTTCCCGGGGCTCCGTACCCAGGGGGCTTACCTGAGCAGGATTTTCCCATTTTTTAAGAAAATCTTCTTTGGCTTTGGCTAAGAATTCTTTCACTGAAAGAAAGAGAGGAAGGCAGTGAGGTGAAGACCCCATGTTGCTGGAGTGGCCCCTGGCTATTCCCGCGGAGGTGCTGCTTTGTGTAAAGTGGGGTGCGGTCACCTTAACCTAGAGCCTGACCTTCTCCCTGGGCCTTTGGGTATCCTGGCTGAGTCTGAGGGTAAAGTTGGGTGGGTGGGGGGGCCTGATCTGGGCTGGGGCGTGGGTCCCCTTTACTACAGAAAGCTGGGGTCCAGTCTCAACTCTGTCCACAATGGGGGACAGGGCGACTTGGGGGGTCACTCTTGGTGGGGGTACAGAGAACAGTGCCCCGGCCAGCCCACCCCCACTCGCCCCAGTTCTGACCGACATTCCAGGGCCAGGGACGACGCCAGCCGAGGTATTTATAGCCTCTGGATTTGGCGGCTCCTCTGGTCCCTTCTCTGGGGAGGCTGGTCCGGGTGGAGGCCTCTGGGGCTCGGGTAGCAGGCGCCCTTGGGGGGTTCAGCTGTTGCCTTGGCCCCCAGCTGGCTCCATTCCCGCCTGTGCCAATGGAGGGCCCCTGGCTCCTGAGCCGCTTCAAAGAAAGCCTCGCCTAATGCCTGCCCCCTACAGGCCCCTCAGCAGCCCCAGGTGATCACCTTCCAGCTAGCACTGAAGATTTCCCTGCGACCCTGGGCTTGCTACTTTGTGTCCACTCTCTCCTTTGGTTCACTTGCCCCCTCCCACATTCCTTTTATCTGTGCTCCCCATTCACCAGCCCCCTCCCCACCCCCCCCACCCCCGAACTGAAGCCTGAAAACAGGCATTCCCACCAATGTGGAGCAGCAGCCCGGCAAAGTAGATAGGGGCCAGGACTCTGGGATAAGATCAAGTTCAGCTCCTGGCCTGGTCCCTAAGGAGCTGTGTGACCTTAGGTGACTTGACCTCTGGGCCTCAGTTTTCCTCAGCCGTAAACTGGGGATAATAATAGTAATGACCCAGTGGGGTAGTTGTGGGGACTGAAGGAGTTATCTTGCAAAGGGGGTCTGGATGGTGTCTGGCACAGGGTGTTAGCGCCATGTAAATGTCAGCTATTAATTTTGCTGTGAAGTATTTTTTATTTTTAAGTTTTTGGGGTCTCACGGCATGGTAGGCAGAACTTCCCTGATGAAGGATGGGACCCACGTCCCCCACCTGCAGTGGAAGCGTGGAGTCTTAACCGCTGGACCATCAGGGAGGTTCAAATATATTTTTAAATAGAAGTATAAAATACAGGTAGAGCACTGAATGCTCAGATCTTGAATTCGCAGCCTGACGGACTCCTGCAGCATGGACCTGTCAATCCAATGGCCCACCTGGGGCAGTCGTGCTGCTGTTCAGGGACCATCTCTGTGTCAGCTCTGCGATACACTCAATGCTTTCCACGCTTAATTCCCACACTGATGGCTCAGAGCTGCTATTACTCTCATTGGACAGATGAGAAGACTAGCTTCTGATCACTTTCCAGACAATCCCTAACACCCACGAGATTAACTACTTTGCTTCCGATGGGTCACAGGGCACCAGGGTGGCCCATGGACAGAGCTATCCTCAACCCTGATGTCCCTGGGACGGACGCCACCCTGACAGGGTCCTGCAAACCTGTACTTTGACTTTGCCTGTCATTTGCCTGGCTCACCTGTAGGCAGTGCCAGGAATGCCCACAGCCTTGTGGGTAGCCACACCGCTCCCCCTATCAATCCTAAGGCTCTCCCTCAGTGTTCCAAGAGAGGAGCCTTCTGTGGGGCGACAAGAGTGGCAGACGGAGGAGAGATAGTTGGCTAGGAAAGCCCTATGAAGAATGACCGGGCAGAGAGGGGGCAGTCAGGAATGGCCGAGGGTCCTCAGTTGGTGTGCCTGGCTGAGCCACCAACTTGTCTGAGAACTCTCTGAGCCTGGGGGCTGCACCACTTGCAAGGGTATCACTAGCGGAATCTTTCTGGACGTACGACACCTTCCTTGGAAACCTCCAAACGTACACGCTGAATTCTGGATGAAGGTAGGTGGGGGGGCAGGGGGGGATGAAGGTACCCTCTTGGGATTCTACCGTCACCCACCCAAGAAGGCAGAGAGGAGTGCATTTGAGAGGAATCCAGGAGAAAAGCAGGTCCTGCTTCTTCTTTTCCTCTCAGCTGTCCCTGAGAAATGCCACATCCTGTTTTTTCCCAAAGTGGTGGGTCAGCGTCTCTGTCTGCTGGTACCCCACTAAGAGGCTCCACATGGATGCCCTGATCCTGACACAACCCTGCTCCGGCCTTTCCAAAGTGCAGGAGGACCCAGGCTGTGTGCGTTCTCATCAGCTTGCCAGATTTGGGGGTGAGGGACAGGGTGTGGCAGTGGCAGGAAGAGAAGGCAGATAAAGAGGAATAATGATGGGGGGGAAACCCAGCCAGGAGTCCCCATACTCACCTCTGCTTCCTGCCTCTTCCAGCAGGGGGTACAAGGGCGGGGAGTGGAGTGGGATGGGGTGATCGGGGGCCCATCTGCCTGTAGCCAGGGAGGCTCAAGGTGCTGGTTGCGGCTTAGGTGCCCAGAGAGTATGGCGCAGGTAGCCCAGGAGGCGGACAATTAGATGGCCCCAGAGAAGCAGCTGCAGCCACAGCTGGAAGGTGGTCTCTGAGTCCCCATCCCAGCCTCTGCCTGACCCCGGATCCATCCCAGGCCGCCTTGACTCTCCCAGGAACGTTCCCTTTGTAGGGAAACCAGGAATACAGCAGTCTCTGAGCTGACTTCCTTGGGAGGGCCTGGGGGTGGGGGTGGACAGGGGAGGAGGAGGAGCTGGTTGCTAGGGAAGCATTTAAAGGTACCTGCTCCCGGCTGGCCAAGGTTGGTAAAGGCCCTCCTTGGCAGCAGGTGGTGGGAAGAGTCTCCTGAGGGTGTCCCTCCTGGCTGGCCTGCCTGCCCTGGGGGCGGGGTGCTAAAGCTAACTTCCTGTTCCAGGGACTTCACTGCTCCCCGCTGCCAGGCCCTGCCTTTCTCAGTGGGTACTCGACCGCCCAGAGGATGGCATCCAATGTGCCCAGGGCAGTGCCCACTGGGGAGGGGAAGGAGTTAAGGCTCAGGCCCAGGCAGCAGCCGGGGCCTCCCTGGGGGTCAAGGAGGCCCCAGAACTCCATTAATTAGCTGAAAGAGCAGCTGGAGAGAAAGGCGGAGGTGGGGGGGGCAGTGAGAAACACCCTATCTCCTCCCCCAAGTGCTCTCTGAAACTGGAGCCCTCAAATTTGGCTACTTTGAGAGAGAAATGGGTAACATCTAACTCAGTCCTGCTCCTGTGCAGGGGCGGAGAGGGGCATGGCATGCTGGGATGTCCTTGGCCTCTGTCAAACCTTGCCCTGTGCTTGGCTCTGCTCTCAGCCCTGAAAGTCCAAACCGGAAACGAAATGCTAAACCCAGGGGTGGGGGAGGGGAGGCAGCTTTGACCATCTTCCTCCTTCTTTCCAGATCCCCAAAAGTAGTGGAGGGTCACTGGCAGCTACTTATTCCCCGAGTGCCCGGCAACCTCGGCCCCTGCTGACAACAGGAAGTGGCAGAGAAGGGAAACCCAGCTAGCTGCTGTCTTTGGAGACTGTAGGCCTGGCCTGCTCCTGTTTCCCACAGGAGGGGTACCAGCTTCCACTCTGGTCTGGATTCCACTTGGGCTCACAGGGAAAACAGCCCTCAAAAAGCCAGGGCCCCAGCAGGAAGCAGGATCCCAGCCTCAGACCTCCACCCCCCACCAAAGAATCTCAGGACCCCATGTTCCCTGAAACTTGCTTGTCCTGGAAAGTCGCGGCAGGAAGGCCAAGCCTGGGCCATGCCCTAGTCTGAGTTGCACCTCAGCACTGGACTGGACCACTGCCTAGTACCACCTGGACTCCATCACTGAGCTGGACCAACCCCCACTCTGAACTAAACCCTATCACTGAGCTGGTCTACCCCACTGCCTGGGTCTGGGCCAGATCCCCAGTCTGGGAGGCTCATCCACCCCATCCCCCGCCCCCTTGTCTGAACTAAACCACCCATCTCCCCTGTAGGGCCATCAACCCTACTCAGGGTTGTTAGGAAGGGTTTCCAGGGCCAGTCAGGGGTCCACAGTCTTTTCCTCTCCACTTGCTCCCTAAACTCTACTCTAATCCCTCCTTGACTTGAGGGTCAGAGTGTGCCTGGAAGTTGCTATAGCAACAGGGCTCAGCCTCACCATCGTTGGGGTTGGAAGCCATCACTCAGTCTTCCTCTCAAAGCACCTGGACTACGGTGGCTGGGAAGGCTCATGAGACCTGCTGCACCAGCTTAGCTGCTCATCACCAGAGCCCTGCCTATAGGGGGAGCCAGGGAGTAGTGGGGTGGTGGCAGGAAGAGAAATCCAACCTGCCGGCCAGCGGGTGCAGGGGAGGGGCAGGGAGGACCCTCAAGCTTCTTTAAGCCCAGGTGGACCTAAAGGAAAAACTGTCTTGGCAGGACCCTCTTGGGCACCTGTACAACTGCCAAAGCACAGAAGGTGTTTGGCCCTCTCAGGCTTCTGTAGTATGTTAGGAGGGCCACAATTCTTCCCATCTATGGACCTCTTGGGAGCAAGTCTCACTCTCAGCGTGTGAATCTTCTGGTCTCTGGGACCTGGGGTAGGGGTTGGGGGAGGTCTGGAGGGCTCCTCTTACCAGTCCTGTACCTTCTTCCGTGGACTAGCTCTTAGGGGTGCCTTTTTGGCCACGGAAACCAAGGCTGGAGACCCAGTTGGCTGCCCGTTCCCAGGGCCTCTTGGGGCCACTGCCCTCTCTCAATTCCTCGAGCTTGTTCAGAGCCTTGATCTTGTTTTTCCTCTGCCCTTTTAGCATCTTACCCAGGCTACCACCAGTGGCTCTGGCATCTTTGGGTTCAGATTTCCCCCTTCCTTGGTGTCTCAGACAATAAAAAATCTGCCTGCAATGCAGGAGACTCGGGTTCGATCCCTGGGTCAGGAAGATCCCCTGGAGTTGGGAATGGCAACCCACTGAGGTATTCTTGCCTGGAGAATCCCATGGACAGGGGAACCTGGCGGGCTACAGTCCATGGGGTGGCAAAGAATCTGACATGACTGAGTGACTAACACTTTCCCCCACCCTATCCCCGGGCTGGTTCTAAATCCCTGCCCTCTTGAGAGGAGGCCAATGCTGTCCTGCCCCACCATGGAGACGGCAGCACAGGGGGCTGCAGGATGCCAAATGGTGCCTACTAAGTTTTGGCACTTTCCTTACTCTACTTGGGCTGATGTCTGGCAGATGAAATTCAGGTGCCCCCTGAAGGCTGACCTGGCTACTATCCCCACCTCCACCCCATCCTAGTTGTGGGAGAGGGCAAATTCTGTCTAGCTCCATCCTCTCAGAATCGGAGCTTTGAAGCAAAGAGGGGCTTCTTTCCTCAACCTGTTTCCTTCAAGAGCCCCTGCAAATCTCTAGAAGTACAGCTTAGGATGTTTTCCAAAGTGTGACCAGGTCCCACTGGCTGGGGACGAACTGATGTTAAGGATATTTTGCCTTTCTAGTTTCATTGTATTTTAAGGTGTACCAGAGAGAATATAACTGGTATAGCAATCCCATGATTTCATTTATATTATTTCTCAGGATGGATCAAAATTTACATCTGAACAAAAGTGAGTCAAAATGTTTATTTCAGTTAACAAAATAGAAGTGAATATAGTGAAAAATCAGGGGGACAGCTTGGAAATGTTTGAGTTGGGAAATTCTGGGGTCCAGGAATTTGGCTGGTAGATGGAAATGGATGTGAATCCTGCTTCTGTGGCATCATCTATGTCAGACTCAGAGAGCTCGTTTGTAAAATTCAGATAACAGCCTGTTACGAAAAATCACTCGAGCAGATAGATCTATGGAGACCATTTAGCCCGGCACATCCTAGCTGCCCAGTAAAGAGTGGCTCTATTTTATCCTGATAGTCCCTTCCTGGGTGTCCAACCTATACTCTGAATTAGCGGTTCCTTCCGGAGCTTCTGATCTTTTTCTTGGGAATCCTTTTCCCTGTGTGGTTTTGCCACCCCATCTCTCTCCACTGCATGTGTTTGATACGCCTTGAAAGTTTTCCAGGACTATGTCATCTCCCAACTTTCAACTGAGTCACTGAAATATACAACTGCCTGCCTCTACCTTCCACCTCCGGGCCAGCCTCACCTGCTGGGGGCCCAGCCCCTCCCCCTCTGTCTAGTCCCCTCCAAGCTCATGCCCAGACCATTTTTGGTCACTACCCACCTGCTCCTCTGTCATCAAGCACTCAGCTACAGGCACTTGCCTCCCTGTCCCCCGCCCATCGGTGACATGTCAGGCTTCTCCATGGCTGCTCAGCAGCTATAAGTTCTGCTATTTGAATCTGGGTGGAAATAAAGTTCCCTGGCTTCCATGCTTGGGTCTTTCTGGGAGGGAGCATTCAGGGAACTCAGACACTGGGATCTGAGACAAGTAACTGGGAAAGGCATATTTGGATGTGACCATTCCTTTTCAACTCTATTTCTGGGTAACTGGAAGGGGATCCTAGTTGAGGCCCAACTTTAGGCCTGGAGTGATGACAATTTGAGAGCTGGATGACTTGAGGAAGGAGCTCAAGACCATTTCTGAAAGCATTTTCAGATACAGAATCTCTTTCCCTGGCTGGCTGGAAAAGGCCAATTTGATTTGGGGGCTGAGGGTAAAAACAGGCCCCCCTCTGGGTGAACCCTAGGGATGATCAGCATCTGTCTCTTGGCAAAGCAAGTCATTAGATGTCACCTACTACTCTTCCCAACTGTCATCCCTTGAGTTCTTTTTCTTACCATCCCAGCTCTAGCTGAATGAGCCTTGCTAAACTCATCCTTAATCCCCCACTTTTCATCCCAAGTCAGGAGCAGGTAAAGAAGCCTGAGAGACTGGGTGAATGATGAAGCCTCAGTTGTGACACAACCATTTATTGAGGAGCCCTCCAAAGAGCCTAGAGCTCACTGCACAGTAGGAGATGGGAAGGGGCTCTCTGCTGAAACCCCTCACCCCCAAAGCCAAGAAAGACGACGCACGGAATTCCAGCACCATTGGCTCAAACCTGGCTTTGCAAGCACAGAAGCAGTTCTCTAGGTTCACAAACAGTCTGCGACTCCAGCCAGGGACAGACGCTTGCTTGGAGAAGGAAGCACAGGCAGAGAAGCAGTGACAGTGACAGGATGAGAGAGGGGCAGAGGGACCCAGAAAGATCCTGTGCCCCATGCCAAGTGACACAGAAGGGAAAAACAATGCTGGAGGTGGCTCTGGGAAACGCTCAAGGGTGGGTTTGAAGGGGGGCTGTGATAAGGTGAAGAGGGGAAGGGCAGGAGAAAGATGGCGGGGGCTGGAGGGGGGAGGGGTGTGGTCACCAAGTGGCCAAGGTCCCTGTGGGGTGGAGGCAGACCCCACAGCACTCCCAGACTGACAGAAGCCTGGGTCGGGGTTTGGCAGTGGGTCTCATCTGTGGAAGAGGTGAGTGAGGAAGTGGGGGGATTAGAATCTGCGGAGAGGGACCAGGAAAGTAGGGAGTGGGGTGGTGATAGGGCCCCATGTGGGGGCCCAGCGGTCATACGTGCCATGGCTGGCAGTGACAGCTGAGGGGGGAGCTCAAGTCTTTGCAGTGGAGGGGAGGTCTTTGGCAAGGGGGTTCCTACGAGGTCTTCTGCGGGCCCTGGACCCCAACCTTGGACAGGCAGGGGGAAGGGGCGCCTGGGGTAAGCAGAGAGAAATTGGGAGGGGGGGCGCGTGGGGGGAGGGGCCAAGCAGTGATGGACAGGGAGGAGGCTGGAAGCGCGAGGCCGGGATCGGGGTCACGGCCCGGGCACTCACCGCTCTCTTGCTCGCTGCCCTTCTTGGCGGCGGCGGCGTTGCCCATCGCGGCGGCGGCGGCGGCCGGGGCCGGTGCCGGAGCTGCGGCGCGGCGGGTGCTGGAGGCGGCCCGCGGCCCCGGAGCACGCTGGGCGGCGGCGGGGGCGGCCCCTCGGGTTGGCTGCGCTGGCTGAGGCGCCGCGACCCCCGCCCAGCCCCTGCTTCCCGCGTCTCTCCGCGCCCGCCCGCCCGGGAACCTCAGCCCAAGTCCGCTGCTGCTGTCCGTGACGCCCCCGCAGCCCGCAGCTCATTGGCCTAGGCCGCCCTGACTGACGGCGCTGCGCCGCCATTCATTGGCCCTTCGCGACCCTCCCGCGCTGCCATAGGCTCTCGGCCTCATGACGCGCTCCTAGGACGCTTGGCCACTCGAGCGCTTGCGAGACCCCAACCGGGCGGGCCGACCCGTCTGATTGGCGGACTCTTCCGACAGGGCCCGGGGCCCGCCTAGCGAGGCTGCCGATTGGTAGAGGCGCGCTGTCCGGCAAGCCCCGCAGAACGTTCAGTGTCAATCCCTGGGTGAGAGGGCGGGGCGGAGGCGCAGTCTGCTGCCCCGGCGCGCCGGCGGCCGCTGGCCGGCGGCCGCGCAGCGCTCGGAGGCCCAGGAGGCGGTCCAGGCAGGCGTACGCCCGGCCCCGTGCGCGCCGCAGTCCCCCGCCCCCGTTCAGTGCGGCAGCGGCTGCGGGCCAGCCAAGGTTGGCGCCTCGGCCCCCCCCCAACCCCAACCCCGGCGCAGCCGCTGTCCACCTGCCAAGCGGGGGAGGGGCGCGGCAGGCGCCGCGGGTCATAGGTCGCCGGGCCGCCGGCCGTCGTCATTCATAAAGCCTGGCGCAGGATAGCGGCAGCGGGGTCGGGTCCAGGATGGGACCCTGCTGGAGGAACTTCAGGAGGATGCTGGGCTCTGGGAGGGGGCCACTCAGTAGACACCTCTTTGCTGGGTGCCCACCCTGGCCTCTTGCCAGTAGGAGCTGGCACTTGTTAAACACATTACTTCGCACCACACTCCTTTCACGTAGGTACTATTATCATCACTCCCATTTTACAGATGAGGAATATGGGGCACAGCCAGGTTGAGGATTCCCTCTGGGCAGTGCAAAAGGAACCTCATCTCCTGGAACAGAGAAGTAGCAAGATGCCCCTTTCTTCAGCGTGCGAGCGTGCATGATTAGTCGTGTCCGACTTTGTGACCCCATGGACTGTAGCCCACCAGGCTCCTCTGTTTATGGGATTATCCAGGTAAGAATACTGGAGTCGGTTGCCATTTCCTCTGCCAGGGGATCTTCCCAACCCAGGGACTGAACCTGCGTCTTTTGTGTGTCCTCCAAAGGCAGTCAGATCCTTTACCAGCTGGAAAACCCCTCCTCCTTCAGGGTCCCCTTTAAATACAGACAGCATGAGGACGGTCAGTTTCCCACCGCCACGTTTGTGACACTCGGGGCTGGCTCAGTCTATGCTGGGCTGGGGTGGGGCGCTGCCTTGTACATTGTAGAGCGTTCAGCAGTATCCCCACCCCTTGCCGGTAGAGCCTCTCATTCCTCTGCTACCTGTGTCAACTAAAACCATCTCTGCCATGCTAAGTCGCTTCAGTTGTGTCCAACTCTGTGCAACCCTGTCGACTGGAACCCTTCAGGCTCCTCTGTCCATGGGATCCTCCAGGCAAGAATATTGGAGTGGGTTGTTGCCATTTCCTTCTCTAGGGGATCTTCCTGAGGGAGAGATTGAACCCTCATCTCAAGTCTCCTGCATTGGCAGGCGGGTCTTTTACCACTAGTGCCACTTGCCACCAAAACCATCTCTAGACATTGTTAAATGTGCCCTGGTTGGGGGCAAAACTGCTGCCCAGCTGAAACCACTGAGGTAGAGGAAAGCCCAAACAGGTGATGCCAGGCGCAGGGGACTGGATGAGCTAGCCCCCCCTCAGCTTGGGGAGACTGACTCGTCTCGTCTACAAGCCAACTGGCTGCTCTGAGTCTGGACTGGTATGACCTGTACACCCCACCCAGCAGCCGTCTAGACCCATGCTCCTAAGTCCACCATAGTTTCAGGGAGAGAAGTCTGGGTTTTCCTGTGAATTATGGGGAAAAGGCTCACCGCTTCACCTGGGGATGTGGAGTTACGAAGTAAGTTTAAGTAGAATTTAATACAAGTATTGATATGTGGGCCCCCAGAGAGCAATGTTAATTTCTTCTGGTGGGTCAAGGTCATGACAAGTCTGAAAAATCACTGGTTATGCTCTATCTGCAGAACAGCTGGGTTGCTTAAATTTTGACAAAGCCCCTTCCTGGACCTCAGTCTGGAATACAACTATGACAAGACTATAAAAAGAAGCTGAATAAGGGAGAAAGGGGCAGTTAACCTATTGGTTGAGGCAAGAGGCAGGCCCCCCCCCCGCCCCCACAATGCCCCCATCATGAGGAGAGACAGACAAAACTGCCTCCGCCTACTGGAGACAAAAGCAGAAAGAGTCTAGATGAAGTGCTTTTTATTTTCAGACCAACCAAACATTTACTATAAAAACCTTTAATACACAAACTGCAATCACAATAGCATCCACGCAGCAGCGAGGGAATAGGGGTGAGGGTGAGGAGCATGGCAGGGGAAGGAAGGTTTTCAGGGTCCCTACTGCTTCCCTGGTCTGCACTGTGGCCTGAGAACATGAGGTCTTGGCAGAGTGCAGATCAAGGCAGCCAGAAGCAGAGGGGTCCTGACACCAACACTGAGACAGACTGAGAAGAGCAGGCCCCTCCAATGCGCCATTGTCTCCAAGGGGCAGCCTCCAGGGAAAGCCAGATCCAGTTGGGAGGCAAGAGCAAGGTGGTTGTGACCCAAAGGAGAGTCAACCATCTTAGCATCCTGCTGATCACCTTTTTGGGAACAGAGTTTTCCAGAGGGCTACTGAATTGAAAATGAAAAGACTTAAAAAATCATTCTGGCAAAAGGACAGAAATTGTGTCCGGGTCTGGGGACTCCAGGCAGCTGGGTGGATCTGCGCAGATGGTTGGGAAGGGAAATGAAGGCAGAGCCTTTGGCCCAACAGGGCCGGAGCCTTGCCAGGCATTGAGCAGGAGAGCCTCAAGGCTGGCCAGGGAGGTGTGTGGGGGAAGTTCTGGGTCAGTGGCACTCCTGGGACGACGGTCGCACAACGGCCCGCAGGTGGGGTTTCTAGTGTGTGTAGAAGAGAGGAAGGACACTCTGAAAGAATTAAGAACTGAAGTACCAGGTTCCTTCAGGCCTGGGCAGTAGAGGGGAGATGATCCTCTGGGCCAGGGCTGAGAGACCAGAAGCCCCTTCCTTCCTGAGGGCCAAGTGTGACTGGCCTGGATATAGCTGATGGCCCCAAAGTCCTCCATATGGCCTTCCCCATGCTCTCTGAGAGGCCCGGCTGCCCCCTCCAGATGTGCCAGGAGAGACTGGCCGTGGTCCCAGCTGGGCCCAAGTAGGGCCTTGGAGTCCCACAGTTAGATGCAGTCCATGGAGTTCTCAGGGAGGAGGCCTGGGATGCAGCCGGGGAGACCCAAGCCCTTGATGGGGGTGCAGCTGAGGGGGAGACTGCAGCCCAGGGCAGAGTCCTGGTTCTCTATGGCCTCCAGCCTGTCCATGTTGTTGTCCCAGTTGATGTGGAAGCGGGTCACCCGGGGGTTTGAGGCCAAGATGTTCCGCTGGAGCTGGGGTAGGAAAAGGAACACCAACCCTCGTTAGCATGCCCTCGTATTCCTCCCACAAAACTGCGCTCAGACCCCCTCCCGAAGCCCAGGAAGAGCCGACTTTGCTTATTCCATTACCATCAACAATATGTGTACAACTCCAGGGAATGCCTGTATACCATGACTTAGGGCTGGGGCCTATCTAATCTTAATTTTATCATTATTATTTTTTCTTAATATATATATTTTATTGAAGTATAGTTGACTTACAATGTTTCAGGTGCACAGCAAGGGGATTCAGTTATACACATATATTATTTTTCAGATTATTTTCCATTATAGGTCATTATAAGGTATTGACTATAGTTCCCTGTGCCATATACAGTAAACCTTTGTTGCTTGTAGCATATCTATTTTTTTTTAATTGGAAATCTAGTATTCTGTTCATACTAAGTCAAACAATTGGAATTAAAATGTCATAAATTTTTTAGTTAGGCAAAAATTCCTAAGTTTTCTAAAATATATACATTACATATACTATATATATACACATACACACACAAAAGCTTTTCTACTATATTTGATAAAGGCTTCAGAAAGAATATATTATTGTTTTTATTTTGGCCATACTGCTGTGGCATGCAGGATCTTAGTTCCCCAACTAGGGATCGAACCCATGGCCCCTGCATTGGAAGTGCAGAGTCTTAACCACTGGACCGTCAAGGAAGTCCTGGGGCCTATCTACTCTTGATTCTGTGAGGCAAAGTTCTGAGAAACAAAGACCTTTCTCTCTCTTGTTCCAGCCTGGTGCTGTGAGAGCTGAGCACCACTTAATAAGTGACCTTGGCTCCCAATTCCAAGGACTCAACTACCCCCAGGTGCAAAGGACCACCTGTCTGAAGCAGGAAGTGTGGAGGAGAGCCCTACCTGAGAGAAGTCTGGTTTCAGGGGCGGGTTCTCGCGCAGCTCGGGGCTGAGGTACTCATTGTTGACATAGTAGCCGACTCGGATGAACTCCTGTCCATGGTAGGTGCAGGTGATGAGGACCACGGTCACTCCCACGGCATCGGTCTCCGGGATGAGGGATGGGTTGGGGGCATCCGCCTGGGGAAACACATGCTGGGCTTGAGTACTGACGGTCTCGTCTTATCTGGTAATATGATTCTCAAGCAATGTGTATTTACACGGCCAAAAGGGTGGTCTCTGCTCTGAGGAGTTTTCAGTTGGGGGGGGAAGACAGAACCATCATACCAATGCCTGTAAAGTGCCGAATGGGGCAGATGCCACCAAGGAGGGGTATACGGCGTCGAGGAGGAATGTAATAAGCGAGGGGGCTGTTGTTGTGTAGTTGCTTAGTTGTGTCTGACTCTTTTGCGACCCCCTGGACTATTAGCTCGCCTGGCTCCTCTGTCCATGGGATTTCCCAGGCAAGAATGCTGGAGTGGGATGCTGTTTCCTTCTCCAGGGGATCTCCCAACCCAGGGATCGAACTCGCGTCTCCTGCATTGGTAGAGGGATTCTCTACCACTGAGCCACCTGAGAAGCAAGGTGGAGAGTGGTATAAAATGAGGCTGAAGAGGTGAGCAGGTAGGTATCAGTGAGTTAAAGGCTTGGGAAAGGCCGAGGATGTTTAGCAGGAGATAGGTGTGGCATTGCTCATTCCATCTGAAAATCTGACTCCGGAGGGCAGTGCAGCTGCAACAGGAAAAGAGCTAAGTGGGAGTCGGGAGACCAGGCAGGGGACTACAGAAGTCATCCTGGAGAGAGGACAGTGGCTTAGACCAGGCCTTAGCGAAGGACAGAAGTGGACAGATTTCCGGGGGTGTTGCTAAGGACAAGACCGGCTATACAACTGGTGCAAAAGGAGACTAACACAACATCAAACCGTGGGGCCTCAGGCTCAAAAATTAGTTGTTTCAGCCAGTGATGGCAGAACATTACAGCAAGTGTGAGGCCTGTGTGACTGCATGGTCACATGCCCGGGAAGCTGGCCCTGTTGAGGGGTAGAGTAGATGGGGCTGGCCAGTGGGTGGAGTAGAGGTGGGCAACGAGTTAGGTGATGGGACGAGGTTGCTGAGATTGGGGCAGGAATGGCCAGGATTAGGTAAGTGAATGGATTTGAGCCCTGGCTCTTAAACTTTACTGTGCCTAAGAATCATAGAAATCTCCATTTCTGACAACCCTTGTGACGCTGGATTGTTGTTTAGTTTCTAAGTTGTATCCAATTCTTCTGTGACTCTACAGACTGTGGTCTGCCAGGCTGCTCTGTCCATGGGATTTCCCAGGCAAGATTATTGAGTGGGCTGCTATTTCCTGCTCCAGGGGATCTTTCCCACCCAGGGATCGAACCTGCGTCTCCTGCACTGCAGGTGGGTTCTCTACCCCTGAGCCACCAGGGAAGCCCGTGATGCTGGATTGGAGCCACTTACAAGCTACACTGGATCCTCATTATTCACACATTCCATATTTGAAAATTCGACTGTTCGCTCAAATTTATTTGTAACCCCCAAATCAACATTTGGGGACTTTCACAGTCATTGAAGGACACGGACAGACAGCGCACAGGTGGGATCTGAGTAGCTCAGTGTGCCTGTTCCTAGTTGAGACAGAGCGAGGCAATCTCAGACTAAACCTATTTTTTTGCCATTTCTAGGCCACAGTTTCTGCATTTTTGTTGGTAATTTTGCTGTTTAAAAAGGCCCTAAACATGGTGCTGAGTGAGGGCTGCCATGTTCCTAACAGCAAGAAGGGATGTACCTTATAGAGAAAACACATGTGTTAGGTAAGCTTTGCTCAGGCGTGAGTTAGAGTCCTGTGGGCCATGCGTTCACTGTGAATAAATCCAAAATAAGGTGTTTTTAAACAGAAAAACACATAAACTAAGATTATGTATTGACCAGTTGACAAAAATGTTGACTTGCAGAAACTTAACACTGTATTTCCTCTAGGGCAGGGATTCCCAACCTCCCGGATCTAATGCCTGATGATATCTGAGGTGGAGCTGATAATAGAAATAAAGGGCACAATAAATGTAATGTGCTTGAATCATCCTGAAACCATCCCCCCACCTCTCTGGGTCAATGGAAAAGTCGTCTTCCCAGAAATCAGTGCCTGGTGCCAAAAAGGTTGGGGACAGCTGCTCCAGGGGCAGTAACTTTACAGAACAGAACTCCTGTGAGTAACAAGAATCAGCTGTAAATTGGTGGCTCATTGTAACAGCTATGACGTAATAGAGATGGGAGATGTCTGAACTACCTTTGTGCGGTCAGATGGTGCTTGAGAGCTGAGCCAGGATCTGAACCTGAACTTGGACCAATGAACCATCTGTGTGCTTGTGTGTCAGAGAGGAGTTTCTAGGTGTCAGGGCCCAAGGCCAAGTCTTTCTTACCTGAAAGACGAACATGTGTCTCCCTGCCGGGACAGGGCCAACCAGTACTGAGTCTAGGATTTGATCAAACTCCTCGCTCTCGGCTGAGCCAACATAAATGATCTTCCACTCCAGGTCTGCAAGGATACGGGGTGTTAGGAATGGAAATAATTTAACAGCAAGAAAGCTGGGGAAGGCCTTCTTGTGGTAGTTTTGCATCGGTCCTTAATACATTGGTAGATCTTAATTGTCAAAGGACACCTGACATCCACTGGAGGTAACCTACCAAGGTTTGAATCCCCATTCTGTCTTGTGACCTTGAGAAATTCTTTAACCTCTCCATACCTCAGTTTCTGCATCTGTAAAATGGGGAAAACCTGGGAGGGTTGCTGTGAATAATAAAATCTATTAAAAAAAATTTTTTTTAAATTTTAATGAACAACACCTGACATCCACTGGGCACCCAGTGCCAGGCACCGCATTGCTGGTCACCAGGGCAGGCACGAAGCTCTATTTCCAGTGGGGAAATTTCTCCTGTGGGCCCAGCTTGGCCAGGTGACCTTGACTCTGCACCTCCAGGGCAACGCGGGCCTCTCAGAGCCTGAGGGTGAACCATATGGCAGAGGCTGAATTAAAGGGCACGTGACGGAGGCTCGGAGACATACTGAGGAGGGAAGAGCAGGGAGCTGGGACAGGAGGCAGCATCCTCTTTCACACACAGGGACTAGTGCCACCGAACTGAGTAGATGCCTCGACAACTGGGGCAGGGCAGCGGGTTGCAATCTGGTCGGAGAGCCAGCCAGTAGGAGGGGGAGATGAGGTCGCTGGGGGAGCCGGCCAGTCCCCGGGTCCTCCAGATCCAACATCAAGTCACACCTGCTCTCGGACCTTCGGGTGACAGTGACTCAGTCCACAAACGTGGCACCCTAAGGCCATCCTGAACCCCAACTCTCTGGCATCCCCTTCCAGTTGGGGGACCCCCATTCCTGGCTCTCTTCTGGCCAGATAAAAGAAAAAGTGCTCCGTGAGACCCCGCCCGTCAAACACAGGAAATTCCCAGTGACTGAGGGCTCTGGCAGGAGGGCCAAGTGTATCAGGGGCAAGGTCACGCTAGTACAGGGAAATCTGGCCGGGGACCTGAAACTTATTTTAGGTTCTTTGAAATTACACAACCTACGGGCTCCAGCAGCCGGGGCAGAAATTTTACAAGCTGTGATTTTCACGGGAAGCACACTGTCTTAGAAACTGCCCTGTTCCTTGGTCTAGTGTCCCACCAGAGCACCCAACTTTGATGCCTTTTAAAGAGAATATTTATTTATTTGCCTGCACTGGGTCTTAGTTGTAGCCTTCGAACTCTTCGTTGTGGCATGTGGGATCTAGTTCCCTGACCAGGGATCGAACCTGGGCCCCCTGCATTGGGAGCTCGGAGTCTTGGCTACTGGACCACTAGGGAAGTCCTTCTAAAATGACTCGGCCCTTCAGGCAATGTGGACATCACATACCTCTAAGAGAGCTCATCCTAGGAAATGAACTGGAGTGCATTTTGCCAAAGGAACACATGTCTTCCTGAGACAGTTCCTAGCTGAAACGTTATTGTTTCTGCTTTTAAAACGCACATAGGTAAATTAGAAACACCTGTCATTTGAATTGACTGTTTACTCTGAGGGAGAGGGCAGCTGAATGAGGGTAGGGCTGAGAACGGATAAGGTCACCCCCATGTCTATAAGTGGTGCAACTGGTAAAGAATCTGTCTGTCAATGCAGGAGATGAAAGAGACCGGGATCTGATCCCTGGGTCGGGAAGATCCCCTGGAGAAGGAAATGACACCCCACTCCAGGATTCTTGCCTGAAAATTCCATGGGCAGAAAAGCCTGGAGGGGCCCAGTCCATGAGGCCGCAAAGAGCTGGACATGACTGAGCGATTGCGCACTCTCTACAAGGGCCTGAGAAGTCTCCCCTCCGACTATTATTTCAATTTTCCCTGACATGTTTGTGAGGAGGAGGGGGAATGGCCTCTCATAATCCTTAGACCCCTGTTCCTTAGTAATCTGATCGTGTCCTAAATCTAATTTAAACCTGTGGCAGTCTCTTTTTTAACTTTTATTTTATTTTTGGCTTTGCCACACAGCATGTGGGATCTTAGTTCCCCAACCGAGGATTGAACCCTGAGCACCTGGTACTGGAAGCTCGGCATCTCAGCCACTGGACCACCAGGGAAGTCCCAGAGCACCCAACTTCGGAAGCACAGCAATGCCGGGCCACGACTATGGAGGTCGGTCACCTGAGCTCCACGCCCTTCCCTGATACATTTGGTTTCCTGTCCTTTCACAGCTGACACCCAGCCTTCTACTCAGGGACCCTGTCAGGCCTACAGGATGTGGGTGCCATTTGACTGAACTGGGCTTCAGTCAAACTCCAGTTTCTTATTTGCAGGAAGGAGTTAAGCTTACTGATTTATTTTTCCTACAAGTAGTGACACAACCGGAAATAACATGTTTTTGGATGAACAAGCTAGCCCTGTTCTCACCTTTCTGACACAGTTCTATCATTTGGTATCTTTCCTTCTGGCCGCCTTCCCCATCATCAGTGGAGTCCCATACGTGTGTACTTAACTAATGTGTTGCATATGTGCTCAGTGGCTAAGCTGTGTCCGACCGTTGTGACCCCATGGACTGTAAGCCCTCCAGGCTCCTCTGTCCATGGGATTCTCCAGGCAAGAAAATTGGAGTGGGCTGCCATTTCCTCCTCTGGGAGATCTTCCCAACCAAGGATCAAACCTGAGTCTCCTGCATTGGCAGGCAGATTCTTTACCACTGAGCCACTTGGGAAGCCTAACTAATGTGCTGAGGGTGCATACAAAAGGGAGATTTTAATAGAATAGGCCCTGGAGTAGGCGACAGGCACTCAGCATTCAACATTGTTGGCAATGGAGTTCCCTGGTTGCCTAGTGGTTAGGATTCCCGTCTTCCACTGCTGTGGCCCGGTTGTCAGGGAAATGAGATCCCAAATTTGGCATGGAATGGCAAAAACCCCAAAACACCTGTCGGCAAAACCTAAACAAGACTGTGTGGGTGCAGACTGGAAGAGAGAAACGCAGGTGGTCAGGCGAATGGGTTGAAATGGTTCCCAGTACTCAGGTCAGAAAGAAACCAGAGAATTAACCAAGGACGACAATACTCACTCAGGAATTCAGGAGCTGAGGGACCTCCCTAGTGGTCCAGTGGCTAACACTCCGAGCTCCCAATGCAGCAGGCCCAGGTTCAATCCCTGGTCAGGGAACTAGATCCCACATGCTGCTAATAAGAGTTCGCATGTCACAACTAAAGAGATTCTGCATGCTGTGACTAAGACCTGGGGCAGTCAAATAAATAAATAAATATTAAAAAATAATAAGAGTTAAGGAGTTGATAAAATCACCTATGGAAGACAGAAGATGATTGAAACAAGGACCTACAAATTGGAATTGCCTCTTAAACAGAGGCATCCTGAAGTGACTTCACTTTTTTGAATGAGAGGTGGGGACGTCAATCACAAACAGCACAAATTCATTCCTACTGAATATAAGATAAGGTTGCACACGTATAACATATGCCTAGCCTTCCAAGTAATTCCAAGGGCAAATGGATTCCATTGTTTTGTCTTTAATGCCTTAACTTTATCATCTAACCACTGCACAAAATGCTCCTCCACTATGTATGAAAACAAAATCCAGACCAACGATATGATGAAAAACGTAAAAAAAATTATGGTAGTTGAACCAGCTGGAGAATCTGTTTCCTGCCCCCCAAAAAACACAAACAGGACTACCCTGGTGGCACAGTAGATAAGAATCCACCTGCAGTGCAGGAGACACGGGTTCCATCCCTGGTCCAGGATGATGCCAACATGTCTCAGAGTAACTAGCTCCCTGCACCACAACTACTGAGCCCATGTGCCACAGCGACTGAAGTTTGCTCATCCTAGAGGCTATGCTCCACAACAAGAGAAGCCTCCTGCAATGAGACACCCAAGTACCACAACGAAGAGCAGCCCCTGCTCACCACAACTAGAAAGCCCAAGTGCAGCAATGAAGACCCATCGTAGCCAAACACACACACACAAAACCCCCCAATCAATCAAAAAACAACAAAACAACCCCAACCCAACAACTTATCTAGCAGGCCTTTTTCTGTTTATCACTTTCCTTTTGTTCATAATATAGATGAACCTTGGCCTGACTACAGTGTGTTACATGTGGGTCAGAAAATCTGGCTCTAAGACTTGTTCAGGCAGTATCTCATGAATCTCTCAACTGAACTGGGGGAAAACACACCCAATGTATTGAATATAGACCCAGGCCTTGGATGCATCTATTTCCAGATGCTGCTGAGGAGGAGAGACAGAGAAAGTAAAAGGGGTTCAGAGCCCTTGAGAAATGGCTCAGACTGGGGACTGGGTGTTCAGACCTTCAGCTGTCAGGTAATAAGGCTGACTGAGACTTTCTCCAGAATCTAAGAGACTTCTAAAGCCAGGCCTACTCCATCTGTTTGGGAGGCAGGAGAGAAATCCTCTCTGCTCTGTGGGAAGAGGCAGAAAGCAAGCTGACAGGTCAGAGTGAAGCACAGCCCTACAGGTACAACCAGAGAGTCTAGACTTCCAGTCCGTAGTTGGCTTTCCAACTGGAATTCCTCTGAGCAAAAGCTTTACTGTCCAGATATAATTAATAATAGGACCCCGTTGCCCTCTTCTGTCCGGTTTATGTCCCACTTCTAAAATAGTGGATGCATTCTTTTCCAGTTTATAGCAAAGATAAAGAACCGTGGACTCAGAACTCAGAGACAAGACCTAGTGTTAATAATTCTACACACCAGCTGTGTGACCTTGGAAAAGTCATTTTGTTTCCATTAAAAAATAATGACCTCGGGGACAGAAAGAACTGTCTTTAGGGATTTCCCTGGTAGTCCAGTGGTTAAGAATCCACCTGCCAAAACAGGGGACATGGGTTTGATCCCTGGTCCGGGAAGATCTTACATGCTGTGGAGCAACTACTCCTGAGCGCTACAACTACTGAAGCCTGCTCACTTAGAGCCTGTGCCCCTCAACAAGAGAAGCCACCGCAGCAAGAAGTCCAATGCACCACAACGAAGAGCAGTCACTGCTCACCCCAACTGGAGAAAGCCTGAGCAAAGCACCGAAGATCCAGCTCAGCCAATAATAAATAAATCTTAAATAAAATATAACACAAATAAAAAACAATGACCAGCAGGTTGACTTTAGACTCTCCTGATTCTATAAACAGATTAGTAAAGTAACAGGGCAGGAGCTTTGCAGGAATGAAAGTACTAGATAATGACCATGCAACCATTTTTAAATGCCAGGAGCACAAACAGGCTGATTGAAACCTGATCTCCTGCCATCTGGGAACTATGAATCCCCTTCAACTATTAGCTCCTTACATCTCCTGGCTTTAAAATTAAATCTTATTCCACAGGGTCATTCTACACTTTATTTATTTATTTACACCCCGCCTTGTTCCAGAAAGGATTTAACTGGGCATATTCTATAGTTAGTCATAAGTAGAATGACTCCTTGATTTAAACAGGAGAGAAAGCAGGGACTGACCCAGTGGCCCCACCCAAGCACACTGACATCGAAACTCTTCAACCCCAAGCTAGTTGGAGAAGCCCATTTGCAGGCAAACCACCCACGGACCACCAAGAGGTGCTAGTTAGAACAGCCTGGCCTTCCAGATCGCTACCTCCTTAAAGGCCATCTCTTCTCTTTTAACCACCAAATGGAGAAGAGATCTAATGGAAGTACTTCCTCCTGAAAGTGGTGCCAAGACTCGCTGAACGACCTTAGATCTTCCGGTTTTTATAGACCTTTACTTGAAAGGTCTTTTACTCTCTGTGGCTCCCGCCTTCTCATCTGTGAGATGAGAGCCATGTCCGCCTTTTGTCACAGGGATGAATAAGCACATCTGTGAAAGCACCTTGGAAAAGATGCACAAAAGGCTGTGACCTCCCAGACTGAAGCCAAACATCACCATGGCTCGGCCTGGCACACCCACCCCACACCGCTCAAGTCGAGGTCAGGCCATCAAAAGTGTTGCAAGCTTTGCTGCAGTGGGTCAGCAGGAATCCAGCAGGCCAACAGTAGGAACCAGCTAACATCTGCCTGGCCATGCCACTCCTCAGGTCTGAGTGTGTTCATTGAAGCCCACAGTCAGGGAGGAGGAAGAGGAGCTGGGCAGACCAGATTATCCTCAAACACTGGAGCAGGAAGCCAGGTCATGCCTCTCTTGAGGGAGTAGAGGGTTGGGGCCAGACTAAGGAGGGAAGCCAGGTTCTAGGGTATGTGCTTTGAGGTAGAAAACAAGGTGCGGGGTGGGGGGGGGCGCGCTAGGGTTAAGTATCAGCAGGTAGGAGATATTATGGGGAGACAAATGGGGCGATAAGGATGTGTGAGGTCTTGCCAGAGAGGGAGGACATTCACAGGTAAAATGGGGGAGGAGGCTGCGGTTTTCAAATGGGACATGGGAGGGGGCTAGAACTTAAGATGTCCACCGGAAAAGAGTGAGGTGGGAGTGTCTCACCACAGGGGAGAGGGGATTGGTGGGGGAGGCTGGGTGGCTGGAATGGTAGTCTGCCCAAACAGAAATAGAAGATGGGGAGGCTGAGGTCTCTACATAGAAAACAGGTGCTCAGGAGGAACGTTCCAGGCGAAAGAGGGGGATGAAATGGTCTCCACTAAGGGAAAAGAGGCGTAACCATGGGGGTGGGTGGGATGGGGGTAGTCTCCAAGCGGGGGTTGGGGCTGGTGGGCGGGCTTTGGCTCAAGGGAGATCGCGGTTGGGGGAGGGGAAGAAGGGGGTGTGTTTGGCAGGGTTGACCTCAGGGTTGTCTGCAAAGGTAGGTCGGGGTTAGCTCAGGGGAGTGGGGTCTCCACAAGGGCCCAATCTCACCGTCTGCCAGGGCCTCATTGCACTCAAAGCTGATCTCGAACCGGAAAGGGCTGTGGAAAGGGCTCGGATTCTCCAGCACCGCCACGTTCAATACTGACACTTTAGCCATCGCCTCGTCGGGTCGCGGCTGAGACCAGAGCTGGGGCCGAGCCCGCGGCTGGGTCCTGTTGGGTCAGCGGAGAAGCTTAGCCCAAATCCGCTCCGGCCTCCTCTGACCGCGATCTGAAGTGCGTATCTAGTCCGCGCGCCTCCTTCAAATAGCCGGGTCTCACCCTACGGCCAATCACCGTCAACGCTCCAGGAATGCGCAAGCGCTTCCTCAGCCAATCCTGGAGCGCCGGTCGGCGCGCGCCGAGACTCCCGGGACCAATCCGTGGAGCTCCATCTCAGGGATAAGAGAGGGAGGCGGGACCGTCTCTAAGCTTCTTTGGTGTCCACGGGGAACCAATCCCCAGAGTCTCCGACTCGGATGTCAAGGGCGGGGTGGGCGGGGTCAGAGCGCCTGGCTCTTCTTGGCCAATCCCGAGGGCCCCCGCACCAGCGTGGTCCGCGATTAGCCCCGCCTTTCCGGGAGACCCTTCCAGCTAGGGGCAGCGCAGTCAACCGCCGAATGGTGGCGCACAGCGCTCGCTTAAGCGGGAAGGAAGGGAGGTGCTGGATTTGCAGTGATTGGCAGGCAGAAATGGGGCGGAGATAAGGCAGGTTTTCTGAGAGATGATTGGCTGAATTGGCTGCGGGGGCGGGAGAAGAGAAGACTCGGCCGGGGATTCGTGGAAGTGGAGCGGAAGTCGACCGCTAAAGTTGTTGAGCAGAGTGTGAAGAGAAAGGAGCAGCGTTTGCGGCATCGGCGTCTGTCAGCAGGTGAGCGTTGCCGGAAGTTTCTCTAAGGGGCTCCTGGCCCCGCAGGCCCAGCAGCCTGGGAGTCCGTTGTGAACGTTGTGAACGTTTAACTCACCCTTGAGGGGAGACGGTGCCGCGGTAACGCGGCGCCCTGGGGCCCGGGACCCGGTCGGGCCTGGTTCGAATCAGGTTCTTACTGGAGAGCCTCTGGGGAGGTTTCAGGTGGACGGCGCTGAATGGGATTTCGAATCCGGCCTCTGCCACGCACCACCCGAGGCCTCGTTTCCTTGCTCATTGAACGGTCTCATGAAAATTTACTGGCCTGACTTATGACTACATAATACATCTAGAAACTTCTCTCCACTCCCAGGCGTAGGAGGGACCACCGTCGCCCCCTGTCTGGAAGACTCGAGGGGCCTCCGCACTCCCTCGCTCCGCTTCCACCGACGGCAGCAAACCTAATCTTATACTTTTCTTTAGTAACCACGTTAAAAAATAAATATATATTTTATTTTATTTTATTTTTTTATTTATTTTTTATCACAACCATAGTGTATCTTTTTTTTTTTACATGTATTCCCCATCCCGGTCCCCCCTCCCACCTCCCTCTCCACCCAATCCCTCTGGGTCTTCCCAGTGCACCAGGCCCGAGCACTTGTCTCATGCACCCAACCTGGGCTGGTGAACTGTTTCACCCTAGATAATATACGTGTTTCAATGCTGTTCTCTTGAAACATCCCACCCTCGCCTTCTCCCAGAGTCCACAAGTCTGTTCTATACATAGGAGTCTTTTTCTGTTTTGCACATAGGGTTATCGTTACCATCTTTCTAAATTCCATATATATGTGTTAGTATACTGTAATGGTCTTTATCTTTCTGGCTTACTTCGCTCTGTATAATGGGCTCCAGTTTCATCCATCTCATTAGAACTGATTCAAATGAATTCTTTTTAATGGCTGAGTAATATTCCATGGTGTATATGTACCACAGCTTCCTCATCCATTCGTCTGCTGATGGGCATCTAGGTTGCTTCCATGTATAAATATATATTTTAATATATTAAACTTAATGTAGTATATCCACAGTATCATTTCAACATGTGATCGGTATTAAAATAAACACGAACCTGAGGTATCTTTTATTTTGTTACTTAGTACTAACAGTTTGAAGACCTGTGTGTTTTACACGTTACACCACATCTGTGATCTGGACGCTACGTTTTCACCGGAAATAGTTGAGGTTTCATAAAACTTACAGTTGAAATGGAGATTCACATGCCCAAATGTTTCCCAGCGTACGTTAAAATTTCCCATGAACCCAATCTCATGTCGGTGATAAATTGAGATATTAATTGATGAAAGTTAAGCGACGTGGAATGTTCTGTTTCACAGCGGCACTAGCCACATTCAGGTGCTTGTGATCCCCTGTGGCTTCCGATATTGGATAGCCAATACCAACTTCAGCCAAACTGACCTTTTTGTTTCATAAAATCTGACATAACACCCCCCACCTCTTTTCTGGTGCCTCCTTGTTATTCAAGTCTCTCCTCAGATGTCTTCTGGGAGAATCCAAGAGCCCCCTTCAGGGCATTCAAATTCGTAGAACGTAAGCCTGAACGGTACATTTCAAGCCACTAGCATTTCTTATCCATCCTTTGTAGCCTCGTGATGCTCAGAATATTTTCTCTTTTTTTTTTTGTATCTGCATCTCAAATTAAGTAGGATTGAAAGGATTTTCTTCCCCCATTGAAACAATTTGGCTGCAGGAAAGTTCCCATTATGATTGGCTCTGGGCTCTTGGCAGTCATTGGGCACCCTTAGGAATTTTTGTGACTTGAGAAGATCAAATTTTCAAATTATTTCCAAATGTAATTCAGTTGCTTATAAATATGAAATTTGATGAAGTTGTTTTGTTTTCTAGATATTAAACAGTTATTCATTACGACTTTGTAGTTTTCTTTCTGCATCGTGGAAGTTATTTTCCTTTATCCTCAGCCCCAACCTTTTCTTTTTTTTTTTTTAGCCCCAACCTTTTCATAGCCCCTGAAAAGTTCATCAGTCACAAGCATTATGTCTCTGTCTATAATGCCTTCTCCCTACAGCTGGCTGAATAATCTTCAATTGTAAACCAGATCATGTCATTACTCTGCTTAAAACCTTCAAAGGCTTATCATACTTAGGATGAAACTTAAGATCTTCACTGTGGCTTAGGAGGCCCTGCACAGTGGCCTCAACTGACCTCATCTGCCAGTCTCCCTCTTGTCACCACTCCCAAGCCCTGCTGGCTTTATTTCCTGTCTTTCAACACACCAAACTTTATTCCTGCTGCATGGCTTTGCACTTGCTGTTCCCTCTGCCTGGAATGTGTTTCCTTTAGATAATTGGCTGTCTCATTCTCATCATTTATGGTTCACCTCAGGTGTCTCTCCAGAAGAAGCCTTCTTGGACCACCCTAGTTAAACTAGACTTTCATTAATCACGAAAGCCTACTTATTAGGAGCACTTATCAGAATCTGTAGATACATTGAATTTTTTTTTTTGCTTTGCTGCATGGATTGTGGGATCTCAGTTCCTTGACTGGGGATTGAACCTGGGCCACAGCAGTGAAAGCCCCAAATCCTAACCACTAGACACCAGGGAACTCTTATCATCCCTCAGTAGATTGAAAGCTGGTTGTGGACAGTGATCCCACCTGTCTCATACAGACCTCTCAGTGTATTTCCAGAGCTTAGCATAGGACCTCACATGTGGGAAGTTTCCAGTAGATTGTTTTTAAAAAAGAATAAATCCATATAAAGGGCTTATATGATACCTGGAGTGTGAAAAGTACTTCATAAACAAGAAACATTAGCAGTGCATAGTCATCATTTTTCTTAATATTTTAGGTGTACTCACTCAAAAAAGAAGAAGAAATGCTATAACAAAGTACATTTTTACTCCTTACCCAGCTTAAGAAGTAAAACAGGGATGCAATTGAAAGGCCTTATATATCCCTGCCTCAGACCTGTTCCTCCCCTTTTTTCACATGTAACTATAATCTTGGATTTAGTATTTATTTTTCTGTACATGCTTGTACATCTTTAATAGGTGTCTTTAAACTATATATAGTATTGTATGTCACGTTCTACAACTTTATAAAAATGATGCTGCTGCAAAGTCTGGGGAAAACCAGGCACAAGCTTCCACAAGGCCTTTTCCTGGTGAAGTCACAAGTGACTCCCTGAGTTCCTACAGCAGAGTTGTGACAACGTGTGTGAAATGTCTACCAGGAATGCTCAGTACCCAGGGTACTTGGGGCAGGAGGGGGCTGATCAAGTTTCAAACTTCCAGACTCCAGAAGGAAAGCAGTTGTGGACACAAACCACATTGTTTGTACAGTTTAGGCACAATGAGCCACTTGTATCATTTAGGGAGTGGTGGGCACTCTCCATTCACTTCACACTTCAATCGTGTCTGACTCTTTGCGATCCTATGGACTGTAGCCCACCAGGCTCCTCTGTCCACAGGATTCCCCAGGCAAGAATATTAGAGTGGGTTGCCATGCCCTCCTCCAAGGGATCTTCCTGGCCCAGAGATCAAACCTGCATCTCCTGCATTGGCAGGCAGAGTTCTTTACTACTAGCACCATCTGGGAAGCCCTACAGAAGTGATAGCTGTACACAAAAGAGTTAACTGTGTCAGGCCTGAGACCGCTGTCCTTAGAAAGGCCTATTTGCAAGGTTGGTCCTTGGTGTATAGGAATTTGGATTTCAGGAGTGTTCCCACCACTCCCTAAATGATACAGGTGGTTCGTGGTGCCTAAACTGTACGAACAATGTGGTTTGTGTCCAACACCTGCTTTCCTTCTGGAGTCTTGAGGTTTGAAACTTGATCAGCCTACTGCCCCAGGTACCCTGGGTACTGGGCTTTCCTGGTAGACATTTCACACGTGTTGTCACATCTCTGCTGTAGGAACTCAGGGAGTCCCTTGTGACTTCACCAGGAAAGGACTTGTATGTGGTTTTCTCCAGACTTTGCCCCATGCACCTTTGCTCTTGGCCGATTTTGCTTTGTGTCATTTTACAGTAAGAAATCATCGCCTGGGAAATTCCCTGGCTGTCCAGTCATTAGGACTCCGTGGTTCCGTGGCAGAGGGCATGGTTTCAGTCCCTGGTCAGGGAACAAAGATCCCACATGCTGCATGGTGCAGCCAAAAACAAAAACCCAAACAAAATCATACCTTGAGTAGGCTAGATGCTAAATTCTATGAATCCTCCTCATGAATCATAGA